TGAGATTCCTAGTTTTGATTAAAACCACCACAGTTTTACTGTATCAGGGACCAGTCGACTTGTCTCCATAAGAGAAAAAAATATCTTCTTGGGTTGGGCTTAGGTTTTGGATTAAGGTGTGAGTTGATTTCAGGTGTGTATTGATAATGGGTAGGGTTAATTACAGTTAAGACATTACTTGTACTGTATGTGTGCATATTTAGTATGTTGCATATATAAATACATCCCTTTTTTTATATTTCAATATCTATTTTTTTTACAAGACAGCACTGAAGATACTTTAAATTGTGATATAATGTTGTCATTTGTACACAGCTATTGTGCAGTTGTTATTCCTTATAAAGTTACACACACCCTTGACGTCTAATATAAATCACATCCATCATGGCGATTCGATTCCGTATCGATTTCCTTACCCAGCGATTCGATTACTTTCGATACTCAAGAATACACCACGATACGATTCCATTCGATTAATTGTTTTTTTTTTTAACACCTTACATGCTAGACAATGTTTCAAATTTGAAATAAATCAATGAAAGCTGTAATATTGTTATGCATTTTTTTTTTGAGAAACAACAACAAATAACAGAAGTAGAAAAGTTTCACTCCACCTATTCCTATTAAAACCTCATTCACTGAAAAATCATAATACCCCTGTGTTATAGATTCTGAAAGGCATTGCATCAAAAAAATACTGCACAAAAATGAGTGCAATTCAATACCTCGGCTCCAGAGTGTCGATGTCCCCGCCCCCTCCACAGACGCTCCGCTGCACCTCTCCCAAATTGTAGCTGACCGCATACAGGTGGCCAGGCTTGTTTTGTTTTTATGACCGAAAATGCGGAAAACAACTCGTGAAGTTAGACCTGCTAGAAGAGCGAGGTGCACAAGAACGCTGGGACCGTTTCCACCTGGATCCCCCCTCTTTTTGGCCCTCATGTCCCTCCGTTGTCAGACTAAACTCGCCCCCACTTCCTCACCGCCTCGACCTTATCTAGACCCACAGTGTGTAGCACAGACCACACTTCAATATTGAGCATAAATCAAAACTGTCTGTGTCAAGCTTACTGCAACACACTACTGTAAGAGTATAACCAGGAAGCGAGGTAGGAGGGCAAAATAGGTTTAGCGCCACCACAGCACGGGAGGAAGAATTACGCCCAGGAACAATTGATAAAAATAGACCGGAGGAAAAAGAAAAACATGAATCGATACTCTTGCCATTTATCCCTATGTACGCTCTGTTTAAAAGTTGCTTTTCTCATAGCTCATAGAAGCTTACTGTGTCAGCACGTCCCCCCTAACCCCTAAATCCCTCAATCACTATATAGAGCGGGGACTATAAAGTAGACTTTATAGTGAACTCAGTTAAGTTACTGTTCGGACAGATCATCACTACTTTTTGCTCCGTTGGTCACGTAATTCCTCTTCCACTGCATGCTGCCTCTGCCATCTTTGTTATTAGTCACCACAATGATTGACAATTAGGAGGACCACTTATTTAGATGAACCACTTGGAAATAAAAGATTTTCCTCTGTACCTTTAACCGTCGGTTTCTTTAGAGAGGCAGTGGGTATCTTGGAGGTGTTTTCTGGTTGTTGCCATTTGGGATTCTATCATTTAGGCCATTGTCAGAAGGGAGGGGGATCATGCTCTACTTTGGTAAACCACATTACAAGATAGTATTCAAAGCTCTCTCAGTGAGCGATAGATCCCCACAAGCAACAACAGTTATGCAGCCCCATACTGGGACACCACCTTGTTTGACTGTAAGACATGTAATCTTGGTTCCACCTCAAATCCTTAGCAAAATGTGAACCAAACAAATATACCTAAGTCTTATCAGACCACAAGACATGGGGCCAGTAATGGAGGTCCTCACTCTGCTTGTTGTCAGTAAACTGTCCTTTGTTTTCTTAAAAGATTCCTTCTGAATTCAGATCAATTTGATATAGAGTGACCTATGGTCTGAGCAATCAGGCTAATCACCCCTTCAGTCTCTGCAGAAATGCTTACAGCACTAGTGTGCCTTAAAAGACAGCCTTTGGATGTAACCGTGAGCGATATGCACTGAAATTATTTGTTTCAGTGAAATTATTTCAATAGCCAAGCCACTTTCGGCCATCTTAAAGGCGTCATAGAATGGAAAACTGAGTTTACATTGTCATAGATGAATAACGATAGTTCAGTGGGTGAAATGGCCCTAAAGAGAAGTTCAAACCCCATCAACACCTCCTTTCTCTGCAAATCTCGCAATTCTAAACTTCCACCATAAAACGGGTAAATCCAAACAAAGCCCCGAATTGACGTCAACTCGGGGATGTTGCCTTATTTGGTTCTGGCCTGTACTTTTTTGACGCTCCGAAATTGACATACAGACCAGCCCACTAGTTCACTGGCCCAAGAACATGAATGGAGGTTGCCAAGATGTAAGACACCACTTTAGCTGTTTAGCCTACAGTTGGGTTTACTTCTACAAGAATTACAAAGCAGGCAGTTTCTCTATTGAAAATGAGCCAGAACCACAGGCGTAAATGCAGTGTTCCAGGCTGCACGGAGAAAGGGGAAACATTTTTACAGTCTTCCCAAGGATCCGAAGACTCAACAGGCATGGATTATTTTTGTCTATCAGAAGATCCTTGCAAAGTTTGATGCTCATCTGTTTATTTGCTTAAAGCATTTTACGGAAGACAGCTTTCAAAATCTTTGAGGTGGTATGCTTCCCCCGCCTGCCTTACCGGGAAGCATGGGGCCGCCAGTGTCCAGGCTATCGGGTTCAGTCGCCCCTTCCCCCGCTGTCTCCCTGCCCACAGGCTTGTATTAGGGCTCATAGAACAGCAAATAAATGACAGTGAATTTATTACAGTAACTACTTTATATTGTATCAGATGTTTTGTCCTGTGAAAATATCTAAAAAGAAATGTACCTAAATGTTTGGGGTGTTGTCACTTTGCTGTTGAGCTTATAAACAGAGTATGTTAATTGGTAAATGACATATTTACAATTACATACAATGACAAAGTTTGTATTAGTGAAATGTGTGAAAAATAAAGTGCATTTTTCACATTCTTATCAAAGCTGCAATATCACATTTATAGCAGGGAAGGTATGCTTGCTCAAATATCTACATTAGTATGATTAAATAGTGGATGTCGATCTCGCGGTGATCACTATTGAAGAGAATCACTTTGTCTTATTTCTCCAGCAAACTCGGTGTGAATTGCCATGAACTTTAGCCTGTAAAACTTTAGTACATTTATTGAATGATACTAAAATGACTCCTGACTCATGTTCATGCTCATGCTCCCCGAGGAGCCTTGGAAAAAAGAAAGAAGAAGATAGATAATTGTGTGTGATAGAAGTGTGAACATTTATCTGTTAACAATGAAGTTCTTTGCTATCACAGCGGTAAGGGAGGAATACATTTTCCTTTTTCTGATATCATATCTCTGCATGCTGAAACTTTATTTTTGTAGTTTTTTTTGTCTTTGCTCTACATTTAGTTATCTGGGGAAATCATGCCAAACCTGACTTTGTTTTTCACCTTTGCTGTTTAAATAGGACATGGAAATGCAGAGTGACTTTAAGGTTTTTTTTTTTATTTTGCTTTTCTGCTCACTTTGTGCTGGAAATGAAGGGGAAAAAAAACCCTGGCTGATATAAACCGACTCGAGATTAAAGAGCGATTGTGGAGATGTGAACATCACGTTCCTGCACTTTTCAGGGAGCTCAAAGATTTGTCAGACCACCTGTCTGTTCTTATTTAAATCAACATTTTTATCTTCGGCTGCGGTTAAATTTTCCTGCAACAAGGAGAGTTTGTCAGCTCTTTCCAAACATACATTAAGAAAATGAGTAATCGAGTGATCCAAGATTTCTTTATTGACTCCTATGGAAGTGTGTAATTGAAAATCAGGTTTTATAAAGTGTGTTGTTAACAAGAACGGGTCACACGAGCCATTCTTGGTGAGTAAATGAAGCCTAAGGGGGCCAGCCTAATGGGGTAATGTAGTTAATAACATCTGAAGGGTGATGAATGGCCAGTCCTCTTTCTTGCTGAGTTCTCAGACAACAAATTAGTTCCATTAAAGGCCGCAGTTAAAGGAACTCTGAAAGAAGCTGATTAACTGAAATTATTTGGATTGAGTCATTGTGAACCTGGTTGGGGCCTGAACAGTTTGTGTAAATGGGACTTATCCTTTATTAGGTGCTTATTTACTCATTCATTCTAAGTTTGTTGTCAGCACAGTCAATTGAGAAAATGCGGTAACCTTCAATTTCCCTTTGAGAAAGAAAAAGAGGGGACACCCCCAGTTTTTAATTAAATCAACATCTAGATCCTTTTTTCTTATTTCCAATTAACTTGGTTCTGTAACATGAAAGGCTTTTTTTCAATTTACAGAGGCCTGAGAGGGAGATGATCGACAGCTCCAATTGCTACTTTTAGATTCATTTGCTGATTTTGATCAGTGCCACCACAACATGACTGCCTTGAAATGAAAGTAGGATTCTTTTTTATTTTTTTGGAGGGAAAAAGGCAGCACCATGACAGGTATATGATATATTCTCTATATGATGCTTTTTAAATTATATTCAAGCTTTGTTGTGAAATCAGAAGCAATGTTGTGGGTGATTTAAGGTAATTGGGAGTCATGATTAGAGGAGTATCATTCTGTTAGATCTTGGCACAAGAGGAGGGGGACGGCATTCACCCCCAGTTTTTCCCTCTCTCCTCGTTACTCTGTCTGTGAGGATGGTCGCCCTAAGGAATGGGATGCTGTATTTCTTTGGCAGCCTCCCGGAGTGGCAGCACACACAAAAAAAGACTGACACAGATTATGAGAGATTTATAGGAGTGATAAATACTCCCTCTTTTCTGCCCCTCAAAACAGCTTTTCATCAGCTTCTCAGTAGAGCGTCCAGATGATTGATGAGGGGACTGTTCTTTCTAGTTGTCCACTCCTAAAGCTGTTTATGCTCTGTTTCCCCATTCCAGATGCAGATCTACCTTTACAATTCAGACGACTTTGACAGCCTCAGCGCCGCCATCAAGGAAAGACGCATTATTGCTGCCATGGCTGTGTTCTTTGAGGTAAAGTATCAGAAATACAGGTAGAGATTGCCAACAAAATCTGCTAATAGAGTTAGACTCTTCCCTTTTTGTCCAAACTACATCACAATAGCATTTCAGATGCTTACAAGTTACAGCAACTTAAAAACTTAAACTATGTAGTGCATATAATTTTTTTTATGTTTATATTGTTTTTCATACATTCTCAATCCCCTAAAAAAAAGTATCTTACAATTAAGAGATTTTTTCTTCTCCTTTGGTCAAACTCAGTTTCTCCTTCAGAATTAATGACTAACATTTCAGTTAACTTTGGTATCCTATGCCTCATACTAATTAGCTTTTCAGCATTGAAACAAGCTGCATAAGACACATCTGGGACGTATATATAAAGCGTCAAGAATTCACCAAATATTGCACACAGGAATTAGCATTCAGCAAGTGTGGTCCACAGAGCAGCACCATGCAATATGTTAAAACATCCTCATGCATAAAAGGTTCATTTTCCTACCCACAGTTCAGTTTTCTCAGTGGAGTTGCTCCACTCTTGAGGGAAACCTCTTTGTAACAAGCTCTGCCTCTGGTTGCTTGGAGCACTTATGGAAAATGTTCCTGTGCAGAGGCTTATAAAACACCTGTATCTGCATAAATGGAGTTTATTTCTTTTTTTAAAACCTGAAATTTAAGGTGAATCTTAAATGAATGGATCAGAATTTGTCACACTGTTCTGTGAAAAGGTTAAACACCGTTCTTAACTTCTTGCATTAAATGGCACACAGTGTTTTCATTTAGAGAGGATTCAAATGTGTTGAATCCTGAAGCTAAAAAAGCTTCAGTCTCAAACACAATATATGGGTGGGTTATAAAACACTTTTTTTTTGTCTTAAAACACCCTTTTTCATCAGTTTGGTAATTACACAGAAAATCTTGTGAGTCATTTTTAGTCTTAACTCTTTAATTAACATTTGAATGTCAGTTTCATGACATCTGGTCTTATTAAAGTGCTGCATTTCTGCCGGTAATAATCAAATTATTAGAATATGTTGAATGTTATGTAGAAAATGAAATTTGAAATGCAAAAACCTGTATCGGTTGCCTAAATTAGCTAGGTAAAGAATGGACTCCACATAAAATATACAAATAACATTGCTTTTAAAGAAAACAATAGAAATATTTAGCAAGAATTAACAAGTAATTAACTGAATGAATAAAACAAGAAGTGTTTTATTTTGTAATATGGAAGTGTTTTTGAAACCATGTTAGTTTAAAGGTTGTATTTCACGATTTCTCTTTAAATGTAGGTTAAAAAAAAACACATAACTGTGTAAGTAGGAGACCATTCGACCCCTTCTTGTGTTCCTCAGGGTGAACCTTGTTCACAGCTCTGTTAATGGTCCATCTGCAGCACTCAGATTTTCTCAGTATACAGGGAGAGCTGTGGAGCTGCAATGCATGGCTGAAACCAAAGCACACTGGACACATAAACACTAGAGGTGCCAAAACACAACAAGAGGAAACTAGCAAGACTGAGCACACATAATGGTATTAGCTGAGCTTGTCACAAAGATTGGCTTATGGAGCAGCTGATTGATGAAATGATCCCAGTGGAACACAAAGCCGAACGGCGTTTGGACACTATACCTTTAAACTAGTTTTTTTTTTTTTTTTTTTTTTTTTTTTACACAGTCTTAAAATCATTTAATATACAGTTCATTTTGTAGAATGTGTTCATCATTAGTTGACATCTAAGCCATTATTACATTATAAAACTGTAGTCTTAGCTATAGGCCCATTCCTAATTTACAGAGGAAATTAAGATAGAGGGCGGGACTTCACATTCATGCATTTTCATAACAAACATCATATACATTTACAGTTGGGGCAACTAACTGGTATGAATGTGAAGGATTATAAAATATCTATTATTCTCTACGCTAGTTTATGTATCTTTCACTTATTTCCTGTAAACACTGCTTTACATTTCTATTAAAGATCTGTTTAATTCTCTATAGGAAAGATGTCATGTAGTTTATTTATAAACAGATGGCTTGATCTCTTCATTAATGATATGGTGGTTGCAGATTTTTTTTCTTAAACCTAATAAATATGATGTTTAGGATTATAATGTACATCAAACCAATTAAAAAGAACTCGGAAAGGTAGGTTAAATACGATTTATTATTTTTTTTTTTTTAAAGCTACTCTTATTCTCTTAAACATGTCTCATCAGAATGCATATCACTGTATGATATCACCAATATAACCAACTCTCTCGACTGTTTAACTAACCATTAGCTTTTTAATGTCCACTATTAAAGATCACAACAAGTTAAACATTAACTTGATTTCCTCTGAACGACTGTGTTACTTTGGAGATAGGAATTATCTAAAGATAACTGTGGTCTGCTTTGTTTTTCACTCCTAAACTAGACGTTAGTGTCAGCTTCAGGCTGCAGCTAATTTACATTTATCCCTTTAGGACATGTCAAGTACCATCAATATTAGTTTGATAACCAAAAACGTAGACTCTTTGAGATTAATGAAAAATCTGAGGTATAAATATGAGATTTATATAAGCTTACTTGTGGTTGTAATTTAGAGAGATAAAATGTTTCATTTCCATTTATCTATTAGGACACATTTGCTCTTGATTAGTAAGATCGGTCCCCAAGTTCAAAAGCACCTCTTTGATTGGTTGTACTTCTAGAAGCTTTACTTACATCTTGTGTGCCTTCTTCTATGTTACACTAATTTCTATTAGTGTTTTCTTAACAAGTATTGGCTGGTGATCGATGCATGCCAGCATTCAGCCTACTGGCATACCGGTAAGGGTCAGAAATCCGGCAGAGGGAGCTTGGAATGGGGACACAGGTGTTCCGTAATGTAGGTCTGTTCTAAGACAGTGATGAACCACATGTGTGCAAGGACCTAAATGCCTCCGTTGGGTCCTGACAGCCCTATTGCTTACTACAATTAGCATCACCATACACAATCCGCTGAATAGCAGTTTACAGTGTGAGTTTTTTTTTAAGCGGGCACACACACATTGGCTCTGATTTACCATTTCTAATCAATGACTAGAGTTCTTGTTGGGCTCCCCAAAGGCCTATTAAAGGCCTCTAAGGTGTGCATATTATCCACATTCAGCATTCATTCCCACACAATTATTCCTTTCAGACTGACCTGAATTAATGTTGCATAACAGTAGGGGGGATAGTCCCAGCATCCCAACACTGTTTTGTCCAATCTTGTCTCTTAAGTAGGACATTGGAGATATTTATTGGTCAAAGAAAATTGCCAGTAATTTCCAACAATAAAATGTAAGCTGAACAAATTACAGTAGAATGTTCCTTAGGGTTTGGGTGATCATTAAAGGCCTGGAAATATAAAAACAATTTGCGATAAAAAAGTTCAGAGAGATCCTTTGTCCACTCATGGCAAAATCATTTGTTTATTTATATATATATATATATATATATATATATATATATATATATATATATATATATATATATATATATATATATATATATATATATATATATATATATATATATATTAATAGCAATGCTAATTTAATATTTAATAACTTATCTGTCTGGTTTCTATTATGTGTTGATCAGGAATAAAATGAAACAGTCACGGCTCTGTGTGCAAGTTTGCTAACGTTGCAGCTGCAGCTCAGGTTTCTGTTATGTTAAAAGTGATAAGTGTTACTAGCTCCCAACCAGTCACATTTCTTTAGCAAAATTTCACCAAATGTTCAGGAGAAATGTGGGAATTCATGCGTGACATTGACACGTTTTGTTGCTGTTACATTAAGGGATATGTGGTGCATGTGTGAAAGCGGTTATATACAGCGTTTTCCCCTCAGTTCACTGCTCAGGAGGGTGGGCGAACCACAGCAGTGGTGCAGCTAAACACCGAGAGAGATGTTAATGTGGTTCGACGTCTATCGCTCGTGAACTTGTGGTTTACAGTTCCTGCAGAGGTATTTATACCTCTGCACTGTTTTTCACGTTGTCATGTTGTAACCACAAACACTTGTTATTTTGGTTTGTTTTTATTTTGCAGATCTTATGTTCCACCAGCACAAAGCATTGCTTGTGACATGGAGAACATTTTTTACATCGTTTTCTTTTGTTTTGCAAATAAGAATCTTAGCAGACACACATACACACACAGAGTTTAGATTTTCTACAGCACCTTTTGATACAGCTACAGTTGCAGCCCTTTCATGTTATGCCTTTACCAGCTTTGCACATCCAGACAATGAATGTATTACCAATTCCACTCTGCAAAATAGCTCTGGTTTTGGATGGAGGCGTCTGTGAACAACAATTTACAAATCTCCACAGGTTTTGACTAAGAGTAGAGTATTCTAAAATATGACTATGCTTTGATCTGAACCTTTCCATGATAGCTTTGGCTGTAAATGTAATGCCTGCTACCCTGCTGGAAGGGAAACCTGTGGCTCTGGTCAATTATATCAGGTCCTTTGCAGTGTCCAACAGGTTCCTTTCAGGATTTCCCTGTATTTCCCTCCATCAGTTTTCCCATTAACTCTGACCTGCTTTTCCCTTTTCCTGCTAAAGAAAAGCATCCTTACAGCCATGATGAAACTGTGTCACAGTTAGAAGGAAATTTTCAGGATGATGTATTGTTAGTCTTCTACAGAATGTATTATTTCACATGTAGGCCCAAAACATCATCATAGAAGATAGAATTTCTTTACTCCCTTCTGGATTTTTTTTTTCATGCCTTCTTCTTAATCTACATGCACCTTTTGGGATTCTTTTAACTGTTGCCTTTCCCCCTGTCATTTTTCTCAGAAGGCCAGTTTTATGGCCGTCTTCAAAAGCAAAAACTGATTATCCTGTCATCCGATTGAGCTTACGCTCTTTTCAGTTCCTCCAGCGTTGATATTGACCTTTTGTCAGCTTTTTCTAACTGACTGACCTCTCATTGTTACTAAGTCTTATATTTGTTAGGTTTCCTTTTTTCCGATTAATGATAGAATGTATCTCTGTAAGAGAAAACGCCTGACGTTGTTTTATTAGCAAACCCTACTGTGAACCTCTCCACATTGTTGTCCCTCATGTGTTCCTTCTCATCACAGGTTGTTGATTAATGTTCCCTAGCAAACCTCTGAGTTCTCCAGAGAACGCATGTGTTTTGACTGATATAAAATGACAGAGATGTTAATTGTGTTTAATAACAAGGTCAGAACTGAAGGCTTTTTGTTGCACAGGATTTTTTTCCGTAATATTTGCATACAAATTCACTTTACAAAGATTTGTATTAAGAGTAAAAAGTAAATGTCTGATTTAATTTCAATTCTTAAATAGGCTCTTTATTGATTTGATCCATTATATAAAAACTGAAATAAATACATATATTAGTAAGAAAAAAAAATTTGGATCTGCAATTTTATCATAATTTCCTCACAACATAGGTATTCTATATATATTCTAAGTCAAACGATACATAAATGGGTTATATTTACCAGTTTAACCAAACAGAGAATATATATTTATTTTTCAATCTGTGTAAAAAGATAATTAAATTGTATTTAATTATTAGCAACATTTAGAGTCTAAAGTTCCACTCTGAAAAAAAAAAACAACAACTTTTTTTACAGTATTGTATCTGGAACAGCTTATTCTTCAGCAGATGCACAAAATGCTGCTTTTTTCATTATTTCTTCATTTGCGGCTTTGTTACATCATGAAATCTTCTGTAGCTCTGTTGCTGTCTCACACCTATGCAAACACGTTTTCCACTTGCCTAACCTGTAAATTTTACATCACTGCAATGGTTCCTCACAAAATACCACCCCAATAAATCACACTGACAGAGAACATCTGAGAACATGAACAGCTTTCATTAGAAAATAAGAAACTGAGAAGTTGGATCTTTATACACCTGATTTAAATGTTACATAGATTACACATGGGCAATAACTTGATCCCTCCCAAATTCCTTTTGATACTTCTATAAAACAAATCCAAGCCTTTATAAATGTACATTTTGTGTCTATTGTGTACTTGGGGCTGAATTTGCTGAAGCGTATCATCCAAAGTACAAAAAATGTGTAACTGTCTAAACACTTATGGTCTGGACAGACTGCCTGCCTGCACGGCTGCTGCTGTTTGCAAAACTTACACTTCTCACTGCGAGGAGACCCGCTACAGTCTGTTACCATCGCAAACTCCAGTTTCAGATGCTGCTGCCAAAAACCACATACTAGCAGCAGATGACACAGCAGAGATTCCAAGTTATTTTAAAGAAACAAGACATGAATGCAAAATCTGTTACTGTGCTTTTTGCTAGTTAAAATAACTATTTTTTCCCAGCAAAAGCAATCAGTTGATTAGTTCATTGTGAACTTAGCTTACAGCATTCAGACATAAGAATATGATCACTAGATGAATTGCCTAATGCTGCCCTGGTCTTCATGATTGCCTCTCTTAGTGTGGAAGATGCTAGGCAGCAAGTGAATGTTTACCCATCAAAGATGGTGTGTAAGAAGGAGAAATTATGGGAATATGTAAAGATGTGAGTAAGGAACATTTAGCCGCCCACCTGTCCGTCCATCCATCCATCCATCCATCCATCCATCCATCCATCCATCCATCCAATTAGCATCACTGGCCTGTACAGGAATCCCAGGCCAGCTGAGGAACATAGTCCCTCCAGTGTATCCTGGGTATTCCTATGTGTCTCCTCCCATTGGGAGGATCACCAGGGAGTTGCACAGGCCTTTCCGACCTTAACCACTAATTTACTCTTAATTTACTGGTTGAGGATTCTTTGCGGATAAAGCCAGAATTGATTTACTAGGTAAAATTTTCCAGGCAATTTACCAGGTCAAGACCTGCTATCAAACCCACTAATTTACCGGGACCGCTGTAGTGTAAATAAATTGGTTACAGTACTGCCAAGGGTACCCACTTGCATATTTATGCAAAATATTTGTAGTGACGTGTTGCCTAACAGTCCTGAGTCCTGCTTCATGTTGTTAACCTCTTCAACAGCATAATCGCTGACAAACAGGCTGGCAATATTTTATCAAGGATTTTATCTAGAGAACAGGCAGGTCTTGAAACTGGTCAGACCAAGAAATAAGCAAACTGTCAGCGCAGAAATGGAAATAGTACAGCTGTCAGGAACTGTCCAGGACTTGGTTATATATGACAAGATAACTGCTGCTCTTCATATTTTGGTAACTAACCACGAGGTCAGATTCTATTTACGTTTAGACCTTCCCCTGATATCTGCCAGCCACTTCTCTGACTTCTCTGAAACTAAATGTCTTCAGTAGTATTCCTAAAGCTACTAACAACTGAAAGAACCGGTGATACAAAAGGCATTGGTTGTTATAGGTAATCAACTGCTTGACAGTGGTCATTTTCTGTCTGAATTTTTTCTTTAGTGCTTGGCTTGATCAGTAAAAGCTATACCCCTTGCAGTACTGCCACCTGCAGGTAATAAAAGGTACTCCAGTTCCACTATTACAGGGCTAAGTGTTCTGGAGCTGACCTGAATATTTAGTGGGACTAATTTGCATGTGTGAAAGGTGCTAATTCTTGTTTAAAATGAGAATGAGGTCCTTGTCAATTACTGGGTTATATGTGGGAAAGCTTCTGAAGATACTCTTTGCAAAGCATGCGTGTCTGCAAAGACAATGCAATGTTTTTGGCATTGATCTGTTGGGACAGCATGGATCCTGCCATCCATGTGAATGTTACTTACACTCCTACCCTAAGTATTGTTGGAGACCATGTAAACCCTTTTAATGGAAGCAATATTCCCCAGTGGCTGTGGTTCTTTTCAGCAGAATAATGCACCCAGCCACAAAGCAAAATAAATAAATAAATAAATGGTGAAAAACATTTCTCAGATTTGAGTCAAAATAACTCCAATATATTCATAAAGCAAAAACTGGAATACACAGTTCACGTCTTTACAGATGAAAACTGTGTCATATCTCAATTTCTTTAATCTATAACAACAAATTAGTGCGTTTCTTTACCCAATTTCCATTTCACCTCATATCTTGATAGTTCATATGGTGATAATATATGATTTCTGAAATTTGGCCTTAGAATTAAATGCAAGCAATGGTGAATGTGCTTGGGAAAAATGGACCTGTTGACTTAAAACTGTTAAAAAGATTTAAAGCCAAAAATATAGCTTTTTATTGTCCCCTAAAACAGCACATAATATGTCATTACAGACCACCTCCTAGCTGTAGCATCTCAGAATGATGAGCTCAGTGGTTGGATTACATCATGTTGCACTCCAGCTTACGATCTGCACACATTCTGCAGACACTAATATAAAAATGCTTCAAGACAATTTTTTTTTTGTGTGTGTAATTTTGCAGTAGCAGCTTTCTGATAAACCAATGTAACAAAATGTATCACGACAATACACACTCAACAATGCAAGTAATTGGTATTAGGAGCAGCTTGGTTATAATGCCTTCTATATGTTGGTCTTAGTCCTTCTCCCTGTATTTTTCATGTTGATTGTCATTTTGTTTGTATGTTTAAATTGCTTTGCAATTCTCCTAATCCTTTTCCATAATCTCCTTTTGTCTTTGGACATTTGCTGCAGCTTGGGCAAAAAGACAACCCAGCTGTGGACCCAATCATCCAGGGATTGAAAGGAGTAGTGCATCATGGTAAGTAATGAAAAAGGAACCTCGTGCAAAGTTTGCCTCATGTATTTCAAGGTAGATTAATATTTAGAGAAAGGATTGATGTTCTTTGCTTCTCTAGAATAATTCTATATTTTTTTTTATATGTTATGCTTCATACCTAAATCTCCTTATCACAAAGCATTACATTTGGAATTAAATTTGTGTGGGACTTTCAGAAAGCAATTGACCTTTACCGAAATCCCTTTGACATTGCCTCGTACTTGACAGGGGGTGATCCAAGAGGTACATATCTCTGGCACAGATTCTGACATGCTTGCACAAAACAAATATTGATGTTCTTCGATTCAGCTGCTTAAACATAACGTGTCACAAATATTTATATATATATATATTTATATATTTTTCCCTTGGATTAGTCTTATCACCAAAGAAAACTAGCAGAGTAAAACTTCAAAAGCAGAATAAATTTGCAAGATACCGCCTGTCCCTTGGCAGGAAAACTGCATGAGGAGACCTCCACATTTTCACTCATAAACAGAGCTATTAATTACATCTGAACCTCATTTAGAACGCCCCCCCCACAGTTTCTGTCTTGTATATCTTTTCATGGACTATGGCTTCTGCAAAGCCTCACACTCGCTTTTAACTATTAATGTTCTTTGTTATGTGCTGTGGCACAGGTCTTAATGACATTGCTCATTCCATAAAGTTACTGCTGCTGGGCTGAAATCACTGTATGCATATTTACTGCAGATTGAGCCTCACTGTTTGGCTCCTTTTAAAACCTGATGGTGGCAGTGATTTTTGCAAGCATTACTGTACACTTTCAGGGAGTTATACGTTTTGGAGCCATGATGCAATTTGTCTACCCCCGTGACGGCTTCACTCGGTTGATTCTGATAAAAAATTGAAAAGTGATTGATGTGTGGTTTTTGGACTTGCACAAATATGTTTGAGACGTGACAAAGACAGCAAAATATATTGGATAAAAGCCTCTCATCCCCAGAGACTACCAGCAAACATATTTTTTTGCAGTTTTTTTTTTTTTGCCCTGGGAAAGTAAAATGGGTCATTTTAACTGGATGAAAATCCAATAAAGAAAAACGACTGTTCTCTGATTAGTCTGCCATCAACTGGCAGACCATATCTGTTGCAGTTTTAGTTCACTGAATTATTGAAGCCCCTCTGTTTTCTAAAAGGCATTGGCCGGTACATGAGTGTGATAACCTTTAGTGGAAATAACATCATGCTGTTAGCATGCTAAACCAAGCATCACTTAAAATGTATAGCATCACATTATTGTGTTTATTTATTATTATTCAAGAATAGTACTGCTTAAGGTGGCTGAATGTTACAGAAGCTCTGCTAGCTTGATCTTCTTTTTACAAGAACTTTTAGTTTCTCCATTTGTGAATCAGAGTTTATTTTTTGGATATTATTTGCTTCAGGTGTTAAAAGCTGTGAAACTGGCTGGATTTATAATGTTATTTTTCCCTTTTTTTAATACTTGTTTTGATGCGTAACCACAGCTGCCATAGAAATTATATATTTTTTACACCAGGGAGCAGCTCTTTTACATCTCTATAGCTAAAATAATAGAGGAACCAACAAGAAGGCGCCGGGGATCCTGAACAGAAGCAATCAGACGACAGAGAACCAAGAAATATAAGCCATCTCTTCCATCAATCATCATGGGCAATGGGAGATCTTTAGGAAACAAGCTAGAAGAACTCCAAGCTCTAGCAAGGACCCAGACAGAATATTGGTAATGCAAAATGATGTGTCAGGCTTTCTGACCATATTAGCAGACAGAGATTTAAAGAACATTGGAACATTCAAAGGAGGTGGGTTGGCAGAGCTTGTGAACAACAGATGGTGTCATGCAGGACATGTCACTGTGAAGATTCCTCACTACAGCCAAGATGTTGAACTGTTGGCAGTTAGCTTTTGGCCATATTATTTGCCCAGAGAGTTTACCAGTGTTCTGTTGGTAACCATTTATATTCCACCATCTGCTGTTGCCAACACTTGTGAAGTAATCAGTTCCACTGTTTCTAAGCTACAGACACAACAGCAGAATGAATTTGTGGCAATAACCGGTTATTTCAATCATTCCTCACTCTCTGCTACACTGCTAGGGTAAGAGCATTAGAGCAAATGTTTTGAAAAAGCTCAATGTTCTAATACAGAGAGCTGGCCCTGTTCTAGTAAACTAGAGGAGAGGATTTCACATAGAACAATTTTGATAAAGTGAAGAAGATCATGCACAACAATTCAATTCAATTCAGTTTATCTATCTAGCGCCAATTCACAACTATTGTCATCTCAAGGCACTTTACAGTTCAACCAGATCATATAGACAAGTTGATTCAAAGTTTTCTATCTAAGGAAAACCAGTTGATTGCATCGCAATCCCTCAAACTAATCATGCTTGGAGCGACAGTGGAGAGGAAAAACTCCCTTTTAACAGGAAGAAACCTCCAGCAGAACCAGGCTCAGTGTGAGCGGCCATCTGGCCATCTCACAACAATGAGCATTCTCTTCAGAAGATTGACAAACAAAAAAAGAGTGTCTTCAGTCAGAGGTTTTTCCAGATCTGATGCAACACAGACCACAACAGAAGATCCAATATCTAAAAAAAAAAAAAAAAAATACATCTAGGAGTTACTGCAACATTTAATTTCCCAATAGGATTATTAAAGTGTTTTTGAATTTGACTTTAAAACTAAAACATTTTAATTGTTACTTGTTTTGCTGACATTAAACAAAATTTTAATTAGTGCTTCCATTATTGTTATCTATAACATTTATGTTATTTATTATTAATCTTTTTATGGTAATTTTGATTCTGATACATAAAAATGGATAAAAATTAAAACATGCACACATTTATGTAGCAGTTCTCAAGCTCTTATAGCACGGGATATAAATCCTTTCCCCATCTAGCCAGTGTGTAGGAACAGAAGTAAAGCTCTGTGATATTAGATGCTACATTAGTTGGCCCCTGTGGTTTGGTACTGTCTGCATTCAGCTGTGTGACGGTTATGATGCTCTTCATAGGGAGCATGAAATGTCATGGTTAGAAAAAAATTGTGTTCCTGTTCTTGTAGTCTCAAATAAAATAAAATACATTTTTTTGTTCTCGCTGAGTGTACACAAGTCTTTTATACCTTTATACCAGCATTTGACCGCTGCTTATTTTTGCAGCTTTAAGATAAAGAAATTGTTAAACACATCAATTACTTTATAAATCCGTGAGCTTAAACTCACTGTAATTGGATTTTTTCACTATTTGATTATTAAAAAAAACCCTTTTTTTAACTATTCAGAGATAAACAATAACTGCATATCTATAAACAGTCTCTGTGCCTTTAGGAGCATCCTTGGGTTCACTGTCTTGTTCAGGGATATTCTGTGTTATGGAGGGGTCAGGGACTGCTTGGTGAGCCCTGAATATTGGTCGACAACCTGCACTACCTTTGGAGCCAAAGCCTGCTTGGCATGATTGTGTGCTGTGCATATACACAGCTGTTTGTTCTAGCACCATAGAATCCCATTTCCCCAGCTGACAAAGAGCTTGGCATGGATGTTGCAGCTTTTTGGACTGCCGTCCTGCTAGCTGCTAAATACTCCTCGCCTTCTCCCCTCATAGGATGCTTGCTTTTCCACTAGCTCGTTATCCCACAGTCATCCATCCATCAGCATCTCGGCGGCCCAGTAGCGATAGGGCACGTACGCGTCTGAAGACATGGAGAAGAAAGCCCGTGCATACTGAGTCGGACTCAGAGTACAGATGAGGCAAAGGGGAGAGGCTTCCCCTGCCTCTGTTGTTTGAATACAAACCCCACCCTGAACCTCTGTTTCTTTAAAGATAAGCCATAGGCAGGGAGAGATTGGATTTCATGTAAATTCAGTTTTATTTTGGCTCCTTTCATAATTGTGGGAAAAAACAAACCGACCGCCATAAAGCTGACAGTATAAATGCAGCAGATAAAGCCATCTTCGTCTAGACGTTTTTCTTTTTTTTTCATTTGTATTTTTTCTTCCAGTCTTTGCCAGGTCTTAATCACACAATAGAACAAATCTGCTAATCATAATGATCTGTCTTAATCCCTGTGGCCTAGCCAGAGTTGTTACATAGAGCGAAGATCGTTGCCACCCAGTCACAGATCAGCTGTCAGGGTTGGCCATCTTATCAGACTCCCCTGCTTTTGCTCCTCTCTCAGTCCATCTCACTACAAAGATCTGGCCAGGGTGATAACAAGTACTGAAGCTTTTAACTACTGCCCTACCGTGAGAAGAGGTTTCAGGAACGCTGTAAAATGCCACAAGGAGGGTGAAATGGGGCCATGCCCAGAACACCAAGCTTTAAAGATCTGTTCACTAACATATTTTAATCCTATGTCTCTTCCAGAAAAGGAGACCAACCTCAGGTCATTCATCTTGAGGGATCTGCTGCCGTCGTCAGTGGACAGTTATTACCGATACACTGGCTCCTTGACCACTCCGCCCTGCAGCAAAGTAGTGGAGTGGATCATCTTCTCCAGGCCTGTGTATTTGTCCCACTCACAGGTGTGTTAAGTCCACTCACACACAGACACACACACTGTAACTGCTGTATTCGCAGCACACTAAGATCCCATTTGTGGATCCATTGCTGTTCACTGCTGTGAACGCACTAGCAATTTTCCCCATGAGCCTCACCTCCTTAGTCCCTTTAGCACGTTCCTCTCCAGCTCCTTTGCATATGAAACCATGACTGCATACGCAGGGCATGATTAAACAGGACGGCTGAGCCAATTACTGGCACCTATGCATACAGTAAGTAGAGTAGCAGTGGTAAGTATTGAACATGTCAAGGGTTTTCTCTGTAAATACATCTCTGATGAACTATGTGCATACAGTTCAAAGGAGATGTTTGTAACAATCCAAATAAAGAAATAAAATAAAAAACTGGATTCAAATACATTTTTTGCAGCCCTTGCCTGTGTGCCTTAAAACGTTTTACCTCCAGCTGTTATTGCTGTTTGTGATTTTGAGAGATAATATATGCCAAATCACGCCCCATGCCTTTTTTTGCTGATCCCCTCCCTTCCACAGTGCTTTGCTGCATCTTTTATACATTCAATTCTTAGGCTACCCAGCTGCATATTCTCTAGTGCATTCTGTGCCGTAGAAATTTGCAGGGCTCAGTGGAATTTCTATGAACTTGCATGAGGACAAATCTTTTGTTCAAGAATGACTTCTGCTGCAAGGATATTGACCACCTCGACAATGTTTGTGACGCTCACAGATAGTCCTTTATGAACCTGTAATTCATTTCTCCAAGCACCCATAGGACACATTGATTCCACAGTATCTGTAATGTGTAGTCATTACAGCGCACGGCAGGAGATCATTCTTGGCAATCAATGGCCACAAATTTGCCCCATTGAGAAGTTACAGCCCAGCAGGTAGCCAGGGTGATGATTGAAGTCTGTGCCTGCTGCTGCCTGTGGTGTAAATGTTTCTTGCAAATACTGCTCTCCACTTGTGAACATTCAGCTACTGGCAAGTGACTACAAATGCAGTGCTGCATGATATATTATATTTAACACATTCAGACGAACATTGACTCAGTCGCACAAACACACACAGCAACTGTAGCACTTAAATTAGCTTGATAGATATTATGTGTGTCTCTCTATCCAGCTGGATGCTTTTTACTCCATCTTCACCACGGAACAACAGGACCACGTCAAGTCTGTGGAGTACCTGACAAACAACTTCAGGCCCCTGCAAGACTTGAACAATAGGAAGATTTTTAAGTCGGCTGTGAAAGATGCATGGCAGAAAGATTTGACTGAGATATTAGGAAGCCCACACAGCACTGAGGCCTCTAGAGGTAAGATTTTTTTTTTTATGTCTGAAAAGACGTATTTTCTGAACACAAATTGTCGTAGTTTTCTATTTTATGTGTCAGACTGAGCTGTTGTTAGGTGTTATCTCTAGATGGGGGTGAATAAATTGTAAATGTTTTTCTTTGTAACAGGCTAAAAAAAAATCTTGAATTTGTTATTCAGTTGGTTGTCTTTGAGGTTCTTGTGGGTTAATTATCTTGTCTTGCTCTTTGATGCTTTGGTTCATCGGTTAAGTGCTTAAAAAATTAACAACAATGTTTTCCTTCTCCGAAAACCGTCAAATATAGAAGGCTGGTCCAAGACATTCTAAAAATCAAAATCTTTTTGCCATTTAAATATATTTTAGATATTGCTGTGCTTTTGCAACGAAATAAATAAGAAGTTGCTAGAGACCTATGGGCAGTAATAGAAAGATTTGCTTTTGAGGATTTTTCAGTTTTATTTCCATTTAGAATTTCTGTTTAAATGGTTAATACAACTAGGAAGATTATGATTTTTTATATATCTTTTTTTATATATTGTCAAAAATTTATACTTTTGGACATATGCTATTGCTGCTAACACAAAAGGAACTTCATACTGTTCCCAATTTGGCCCCAAAGATAGTAAGGGGAAAGATTTTTTAATCAAAACTTCACCCTTAGTTTATGATAGAATATTGAGATAAAAATATTCTGATGGATCTTAACAAATGCTTCTGTATACTCTTACAGGGTAAGCTTCAGAAATAAAGGTTACTCAAAATTAAAGTGCATTCTGTAAATGTTGAGTAGCACATAAGAGATATAGATAAAGGAAGTGGAGCTTAATTTTGTATCATTTAAAAAAATTGGTCCAATTGCTACAGTAAACAAATTTGGCAGATGTTAATTATTCAGATTTTTTGTTAAATAACTGCTGCTGCTGTTGTTTTTATTGCACACTCACTGCACAAATGAATATAAGGCATTAGTTAAATATGGTAGAATTGTTTCCTAAAGTATTTGATTCACAAGTACAAATGGATAGAAGTTAAAAAAAATATATACATATATATTTTTTTTTTTCAAAACCATGAGGCATGATAGTTGTTAATTATTTACAAAGGCCACATTAGTTTTCAGTAAAATGTTTTCATTGGTGTCCTCCCTAATTTGTTGTTTCAGAAACAGTTTATAAGTTCCAATTAGATTTGATTAAAACATTAATTAAAATGTATGAGAGCACATGGTAGCATTAGTTATGGGTCCCCCTGCTTTGGTTAATGAGCACCGTGATGTATTGCTCTAAAAAAGTTTGAAAAAGGAAAAAGAGGAGAAAATAGCCTCCTAAAGTGTTTCTATGTAGCCAGAGTTCAACTTGATTTAATGAGTTAAGATGCACAACTTAGTGACAGCTGTTCTTAGTTTGGATCTACCTTTTCATTTTTTTAAAGTGAGAAGCATATTTCTTACTAGTTGTTGCTGAATAAATAATGGAGATCAAAATGTGTTCAATGAAAAAAATGCTATGTAAGTATAATAATAAGCAGTGAGTGTGTTACAGTAATCTGTACGGAAATACAGACTTATCGTTTTAAGTAGCTCTACTAGAGTCAGAAAAGCAGAGAGGGGCCAGAGGCCCCATGTTGCCCTATTGGTGCCGTGAGCATATCCCATGATAGCAGAGTCATGTGTGAGCTTTATTCGGCATATTTATTGTTTATTATAGGAAATCTCAAAATAAAATAAAAAAAAAGTTTTTACTTATAATGCTAATATGACCATATTCAGGTTTTTTGGGAGTGAATTTGTTTTGACAGGTTTTACTCAGTGACGTTACTGGATCAGCACTGTTTCAAACATGGTTAAAGTTGCTGTTTGACTGAGACTTGAAAGTTCCCTCATGTCAAAACACAGACATCACGTGAGCCTTGATCAGAGTATTTTTGTTTGTCTTTTTGGCTTTTATGTGAGTCTCTTCCTTCTCTTGCTTTATCAGAAAGTGCAAGAACTCAAGAGACTAATGAGAAAGACTGCTGCTCCCTAAATTGGTGTTGTTGGTGTCTGGCAGAGAGAATTGATTGGGAATGCTTGTGATGAAGTTGGAGCACTCTAAAAGAGCCGATCAGCAATCATCATTAATTTGTGGCATAGCTAAAATAGACTCATACAAATTAAGTTGTAAAATTGCTTTTGTGGTGCTATCTCACTGGGCAGGATGAATGAACATCAGCTTATCTCACATTTTCTCTCTTCTCCTTTTTCTTTTGGTCATTTTCTTGCAGTATTTAACTGTTGAGCATTCATGTTTTTTGTTCTTTGATGTAAAATATACCATTCTTAAAATGGGAAGATTACTTTTCTTTCTTTAGGAGTAATATCTCTTGAATTTGTGCTGTGAGGAATACTGTATAGTTTTTATACTTATGAACCAAATGACAGCTATGACTTTTAAAAGTTTTTAAATCATTTGATAAGGCTGAAAGATTTTATTGATAAATCAAATTCTCTGTTAATGAAAATGAAATGTTTGGAAAATCAGGATTTTTTTCCAAACCTTGGTTTTCCATAGTGTAGTTCATTACTTTTCTTTTTTGAATGTCTTCTCATAAATAATAAACTATCTGACTATGTATTAGCATTAGCAGAAAACATTTAGTGTTACATTTTATTACATTGTATTTGGTCACATTGGAGGAAACTGTCTATTTAAAGTAATCCCACTGGGATTCTTGTAGACTTGGACGAAGCAATTTAACGAAGGCTCAGACTGTTCAACTACCACCTTTAGACAATCACACGATGCTTCTCTGTATTATCTTGTTCTAAAATGGTCTTGTCAGCTTAACAAGCTTGTGTTTAATGGGACATAGACCTTCAAATAATTCAAATTTTTTTCTTACCAGTCCCAAGAATATCTTCCCTAATGTCACGGGGATCACCACTATGTGTCTTGCTTTGTTTTCTGTTTGCTCAGCAGTGGTTTCAGATGTGTCTCTCTCTTGGACGCCATTTTAGGGAGCCTTTTCCTTATTGTTGGTTTAAGAAAATTGGGCTTAACACCAAGACAACTGAGACCTACTGTGCTTTAAAATGTTGCTCTTGGATCTTTGTGATCTCCTTGATGAGTTTTCCATGCACTCTGTGAGTCATTTTAGTTCTCTGGCCAACCTGGGAAGGCTTAACACTAAGGTGTGCCTTCACCATTTGGGAAAAATTATTATTCCTGTGATAAATTGTATTCTGTATCTTTACTGAGCATCAAGTGTTAATAGAAAAAGAAAATAAATAAATCAAATCTATAAAATAATTTGCTGATTCTTGATGTAAAACATTTTTCTATATAATTATGAAAACTGCTTATTGTGTTTTTAGGCTCATCAGTTCTGATGATTTGAATCATTATATTGCTGCAAAAAAGGAATAAATGACTGAATTCAGTGTAATGCAATTTGGAGTTCCTAGACTTGAACATGAATGCAGCTCATTTACCATTTCCTGCATCACAACCAGAGTCTCTAAAGACTGATCAGGCTTTTTCATTGGGATTGATTCCTTTTTTTCATGAGAAATTTTTTTTTTTTGGCATTTCGTCTGAGGCCTTCAGGAAAGATGAACTGATTAGGAGATATTGTGTTGCAACCACACCAATGAGCTCATATGAAAGAAAGAATTGTATTTTCTATACTAGATTTTAGACTTAGACAAAATTTATTGTCATATTGTACACACAAAGTGTATACAAAACGAAATTTCGTTCAGAACAGCTCTCCAGACATTTCCATTTCTAAAGTGCAGCAGTGATCAAATGTAAACATGGTGATCAAATGTAAACATAAGACTGTATGATTTACGGTTTTTCCAACAAAACATTCAGCGCTTTTTTTTTTGGATCTATCTTTTGGTGTCTGGAGACCAACGTTCAACATCCAGTTTCAACTTTGCCGTTAGCCACAATAACTGTAATTTTAGTAAAAGAGAAATGGAAGGACAGCTCTGTGGAAGGTCAGAAAAACCATTATTTTAAGAAACCATGTTGTTGTTTTCAGGTAGGCGATCTAACGGCAGAATTGAGAGTTAATTTGGAGTAACTCTGCTGTTGGTTGGACAACAGAGATTCTCCAGAGATGAAAGGTCAAGATTAAACTTTTTTTTTTGCCAGTGTGAAAGTAGAAAACTCAGCTTCTTTTTCCCAATAGCATCTGATTAGGAGAAAATGTCTTTTTTTTCTTTGCAGATATTTTTAATAACAGCATGATGAGTCACTATGTTGTTCTGTTTCAGCTCATTGACTTAAAAAGGTCTGACACTGCGAACAATACCAAACAGAGTTTAATAGAGATCAAGGTTGAGCAATGCCAATGATGTGTTGTCTTAGTTGCCTCTAAAAAATTATCTAAGTAAAAAGAATCTGCAAAGTCTGACTTCAGAGCTTTTTATTTTAAAAGCATGTTTGGTATTTTGCTCTTTAAAAATGACTCAAGCAGACAGTTTAAAATGCAGTGGTAACTCCAGCAACAGCTTCCCATGATCACAAAACAGGTGTTGTAGTTACTGTGTTGTTGTTTGTCCCCCAAATGGATTTCCTGCAAAGTTAAGTAAAGTGCTAGTATGTTTAAATCAGATGTATCCCTTTCTTGGTGTTTTCAGATAAGTTCATGTTCCCTGCATCATTCCTGTTTTGGCTTTGAAACATTTCGTACAGCCTTCAGAAGCGATACCCAGTGAAGCGGCTTTGTTGACAACAGTTATTTTATCCTCCTCATTGTTGATGCTGCCTTGAGAAAGAATCCCACTCTGCGCTGAGTGGTGCTGCAGGAGGAGACTGTAGCTTTTGAGATTATTTTCTGGAGGTTAAAGTATGCATTGCATAAAATCAACACATGAATGTTATGATGTGTTTTGGCTTTTTGTAATTACTGATACCGATATAACATTTACATTCTGGTTCTTTGTGCTCACTGCTTTATGTTGATCATATTTAGCCTCAATAGGTCGTCTGCAACAGTTCCTGGAATCAAAACACCAGTGATGTCAGTGGATCAGTGGGGTTTAAAAATTAATCCTTTACTGTCGCGTTTACTGATAAATTTAAAAAAAAAAGTTGCGTGGGTTTTTCATTTTTTGTTTCCCATATGCAGGAAGCATGAGGATTTATTTGAGCATACAAAGCAGAAGCTGATGAGAAGCTTTCCAGAGAATTATTAATACACTGATGTTAATCGTGAAATGGAAGAGACTTTCAGGACAGTAAAGATCCCGCCTCCAAAACCATGGTGATATCCTCAGCTGCTATTAAATTATTGTTCTTGAGCTACTGAACCTGACAACGAACATCCGACAGGTTATGATGCATTTCGCACCTGTCACACCTAATCAACACCCTGAGATTTTCTTCCTCTTGTTTTTTTTTTCTTTCTTCTCCCCTGTGTGCCTTTGACTGATTCCCTTCCCTCCTTGTCTGTCTTTCTTCCCATCTCTCACATGTCATGGTGCATAATTTGCGTCCCAGCCTCACTGTGCAAATGGGGAAAATTGTGGTGACAATTTCAATTTGGCAGAAACCCTAAGAGCACATAGTCATTTGACACCAGCTTCTGATTGCTACTGCCCTGATGTGCAGAGAGGCCTGTCCAGATTGTCCCTTGCTCATACTGATGGAGGGTTGTGTAAATATCTATGCGGCAGCCTGCACTGCCACCTTCAGGGGGACTCAGGTTTTTTTTGTTTTGTTTTTTTGTTTCATCCTTCTCACACAAACTGCTTTGACCTATACAGAGTAACATCCAAATGAAGATTAGGTAGAAAGTACCTGTTCTCTGCATAATGAGAGTAATATTAAGACGGTTCAATGCTAAAAAAATACATTTTTATTTTTTGCTTAGAGGGTTCTGTATTAAAATAATTTAAAATCCAAATTTATGTTCAACCTGATTGCTATTTTTTACAAAGCTTGAATTTTGTAAACTATTCATGCAAATTTTTTCCTGTTTTATTTTCTTCACCAGTGTGCAGCAGTGCCCCAGTGAGCATGAAAATCCAGCCGTTGAACGAGTCGGCCTTGATGGTGAGCTGGGAACGGCCCCTTACTATCTACCACCCACCCATCACTAGCTACATGGTCTCATACAGCTGGGTGAAACGGGATGTGGCAGACGAAAAAACGTTCATAAAGATGGGTGACCAAAGCATGGTAAGAATGATCCAAAATCACCAAATCATTTTCATTTAACTTTCTTTGTGTGTTTTATATTTTGATTGTGATTGCTTTGATTTGAATATTTGTTAAATTCCAACCTTATATTGAATTTATGTATATGTATATTTGCTTGTGCAAATTGTCAGTCCTTTGGGTCATGGCAACCAAAAAATCAGAGGCTCAGTTTTTCTCTGAAAACGTTTCCAGTAGGCCTGCAACTAACTATGGTTTGGCTAATCTACTGTATTAATTGGCCAGTTATTTTTCCATTTAATTGATTTATAATCAGATACCAAAAAGTTCCTTAAAGAAGATTTTTTACACTATTTAAACAAGTTTAAACTAAAACTTTTACATTTGATGAGTTCTAGATAGAGCATATTGACAGAAAAAGTTTTTAATGTCTTAAATGAAAATCTTTTCCTTTTCTTTTTACAATTTGGTATAATTACTGCTCTAAGTGGTTTGGTCTGTCAGCTAAAGACATATTCTGGAGTCTTTATACTCCAGTTAACGATAAGTCAATTACTAAAGTAGTAGACAATTATTTAAATAATCGATTAATCACGATTCATTTGATTTTTTCCACACCTATCCAAGAGTCTTTGTCAATGCTGTCACCTCGCACTAGAGCACTAAATTATTTGTAATGATACTAATTCTCATTTGTAAATATATTTGTGCATTTTGGCACAATTGTATTATTTGTTGTGAACGTTTTAGCTTTATTCAGTTATTTTATTCTAATAGTCAGTGGCTGTTCCTGGAACAGCTGTGATTTGTGTGCAGAGCCTCACATGCATCTGTCAGGCTGAGACAGTGGCCAGATCACTGACAGTGTGTAAAGGGGGAGGCAGGTTGTGATGAACTCTGCATGTGGCTGTTGCTTGATATGAGGACGCAGACGCTTCCCCTGTCACTCACCTGTCTAACAATAGAAACACAGGCCTGTCGCAGACGTTGACGCATCGCGACTGATATATGTATAATGAGCTGACAAAAGCCCTCGTGGCCTTTCCCCAGAACCAGCGTTTGCCCTGTCGCCCGTTGTTGGTTTGTTTTTTATTTGTCTCTGTTTTTCTTTTGGCATTGATTTAAATTTGAAGTACATTGTGAAGTCGAGCGGGGTGTAGCAGGGTCTGAAAGTTAATTCAAATTCAAAGCTGTGCAAACAAAAACAGAGTTTACGCTTTAGTTTTAGCAAGGTGGAAAACCAATAAGAATCCTAAAAAAAAAACATAAATCTGCAGTGGTTCCCAAAAGCAGAAGCAGCTCTTTGAACACAGGCTTCCTTTAATAACAGATGCAGAGCAATGTAGTCTTTAAGATCTCTGATCCACTGATCGCTTAACTCATTTCTGCCGCCTTAAATATTGGAATACCTCTTCAGTCCTTACATGATCATTCCTTTAAAACATTTTGGCATGTCTACAGAAATAAATCTTCTCTCTGCTTGAAGCTGCACCTACTGGGATGTTCCTTTTTCACACTATATAGCCTTCTCTCCGGTCACATCTCTTTTCATTTCTGAATTTCCAACATCCAGCTGTGCATTTCTTTCAGGCCTTCTGACCCCCTGCTGTCTCCGTAGTTTGCATGACTGCCTCTTTAGATATAAACAGAACCAGGTCAAAACAATCACCCACCAGTTCAGAATAGTGGGATCAGTTCCCTGGTGACACCGCTACCTCTAAACTGGTCATGCATTGCAAAATACACGGTTGCCATTGCCACGGGTTGGCGAGACGTCTCGCACACTTGCTGTTCCTGTGACTCCCTTTTTTTGTACGGAACAGTGCGCAGAGAGAGCATGATCCAAAGGAAGGCATTTGATAAACTATTGTAGTTTGAACTAGACTATAGAACTTTGATTTCCTGATTAAATCCAGAATTCATATTTCCTTTTTATTTACAGTGATCTAAAATAGGTAATTGGACCACTGAGCAACAGTCCAGCCCTTTAATCTCTTTGTCTTATAATGTTCTCTCTGCTTTGGGAGTCGTTCAACATGTCTTGGCAAATAGCCCCGAAACCTTGAATTGTTGTCAAGTCTGAGGTTATGTTTGTTTCTTGACCAAGATTTTCTACCGTACACTTTCCATCCACTAAAGGACAGTGGCTTCGGATGAAGGACTTTGAATCCTGAGGTTCTGAGTTCGAACCCCACTCCCACACACTGCCACTCTGGCTCTCTGAGCAATACCCTTAATCCCCACACTGCTTCCCGGGCATCCCACAATGGCAGCCCACTGCTCCCTAAGGGGATGGTTTAAATGCAGAGGTAAATTTCTCTGATGTGGGATTAATAAAGTTCAATTCAATTATTATTATTGTTTACCCTGTAGCCGGTGTGTTGTTGGTTCAAGACCCAGCTCTGGCTTTCAATGTCATTGGGCAAGACACTTCACCTGCATTGCTTACTGATGGTGGTCAGAGGCTCTGGTAGTGCCATTGTACTGGAGCCTCGCTTCTGTCAGCGAGCCAAAGGGCACCTGTGGCTACAGTGTAGCCTGCCACCATCAGTGTGTGACTGTGTGCGTGAATGACTGAATGTAGTGTAAGTCAGAAACTCATGATTTAAACAAAACGCCATATAAGTAGAGGCCATTTGGGAGGTGATGGCCTAGTGGTTAGAGCAGTGCGCTTGTGCACTGAGGAGGTTTCAAGTACTCGGTTCAATCACTACAGGCTGCACCCTGGGTTCCGGAGCAAGACCCTTAACCCCACACTACTCCCCAGGCATCACACAATGGCATCCCACTGCTCCCCAAGGGGATAGGTTAAGATGCAGAAGTGAATTTGTCCATTGTGAGTTTGCAGATGTTCAATTTTCTTTTTTCTTTTTTTTCTTTAAACTTTCCACTATGCTACGGTATGAACTGCCAACTTCTCTACTACTACTTTAAGTTGGCTAACCAATTTAAGGAAAGTGTCAGCAACTGTCTGATGCCCAAATGCTAAAGTAACAACCACTATTCCTTAATATCAAAATGCACATAAATAAAACTTCTTTTTTTTGCAATAGTTGTGTAGGTTTTTATAGGTCAGTCAAACCACATGGGCTACTTAAGGAACTGGTGCTGTTGACAGATTTGGAAATATTTGACCACCATGTGGATGCTATCCTTAGGGCACAAATAGCTCTGTAATATGAGCACTGACACTAGCCTACTGCCAAATGAATCACACTGTGATATGAAGGTCAATGTTTTTGAATGGCCATCCCAAAACTGAGGATACATGGTTTGTGTGCATAAGGTGGTGTACAACATTGTAATCATCAACTTTATGTACTAGGTACACCTAAGACAAAATAGAATAGCTGATGCAGACCGACAGGAAAAAAAAAAAAAATTCTGCTTAAGGAAATGAGTTTACATGCATTTTGTTGACTTGTTTTCACGTGTGCACATGTTTAATTGCTTGATCCCAGATTTATTTTTTAAAGACTCCCAGTATTCTACTTTTATGCCCTAAAAATGAACCCTTGTTGAATATTTATAGACTCTATGAGAAGAGTGGGGGTGGAGATGTAATTTTAACATTTTTAAACCAGTTGATTAAACTATTTAGTGAAAAAAAAGAAAAGAAAAAGGTTTTACTCACATTTTTTGCCATGCAGCTCATTTTTATGCTGCATGCATTAAAAAAATGTCTGGAAGGGATCTTTTACTTGAAATCTAGCCTCTGAAGCTTAAAAGTGATGGGCAACTTAGTTAGAATGAAATAAGACTATAGAGCAATGCTTCTTGCTGTCAAATATGGCCTTCCAAATCAAGTTAAGGCTTTGCTCTGCTAAAGATGGATTAATTTATATTCCCTGAGATTTTTTGAACCCCCAAAAGTCTCTCTAGCTTCCCAACAAATCCAGAAACCTGCCACAACAATGACTGCGGTTGATTTTAAACATAGCTAACATTTCAGTTTCAATCTTCCTCTGCTGGTTATTTGTTGCCCCTGGCAATTTGCAGCAACATTTAGTGACCTTTTTGTTCTCCATCAACCACGCTGAGCCCCGAGGTTGTCTGGCACAACAGTCATATCTCCACAGTCTTAGTTTTCATCCCCTGTTTTCTGAGGCATCGTCAGACAACGGGAGCAAGCAGAGTCTTCTCTATTAGAGCTGCTGTACTGTGGAGAAGCGTGTGTAGGCGTGGGATATGGAGAAGAGTCAGTTCTTAAAGCTCATATTTGAAGGTTGTTTTGTGAGTTAAATAACACAATAATACAACTGGAGGATTGAAATGCTTTCTGTCTTTACCAGTTCTTTTAAGCTGACTTTCACTTAAATGTCTTTTTTTTTTTTCAAATATCTTAAATTGGCTGGAGGTTTATATTACTTTTGCTTAAATAGATGCTAAAAGAGAATCATTACCGGTGCATGGGGTGCTGTGTTGCTATATTATATATTAGTCCACTTCTCCCTCAGCTGGCAGTCGCTCTTATTTGGCCACTTTCATTTCCATTTCAATTTTCTGTCTTCTGTGTCTGGAAACTTTATCTGAATTACTTTGCAAAAAAAAGAAGAACTGGCTCTGGATCAGCATAAGCAATCACCCATCCAATTTTGTTGACAATTTTATTATAACCATAGCCATCTGTGAACACTATTAAATTAGGCGGAAAAATGACAGAAGATTAGTATAATATATTTCCCTTTCAGGTATCACAATCCACTCCTTTAGGTAAAATTTAACTACTACTTCATACTATTTAAATCCTTTTTTAACTTGTTGAAAATGTGTCCATCTTGTGTTCTTTTGCAGAAAGCGGTCATTACTAACGTCTCCCCGGACCTACTCTACCTGTTCAAGGTGCAGGCAGTGTGTCAGCATGACCTCCGCAGTGACTTTAGCCAGAATCTGCTGTTCAGAGGTAAACAGTTAAATCCCTGAAGTGCTTTAGGAGCTCTGCGTGCTACATTTGAACTCTCTTTGAGTCAGGCACGTAATTACTTTGTTTTTAAAAGCTTCTCTATTTTTCTTCTTTCTTTATCAGCAAATACAACAAGGATATTTGAAGGCTCTCGCATTGTGAAGACTGGAATGGTTAGTTGGTCAGAAAATTACTGTCCAAAAGCAAGAACCCTGAACTGTCTGCAGATGTAAAAATCATATATACTTCCCGAATGTATTTAATTTCCTGCTGTGTGTTCCATCCATCCGTCCGTCCGTCCGTCCGTCCATCCATCCATCCATCCATCCATTTAGTCATTATACCTGAAATCCAATTGTATGTTTTATCTGTATTTTTATTTCATAGTTAGAATATGGCAATTTTTAAACTATTATGAAATTTTTTTCTATATATTTTTCATTTTGTCTGCCCATGAAATGCGTTTTTATCATTTCTAGGGTTGTTGGAGTCTCGTATCAACAGTTTGGCTACTGTAGCAAAAACATAATGAATCCATGTAATTATACCCTAAAAGTAAACCAAAAATTGCTCAAAAACTATGAAAAATGTGTAGGATGTATTTAAAAATGATTCTTATGTGTTACCATGATTTTCATCCTGCCTTTTCTTCTCAGCCCACAGGATCTCCAGCGTCATCAGCAGATATGGCTCCAATAAGCTCTGGTTCGTCCACCTGGACATCCTCTGGTATCCACTTCTCCCTGGTCTCTATGGCCACCGGCATGGGCCCCTCGTCCAGTGGCAGTCAGGCCACTGTAGCATCAGTGGTGACCAGCACCTTGTTGGCAGGCTTGGGTGTTGGCGGAGGGGTTATCTCCTCTTTGCCCAGCTCTGTCTGGCCAACACAGACACCTCCTGCCCCTCAGAACCCGACACATCCATCCACCCCGCCTTCGAAGCCCAGCACTGAGCAAGCCACTCATGGGGCTGAGAGTGAGAAGCAGGCTGAGGACAAACAGGCCTCCGGTGAGGGGGAGGAGGAAGAGGAAGAGAACGGTGAAAATGGAGAGGAAGAAGAGGAAGAAGAGGAAGGAAAAAAGAAAAAGGACAAGAATTCACCTGATAACGAGAAGCAGGCAAACAACACTGTGTCCGAAGAGCCTTTAATCCCTACCCCCGCATCCACAGCCAAAGAGAAAGGAAAGGGCAGTCCAACAGCCACAGCCCCTGCAAGTGCTGGTGATGACTGCTTGGTAAACAAGGAGAAGAGACCCACAGCAGTAAACACAGTCTCCACTCAGGAGCCACGGAATGACAGCGCTGAGATGCAGATTCCTCAGAGCTCCACTGTAGCTCCAAAGAATAAAAGTGATGGAAAGGGTCACTGGCCTTTTCTGGTCCACACTGGTGAGCATATCTTTCTTTCCAACACATGTGAAAGCCTTTTAAACAGAAAGTGGTAAAAACAAAAATCTCTCTGAGCAATTTAGAGGTCTGTTTCTGTTGTAACCACCCTTATTACAAGGAAATACTCTTCCAGTGCAGGGTTCGGTAAACATTACCAACATCTACCAAGGCCAATTTAGGAGAACAAATAACTTGACACAAGACAGCAGATACAATAGTTACCATCTCAGTCAAAGACAAAGCTCTAGGCTTGTGTGTCACCACAATGTAGAGGCCTGAAGGAAGAAGACGGCTGTCTGCCAGAGGGCTTCTGCCTCAAGGAATTCCTTTAAGCATTTTTCAAAAGAGTTTGCTTCAAGGCAGAGCTTTTATGAGTTTTTTTTTTCTATCACAGTGCTGGAAATGATTAGTTCCTTGAATACAGAATATCAGGAATTCAATTGCGTGTGAGGATTTCTCAATAATACATTTTGGATGAGAATACAAAAGAAGGAACACAGAGCAAAGGCAGAAGGGTTGGGGTTAAAGTTCAGCAATTACAGCAAATGTTTGGTCATCCCTGAAGAAGTGTCTTTATTTTTTTCAAAGGTAGTCCCAATATATTCTTTGTATATAAAAGGTAATCATTATTAACAGATGATAGGTAAGATTGTGATAGTTATAAAACGTATTATTTGTAGTATTCTAACTACAATTGCCTTATTTTTGTATTTATTTTTATTACCAGGTTGGTTTTTTTCCCTGAGCTTTTTCACAGCATTTACGATTTTTATAACAATAAAAACACAATTTTTATTCTTTTGGCATTCTTATTTTGTTTGGAAGAGCAAGCGACATTTTGATTTGAACAAACAGACAAAACTCTTAAAATCTTTTGAAATGGTAAGGCAAGACAAATTTATTTGTATAGCACAATTCAGTACAAAGACAATGCTAAGTGCTTTACATGATTAAAATATAGGAAAATAAAACAGAATCAAAGCAGGTAGGAAAATAAACAAACAAAAAAGAAATATTAAAAAAAGAATATTAAAAACAGTTGGACTAAAGAAAATAAAAAAGTTGAACTAATGATGTTTCAGTTGAACTGTTTAACTAGAACAGTCGAAGGCAATCGACTGTTACTGCTCAGACATAATGACAAAAAACTAAAGAAGTCTCATTATCCTTATATATGAACTAATCTGTTACAGACCGTGTTCTCTGTCAGCTAGTGCTCTGTTTTTTATTCTATATTCTCTGCTTCTACCCAGCTTTACCATTTATGACATTTTGCACTGAGGTGTAGACCAATGATATAAATATCCTTACTGAAGAAGAGTAATAAACATACTCCATAGATCAGGAATCAAATAAATCAAATTTCAGTGAGGCTTACTTTTTTTTATTGATTTTAAAGCTGATTGTATCATATTATCTTCACATTAAAGATAAAATAAAGATAATTCTGGGATTAAAATGAGCAGTATTGGTGAAAGAGTAGAAAATATTTATGATTTTTTTATGATGTTTACTTCACCTGCATTGTCTACTGATGGTGGTCAGAGGGCCTGGTGGCGCCAGTGTACGGCAGCCCCGCTTCTGTCAGTGAGCCCCAGGGCAGCTGTGGCTACAATGTAGCTTGCCACTATCAGTGTGTGAGTGTGTGTGTGAATGGGTGAATGAATGTAGTGTAAAGCGCCTTGGTCAAGTCTCCTAACTTGAATAAAGGCGCTATATAAGTACATGCCATTTACCATTTACCATTTTTTTAATGTTATTGTTTTTGTAGATCCCTTTCCTACTCCTTTTCAAACGTGTATGATATATTAGTTTGTTTTCTAAACCAGTTATGTCCATGTCTGAAATGTATACAACTAAATAAGCCTTTGTTTAAGGCTGTCACATTTTCCTCTTCTAGATCAAACTGTCTTGTCCAACGTGACGCGGACCCCTCACCCAGGAATGGGCAGGATGGTGTGGATCGTGCCCCTGGTGGTGGTGTCTGCTCTCACTCTGCTGTGCCTCATCATGCTGCTAATCGTGATGGTCTACTGGAGGTGAGACAGAGTTGAATAAACCAAACATAACTGTATTTTAGAGCCCCTTTCGCTCTGTGAGAGAGCTTTTTTTTTTTTTTTTTTTTTTTTTTTTTAAGACACTGGTCAAATACTTTTACATCAGCATCTCAGCTTGATAGGAATCTGACTGGAAGGCACCTCTTTTAGAGGCATGAATAACTGAGCGCCCCTCATCTGCACTGCCTCCACTATCTTTATCTATCACCTAATTTGCAGAATGACAGCCCCTTTATGCATTTCTGGTGTTTTCCAATCAGCACAAAGCAGTCTGGGTGTGTCCTTTAAAGGCACATGCATCCATCTTGTGGTTAAAAGACCCCCTCTGCTGCCTCCACTTTGCATACACAGCACCATCACCCAACTGGGTGAAATGGAGAGAGACCTTAAGGCCCTACAGTTCCAGCCCAGGTCCCAGCTGTGTCTTCATCTGCTGGGCTAATTTCCAGCCATGCCATTGGAGCTCCAGTAATTACACAGGCCAGGCCACTAGCACATGTCGGATGGTGGTTAATGAGAAACAAATAGCGCTGTGGGCCACTTCTTCAGCCGGTGCCAGACATATTTACTGCTGCTGCTTTGCAGAGGATTATATTTGTTTCCACACTCTCCTTTTTAGATAGAACTGCTCTGTTAGATTACTACACCAAATAATGTTTATAGCACCTTACCGTGGCAGATAATAAAGTTGTGATATAAATAAAAGCCTGGCTATCAGCTCCAGGGAAGTGCAAACCAAGGGGGGAAAAAAAGAAAAAACAACAGCTGGAAAGGAGGCGACTGTAGTGGATTCATTTGGTGGTTGAATTAGTGTGAGTTGTGGTATTGGAGTAGAAAAGCAGGGGCAGCTTGAGATTACAGCAGCTGTTGTTGTGACAACTCCGACAGTTCACAGACAATGGCTGCTTCCCCTCGGGAAAAGGCCATGATGGAGGATAAAATTCACACTCTCTTAACTCTTCATCTTCAGCTTAGCCTCTCGATAAAGTGGCGATTAAAGCCAAAGTTACTCGGATTAGAGATATTTTTGGCACCGTTTGCCCAATTAGAAAAAATCTTTAGCAAAGCTTGAAAAATTGCTTACTGCTATGAAGAAATCAGTCTACAAGTTTGTTCCGTATTATTATTTTTTTTGTAAATTTGATATAAAAAATGAATTAAAACCTGAGTGAATACAAAATGTAGCCCTCAACTAATATTTTAATACAAAAGCAAAAAGAACCATCTAACTAAGCAATTTCCCTCTAAAGCTAATAACGGATTGCTCCCCTCTTGGTGACAGTAGCTCCCAACAAGCATTTACAATAATTGGTAATGAGCTGTTTGCATTGCTGTGCAGGAATTCGCCCCAGATTAGTTTCAATTCAGCCACATGGAAGGGCTTTTAAGCATGAACGGATGGTTTAAGGTCATTCCACCACATATTGCACCCAGAAGTCTGGATTAGATTAGGTCAGTTCATTTTCAATTTGGTTTTCTTTTGGACTTCTGAGCCATTCTAAGTTGGACTTGCAGGTATGCTTTTAGATTATTGTCCTGCTGCTTCAACTCTGTTTTTGAGCTTAAGGTCACAAACTGATGGTTGGGAATTCTCCTTAAGGAGTTTCTTCCAGACAGCAGAATTGTCTGTTCCTTTAAATAGACCAACCACCCACTCTCTAAGGCAGCAAATCGGCCTTATATCATTATTCTACCTCTACCATGTTTGACAATTGTACACTATTGTTTTATGAAATAATTTTAGTTTTAGAGCAGATATAACTGCCTCCCACCTTTTAAATGTTTCCAGTTTTCTCATCAGTCTAAAAAGTCTTTGGGTTCATTTTCTTAGCAAAGCTGAAACAGGCTTTCTGTTCTCTTTGGTTACCAATGGCTACAATTTTTTCACATCTTTTATTATTAGCAAATGAAGAAAACAAACCTTACACAAATCCAGTAAAACCCACAGTGATGCAAATGGTCTGGGGTATTTCTGACCTCCTTAATAGCTGGTCAACATTCTCCTGGAGAAACAATAGTAAGGTGATAACTCCTGATAGGTGAGGATGGTCCACGGCTGTTTGGTATTATTCATGTCTAAATGCAGTTTGCTAGACTAAATATATGTATAAATATGTAAGACCAGGATAATTTGTAAAATGTTTTTTTCCTTAATAAATTAAGACCTCATTTCAGAACTAAATTATGTTTTTATGCAGCTCATGTTTTAATATGAAAATAAATGTCTGAATGTGTGAAAGTAACAGCAAAAGAAATCTGCGAGTGAGCAAAGAGTTTTTCACGCTGTAGTACGTGAGATGTAGAAGCATTGTCCCATTTTTAATTTAGCTTCCTATATTCAGTCTTAGATTTTAGACCTATCCACATAGGAATTAATTGCTGAGACAAAGATGCACATCTGGAAGCTTGTGATGCTCGAGGTGCCTGTAGAAAACTCTGACATATGTCGAAACGAGAACAAATCCCAGCTCTTGTTAGCACCTCGCTGCGGCTGATGCCTTTGCTGCGCAGAGGGCCTCTGTTTAATCCCAGTTCCTGCTCCCTATAAGCCAACTCCTCTGAAGCTCTGGGAGCCAGTCAGCCAGGAGATGTTGACAATGCTGCTTGGGTAGCTGGACCACATCTGCCCTCCAAGGGAGCCATTAAATGGGGAGGCAGTGACGCAAATCTGCGGAAACTCTCCTCCCCCCATTTGTTTCCTCTCTTTCTCCTGCTCCTCCCTCGATCATCTGAGCAGCAGGGCACCTTTTTTGGTTTTGGTTTCATCTTTCCTTAACAATGACAAGCATCTGCTCCATTCTCTACTACAAGTACAGGTAGGATTAAGCTAAGGAAATACTAACACCAAATTCAGAGGCTTTTCTAAATTGATTGATGCATATTTTGTGTTAAAGGAGACTGTGGATCTTCACACGTTTGCAGGACTTAAATTATTCCCCTCTAACTGTTTTCAGTCTTGTTAGAATTGTAGATTTTTTCTTTTGGTCTCCTATGGCAGGGAAGGCTGTCTTGAATATTGAATACATTAACCCTAAAAATTGCCCTTTCAGAGACCTGAAACATCGGCTGCTAAATAATGTAGGCTTCCTCAGAAGATCATGACTTATAGCAGTTTTTCATTTAGCAAACTTTTAACCTGGAACTGTTTAAAATAATTTCAAAATAGCACAAAATAGTATTAAAGACTTTGTTGATTATCTGGCATTAGATTGTAAAATAATGTACTTTAATGTTTGTTCATTATTGTCAAGAGTGAAATGTATGTTTGGGGCTTCACAGTATAACCCATCAGCGGTTGTGTGCAGTCAGCCGTGTCACAGCTACTCCTGGGTTTTCATTAGCAGTTGTCACTTTCTTCAACATTTCTATGCTAATGTTGACAGAGTACTTCTGAAGATAGCTTCCTAATACACTTAAAGCATCATTTGTGATGATGGTGTGAATTTACTTCGCTGTGGTTATAAGTCCTATATCCCTGTGGCCCTGCAGGAGATTTTTCCAGACGGCTCATTTCTATGTGGAGGAGAGCAGCTCCCCACGGGTGGTGGCCAATGAGACCATCCCAATCATCCCAATACCAGGTGAGACACCACTTTCCCTCCTATATATGCTAAAAAGAATTAAAAACAAGCATACTAGAGCAGGGCTGATGTGAAAATGTTGCACAATAGACCTTATGATTTGTAAAGGCTTTTACACAGTATACGAAAAAGTGTTGCAAAGCGGGGGTTTTACATTTGGCGTTTTTCTAAAACTAAATAAACAGTTTTCTCTGTTCCAACTTTTTTATTTTTTTATATGAACTGAAAAAATATATAGAACAGACACTTAAATATATGCATAAATAAATATATATATATATTTTTTTTATATAAACTGCAAAAAATACTGATTTTCTGCATGTATCGACAATGCAGCTTAATATGTAATACTTGTTAGGGTAACTTCTTTTTTTTTATTTAACCATTATTAATCTCCTATCACAATATTTTGGTATGTAAATATATAATAGAAAGGATAATAGGGTTATGAGACCGTCAATACCGGAAAAAAATAATTAAGATATTTAACTTATCTTTATTGACTTAAATCATCATTAAAGCTGTTGCCATGACAAACAAGCTCTTGGCATCTTAAAATAATCATTTAATTATGTAAAGGTTATCAAAGTAAACTCTAGCTGGAGTTGTTGTTTTCTCAGAATAATAAGATAATGAAACTTATCTCATTAATGAAATAATGCAACTGTTATTGCTACATTCAGGGTAATGTTATCGAGGCCTGAAACAATTAATTGGGTCAGTAAAATCGAGTAATATTAACATGGAGTTTACAGGCTTAAAAACAGGTAAATTTGCCAATAATCAACATGGAGCAGTAATAATTAAAACTCTAAAATGAGTTAAAAACATTGAGTTAAAATGCAAAAATACTTTGTAAATATGCTCAATCAAGAACATCTGAAATGCCAGTTTTTACCCACCTGTTAAAATCACCCATTAAGCATAATTTGCCACCTGAAAATTTATCAGTGAAACAATAAAATGTGACAGATTAGTAGATTTTTAACCAAGTTATCTTATGTTACAGGCCTGTTATTACAAGAAAATAATATAAAGGAACCATTATAGCAGCAAATAGAGAATTAAGATGTTGAGATCAATGAAAAATAAAAAAATTAATTACCTGAAAAATTACATGAGATTTTTAATTTGGGATTAAGTGCCTTTTCAGATTTGCAGTCATCCAGGCCATGGTAACAACAAAGCAAATTGGAGGCAACATGACCTTTGCTCAGTTTTCTTAAAACCTTTCAACACCGTGAGTCTTTGTCAGTTCAGCACAGGGTTCCCACAGAGCCTTAAAATCTTTGAAAGTTTGTGAATGTGGAAAAAAAAAATTCAACATCTTGGAAGTATTTAAAATCAGAAAGTCCTTGAATGCTTTAAGTGTTTGAAATTCCACAAGGGGAGTGAGAGCACTAACAACATGTCATTATTTAGTTTTTGTTTGGATCTGTAAGCTTGTGTTTCAACTACGAAGTCAGGATAGCAAATTGCTTAACAGCAGATGCATCGATGTATTTATTCTTCTCATGGTTTTATTAGTGGATTCCACATCACATTGGGGACAGTGAAATGCAGGAAAAATGCAGATTTCAGCATACATGGCTTAGGGCAAAGTAAGGCCCAATTCCAAACAACAAAATCAAATAAATCAATAAAACATTTCTACTTCTGTGAAATCTGAGCTAATTATATGAAACCTTAAATCTAGAAATTCACATTTTTATTGTAATACCCAAACACCTCAGATTTCAAGCTTTGAAAGTGTTTAAAATTTACAAATGATTGTTGGTGTAGCTTCTAGCATGCATTAATCTGATTAATGAATAGTTAATAAATCATCAAAACGAGTGAGGGGGTTGATAAAAGGGTCCTTTCCTTTTCTCATTCAACCCAGAAAGAACATCATTGACATGAAACGTGTCAAAGGAGTCTTGACTCTCATTTAGAAATCCTCATGAAGCTGATAAACGCAGACCTCTATTCTGTCTCATAAGCTGTTTATAAATTTTTTCCATGTATTACCTTGGCACCTTCTTTCGCACAGTTTCTATTCATTTACATGTGAAGTGACTCTTTGCAAAGCTTAATAGAAGTTGAGTGACTGGCTTTTCTTTGCACTTAATATCCCATGCAGCCGTGTGGTGGCAGCTTGTCGATATCAGACTTTACTTTCCCAGTCTCTTAAAGCTCAGGGACGTTCCAGGGTAGTGGTAGCAGAGTAACAGCGCAGCCTATGCCAGAATTCACTTTGCATCCTTTATACTCTTATTGCTCTGGCCGTTATTTTGTTCTTAAATCCTAACTGTATTTATTGCCTTTGTTTGCATATATTGCTATCATTTAAAGTTGGAAGAATAACTGTGACATTTAACCATAAATATAAACATACCAGTGAATAGTTTTACATTCTTAATAAGGTAAAAATAGGCCTGATCAGCCTCTGCATCTGAATGACTAGATTGATAAATCCAAACTAAACATCTAAGCTGTGACCACTGATGCGCGTACGCACCCCCACAGGCTTCAGCTGGGAGGGTGTGTTAGTTAAGACATTGGCCCGACTCTGCAGCCATGACAGCTGAGTCCCCCCGCTCTGTTCAGCAAAACACCAACCGGCCTCATCGCAGTTCCCTCGTGTGTGATTTAGAACTGATTTGGCTCAGATGAAACAGATGCTCCCAAAACCGGACAGAGGTGTTTGTGGGATTAGTCTGCCAAATGAAATGCTAATCCCTCATAAATCAATAACTCTCACTGACTAATTCAACATGACGAATTCCAATATTTTAATACTTTTGTAGACTGAATCCTTTTTTATTCTAAAAATCTGTTTTTAGTTGTTATTAACATGTAATAAGCTGAATCTGTTGTATGTTTCTGCTGCAGAGGATATGGATGCCATTCCTGTGAAGCAGTTTGTTAAACACGTCATGGAGCTCTACAAAAGCAACATGCAAGGTTTTGCAGAAGAGTTCGAGGTACGTTTTCAAAACAAGATTAATGTTATTATTGATACTTTCTAAATAATTAATACAGTAGAGCATTTATAATCACGGAAAAAGAGTCTTTACAGGATCACAAGATACATGACCAGGCATAGGGGACCTTAGGGACCTTTTACACACTCCATGGATGTTTTTAAGAATTTTTTTCACATTAAAACTATAAACAACAGTGTATCATGTAAGGATTTTTGATAAAACCACAGCTGCAGGTATTCTAGGTAATTTTATGCCTACAGACAAAAATGTTTTGGAAAGCAGCTCAAATTCAGTCAGATTGGATGGAGATTGTCTTTTAACATCATTTTGAAATCTGAGCATAATTTAGATCTTGATTTTTATTAGATACCTAAAGGCATAAATATGATTTTTATCTAAACTTTGTCATATTTTTAGGGTTATTATACTGCCTTCTAAAGGCAAAGAGTTACAAAACATTGTTTGGGTATCAGAGTAGAAGTGGACTTGATATAATTTTATAAACAATATTTGATAAAATATCATTCTTCTAATTATCACTTTAAAACTGCTTTATGATTGTTCAAAATGAAAAAAAAAACTTAGGTTTTAACTTACTAACTGCTTAGAGCAGATTGTCTTTGCCTATTGTTCAAACCAGTCTGAATGTGAACAATAGCTAGAAATCACTATATTCATGTGTTTGTATGAAGAGTCACAAATTTTGACCAGATGGTCTGGAGAAGGATGGAGGGAGCGATCACAGGGATGGGGGTTAATTGGAGAGGGCCCTTTCTGCTGGTTTTCTGGATGGGAACACATTTTTTTCTGTGTAACTAGGTTAAAAAAGGCAAAAGCTAAGGCCCCAGAGTTTTCCATCTAATTGGGGTCAGTCGGTGTGAGGCTGGTGTGTTGGCTTCTAAATGCACCAGGATGGAGCCCTGTTTGGAAGTGACTGTATTTTGTGGATGAGTGATCATACCACGGTGTAGTAGTGAGGAAAATAAGGAGTTCCTGCTCTACTGAAGCATTTTTAACAGGACGGCACTGAACTCCTGGACTTTTACTTATGTGTGTATGTTGGTGGGGGGAGGTGTTACCATTTTAAAAGGACAAAAGCAGCATCACAACAATTCCTGTTGCTATCAGGCTGTTTTTATAGTTTAACAAAATTGAAGGGGGCTAATACTATTAGCTCATCTCTCCTTGCTTAATAAAATCCATTTCTGTCTATTTCTTTCTCTCCCCAGGAGGTCCAGCGCTCCACAGTTGACTTAAAAATCACCGCAGAACATTCCAATCATCCTGACAACAAGCATAAAAACAGATACATCAACATTGTAGCCTGTGAGTCGGCTGTGAAATCTGATTAGGATGTCTGCCGCTAAGGGATTCAATAATGTTTTTATGCTAGGTCTTCATCCTTTTCATATTAAAAAATGAAAATGTCCATTGCTTCCTTTTTTCTTTCCTAAGATGACCACAGCAGGGTGAAATTGCGAGCTTTGGCGGGGAAAGACGCCAAACATTCAGATTACATCAATGCCAACTATGTTGATGTGAGTTGTTTTTTTTTTTTTATTATTTCACTCATGGCTACTTTAGGTGTCTTATTTTTTATTTATGCAGGCTTCAGCTCGGTTATCAAAGCATGAGCTGTGAATGAATCATTCCCACTGCTGAACACCATGCAGTGGTTTTATTTAGGATATCAAGCAAGGTGTCACAGCCAGAAAATTTTATCCAGCTTATTTTTCTGATATCAAATCAGTCACATATTTCATCTAGTTCTTGGGAATAATGCGTTATAAGGATTGCATCTTATCAGTAAATAATCCCATTTCAGGGCTACAACCGTCCCAGGGCTTATATAGCTGCTCAGGGTCCTCTCAAGTCTACGTTCGAGGACTTCTGGAGGATGGTGTGGGAGCAGAACACCGGGATCATTGTCATGATAACCAACCTGGTGGAAAAAGGGAGGGTAAGGTTGCCTGATGTAATCCCGTCCAGAGATGCCTGGCTCTCACACATGCGCCGCTCACATTGCTGTGTGGCTTTTATGTTTCAGAGGAAATGCGACCAGTATTGGCCAACAGAGAACAGCGAGCAGTACGGAAACATTGTGGTGACGCTGAAAAGCACCAAAGTGCACGCCTGCTACACGTTGCGCCGCTTTCTCATAAGGAATACAAAAGTTAAAAAGGTAACTTGGTGCAGAAGGATGCAACTTCTGATTCTCTAAAGTGGTATTAAATTCAGAAATACTGAGAATGTGAATGAAAATGTTCAGTACATAGATTCGTTTTATATATAAGAGATGCACGTTTCTTTCTTGCTGTAAATTAACTTTTAGTTTTCTAAATGTTCTGTTGAATTTATTTATGAGACCACGTATTTTTCTTCCGTCTTTAATTAATCCTTTATAGTTTCCTTTTCAGTAGATTCTGCTCACTTCACATCTTTTATTGTATTCCTTGTACATTAATAATTTGAATGTGAGTATAGATCTACATTTAAGTTTTCTCTGTCTTAGTTCTCCATACACTATTCTTACTTCTCTGGCCATGATGATTGCTTTGCTTCTCTTTTACACTGATGTATGATTCTCTGCTTCTCATAGCTCCCTGAGGTTCAGAGAAAAGAGATAAATACAGAAGGAAGGATTTATCTAATTATTTCAGGAGCTTTCGTTGGATTATATGTTGATATTTTATTTATATATTTCTGCTGGTTTTACTTCTGGCTAGTAGGTGAAATAAGAAGGCAGGTGGTTTCTTTCTGAATTGGAGAACTTGCTAAAGTTTAAATTAACAGCAGACAAGTTGTGACCAAAGTATTAGCTTGATTTGATATATGTGTTAAATGTGTGTTATTAATCACCCAGGCAAATTTTTTGTGACCCCCCCCCCTTCTCAAAAACTCACAATTATAACGTGAGAGGATCTGATGTGACGGTGAATGAATCGTTCAACAATCTGAGCTCCCTTTGTTGTTAGGCAACAAAACGGATGACATTTACCTGATCAAACAGGTTTGATCAATCATCAAAACCATCATTGATAAATGGTAGAGACCATTTATTAATGATTAAAAGATAGTTTATTACTACTCAATAATTATTTTTAAGCTGCATCTAAACCATTTATATAAGGTAAATAGATCATAAATATTGCCCTGCCATGTTAGTTTATCTTTAACCCTAATATCTGTGGACTTTCAGTAAGACCTAAATCTAGCCCTTATTTTTAATTTATTTAACTTCCCCTCATGTTTGACTTACCCTAATATCAGTGGGCCTTCATAAATGATCTGGTTTATTAAGGTTCACTTTAGTTCTGATGCTGCACTAATCTGGAATAAATACCCAGAAAGCTTTAAAAGCACTGAAGCCCTCAGTCACATAAAATCAAGAATAAAAAATGGATTTGTATCAAGTGAAATGTGCTATCTAAATATTATTAATTTAATTTCAATCCAATTTTACATTTTTATGAATTGTTTTATATATTTTTCTAATATAATCATCTCATTTCAATTATTCATTGTTATTTTCATAATTATCTGTTACCTATATGCCAATGATATGTACTTTTCTTTTCTGTTCTGATGTAGTATACAGCATTTAATTGTTTAGACACTGTATACAAATTTTTTCTTGCCCAACTTGCCTCATTTATGGCTACTTAAAAATAATGTGCTGAATACATACAAACTATATTAAAAGAATAAATGAATCATAAAATTAAACAACTGACTTAACATCGACTTCATTATTGAAGTACAGTAAAATGTCTGATAATATGAACTGAAATGTAATTTATAAAAATGTGATCAATAGATTTTACTGCTACCTTCATTATATTGAGGTAGGGATTCCAATATTTGTATTTTCTTCTGCCCCATTCTTGCAGAATTTAACATCAGAACATCATTTTCCCATCTTCTAATGTTTCAGGGTCAGAAGGGGAACCAGAAAGGGAAGCTAAATGAGCGGATTGTGGTCCAGTATCATTACACTCAGTGGCCTGACATGGGAGTACCTGAGTACACCCTCCCTGTCCTCACTTTCATTAACCGCTCCTCAGCAGCTCGTACTGCAGATATGGGTCCCGTCCTGGTGCACTGCAGGTGCGTCCTCCATATCTGCCTCCAGAGCTAATAGAGTGTAATTGATTGACATTCAAAATGATGCATGGTTTGCTTGTAATCTCTTCTTCTGAACTTTCACTCACACCTTTCGCTGTACTCTGCAGTGCTGGGGTCGGACGCACGGGAACGTACATCGTCATCGACAGCATGCTGCAACAAATCAAGGACAAAAGCACAGCCAGTGTCCTGGACTTTCTCAAACATATACGCACACAACGCAACTACCTAGTCCAGACTGAGGTAAGGTGGCCCAACTTGTCAGGGAAGCCTGGAAAACCGGATTTCTCCTTTTAAAGGTCAGCTGTGATTTAAGATGGGAGAGCGGTTATGAAGTTTATTCAGTTTGATACTCAGAGCTCAGGTAAAGGTCACGCTCGCTGCAATTTTCACTGTACCTCAGAGTTCAAGCGCTTACACACTCCCCATAATGCCAATGACCGTATTACACCAGAGGTAGTTCATGCTTCTCTTCTTTTCCTTAAATCATGGACTCCTGAAGCTTCAATAGAATCGAGGGAAGAACGTAGAAATGAAAACAGGAAGTCAACCGTCTCTCCTAAATACAGGTTCACTCTGATCGAACTGAAAGTAGCTTTGAGAATTATCCACAAGTTAGAAATAAAAAAAAAATGTTCTTAAGAAAAATCTGAAGTCTCCATAATCACTTTTTTCAGTTTTTCTTTTAATGAATGAGTATCACTACTAACAAACAGTTTCTCATTTTAAAACAAACAGTCTGAAAACCGTCATGAATAAAATATGTAAACATTTAATAAACTCCTCATCGCAGTTACAGAACATCATTGAAAGCCTGATAGAATAGTCAAGGTGACCGCAAACATCCAAAATATTTTCCTTTAGTATATAAAAAATCTCCAATTATTAACAGTTCGCTAAAAGCCAACAACTTTATTAATATAATAATAATGATGTACAACCCCCTTAATAACTGGTATTGCTGCTAACTGATACCATTTTGTCACAGATCATGGATTTATTGTCATATGCCCTATACATATACATTTTTTTGTACTGTTTTTGTTTCGACAGTTCAAGCCAATACTGTGACAGCGCAGAAAGGCCCAATTAACTGATTAAATACTCGATTCTTGAACATTCCCCAACTCCCATATCTACTTCAGTCTGGGAAAATTTATTTTGAGTTTAAATTATTATCTATTTTTATCAATAGTTTAACATCTATCTATCCCAATTTATAATGTTACGAGGTAATATTTTTTTTTCCTTTCAAAAGCTTTATGCCAAAACTTTACAAAATGTTTACACTCTCTTATATTATTATTATTAAACTTATATTCGTGTGAGTTTCCACTGTAGCTTTGACATCTGGGCTACAGATCTAGATCACTTTGGGCTGGTGTATTCCCTTTGTCTGAGGACAGAGTGGCATCTCAAAACTGGGAAATCATGTAAATACAGGAATAAGCTTATATTTTTATCACAGCAGTGGAAGTGGATTTTAAATGGACTGATCCAGATTCCTGATAAAAGAGGAAAAACAGAGAGCCCTGATGGTGGTTTTGGAAGTTTTAATAGAAGTTAAGCTCTACAACTAAATTAAAAAGGCTTCTAATTCAGAGAAAGTTTGTAATAATCCACCGACATTGAATAATTAAATGCTGTGAGATTTGTCTCATACCAACCACAGCAGCTGCTGCAGCGGTGCGTCTCACCATTCAAACCTAAAAATCAATTAATGATCAATGATCCTGAGCAGCTGCTTTAATCTGTTTCTTAGAGCATAAAAGCCAAATCATTTTTTTTTAAACTTCACTGGTTCAAATCTCCTAAAACGGGCTTTGAAGAGAGAGAGCTTCTTTGCGTGTCCGAGGAAGTGCCTTTAGTAAAAGTAACTTTCCATTTAGGTTTTACTGATGTATAAAATTGCCAACTCTTAAACATGGAGATATTCAGCACGGTTGGATTATTAGAGATGTGTTTGCAGAACTAGTAACCACAGAACCGTTGTCATGTCATTTAAAGTTGACAGGATATACAACCAGAAGAGGAAGATAAGAGAACAAAAAGGTGCCGATATTTAGGCTTCCTTCGATTACAAAGATCCAATTTCAAGTTCATCAAAAAGGGCCCAGCTCTCCAGCAGAGCTGTTTTTTTTTTTGTTAGATCTATGTCCTTGTTCTATTTCCATTGAGCCCTGGTTCCCTCAGGTGACCTGCAGAGTGGAACAAATATTGACCTGGTTTCTGAAAAGATCCCTGCTGTATAAACGCACCTTAACATAACATGTGATCCCACGATGCCTTCTGTCAAATAAAGTGAATTACTGTATGCTCCATATAATATGAAAATAAAAACTACATGAGTTTCTCTGGAGGCTAAGTATACAGACATAGTCTTTAACTACAAATATGAAATAAATGTAGTTATTTTGCAACATTGCCACACCTTCAGACCTGAAACCCTCCAGTTCAGATATTCTCATAAAACAAGCAACCACTTTATTCCTCAGTGAAGCATTCTTGTGGTGATTTATCATTCATTGTTATATATGAGTTGCTTCTACTTGTTTAAACCAAATTCTGTGATGCAGATGTAGGATAATACAACAAGTTACCCATTGAACAAAGGGCATATATCATTTGACTGATGTAGAATCCTAACTCATAATAAATAGGGCGAGGAGTATGTTATTGTATGATGTAGTGTTGCATAACTGAAGCTATAAATCATTGTAAACTCTTACACTCAACAGCAAGAGTTTTGCTTTATTTTATGACTATTTTTATGAAGGTCCTCACAAATACATTTCAAACTGAAGGCCCCTGAAATGAAGGGAAAAATGGCTTTCTATGAAAATAATTTTGAAAGCAGAAATCCACTTTTTCCTTTTAGGAGCAGTATGTTTTTATCCACGACGCGCTGATGGAGGCCATCCTCAGCAGGGAGACGGAAGTGCCAGCCTGGAAGCTGCATGGCTACGTTAACAGCATCCTGACGCCCAACTCTGCTGGCCGCACACGGCTGGAGAAGCAGTTCAGGGTAAGGGCTTCATCTTAACCAGCTTTACCTCATCACCACCAGCTGGATCCTGGCTGGTCCATGGATCTTCTGGTTAATGGCAATAAAAAATGGTGGCTTATCTGCAGCGAGAGGCATAGGCCTGAATCTGTGTTCGAAAATGTCCACCCTAACCCCTAAGTCCCTCAATCATGATTTAAAGTGCGGACTATATAGTGGACTTTATAGTGAAGTTGGGTAACTGATAGTTTGGACAGATGATCACTACTATTCATTCTTTGTTGGTCACCTGACTCCGCCTCCCCGCACATTGCATGCGCCATTTATGTTATTCGTTGCCACTGTTGGATAGCAAGAGCCTTAGGCGACAGCGGGCCTCTGTGACAGCAAATCCCATAATGCTTTGCGAGGAGAGCTCTCCATGCAAAGCATTCCTGGATATATCTGATCATCTACTGACTATGGATGATCATTACTTTTCAAGGTGCATTATGGAAAACTTCGAGTCCATTACTTTTTCATCCACTAGACGTTCGGACCCTCATCTAAACTGGCGTAACCACTATATAGTGCCCTATACACTGATTAGGGCGGACTTTCGGACATAGCCAGAGTACAAAAATGACTTTGATGTTTGCTTTAGGAAGCCATGTTTGTCACTCATTATGCTATGCTAACTTGGATGAATGTTTAATCTAATTGTGGCTTTTTCAATATTAAAGGAGGAAAGGAAATAATAATGTTTCTTATTTCCCAGCTTCACACACTCCTATTTTTCATAAGTTGTGTCCTTTTCCTCATGTTTAGTCAGCTTCCCTCTGACATTCAGGATTGAAATCTGATCATTTTTATCACCCTCTGTTTCCAGCTGCTGAGTCAATGCAACACGCGCTTCGTCGAGTGCTTCAGCGCACACAAAGACTGCAACAAGGAAAAGAACCGCAACTCGTCTGTGGTTCCCTGTGAGTATTTACCGCAGCGTCCTCTATTTGGACCCCAAGCTCGAGCAAACAACCAATCACTCCGCTTCGTAATGCACATTTATTTCCTTTATCAGCCTGTGAATTATTAAGACAATTCCTGCTCCAAATTTAGAATCCATTTCCATAATCCTATAAGTTAATCTTTCTATGCATTCTCAGCACCCGTTCTCCTGTCAGGAGAAAAAGGAGGAACTTGTTGCTATGGCAACAGCAAGGACTGATAATGAATGTGTGCATTATCAGCCAGCGTGATATAAAAGATGCTTGGGTTGGGATTTAAAGCTGTTTTTTTTTCTTTTCCCCTGTCTGTGCCTCAACAGCGGAAAGAGCAAGGGTTGGACTCACCACTCTGCCTGGCATGAAAGGAACAGATTACATTAATGCATCCTACATAATGGTACAGTGTTGACAATTAATGAGTTGCATTTCTCTATCCTGAGCCATTAAGCTTCTGCTGAGAAAATGATGGGTTGTGCAAAAGGCTAACTGTTCCACCTCTGTCAACTCAGGGCTACTACCGGAGTAATGAGTTCATTATTACCCAGCATCCTTTGCCCCACACCACCACAGACTTCTGGAGGATGATTTGGGACCACAATGCTCAGATTATCGTCATGCTGCCTGATAACCAGGGGCTGGTGAGTGAGCAGCCATGAAAAATAGAATCGTTTAAACGTTTGTGCAGAGAAGGAGTACTGATGAATAATTAGTAGAGGATTTAAATAATGCGCGCGTCACCGCTCTCCCCGCAGGCCGAGGATGAATTTGTTTACTGGCCGAGCCGAGAGGAGGCCATGAACTGCATCGCCTTCACTGTAACTCTCATCAGTAAGGACAGACTGTGCCTCTCCAATGAGGAGCAAATCATCATCCATGACTTCATCTTGGAGGCCACGCAGGTACCTGCTAACCCTGTTAGCTGTTAATGAGGAGTTGTTCAACAGCTCTGAGAGCAGGTTTTAATTAGGATCAGGAGGTCGGGGCTCCTACTCGGTCTGTGAACCTCTGGAAAATAGTAGAAATGTATTTACACTTTGTAACAGGTCTGGAAAATAAAGTAGATTAGGAGGCATTTGTACTGCAAACTAACTCTAAATGTTATTTCCATCCCTCCACCCTCACTCTCTTTTGCAGGTTCCATACATCTTTCATATCTTTAAAGCACAGTTTTGCATCTATGCATCAGAAATCAGCAAAAGAAGTAAAAAAAAAATGTTTCTGCTCTCATCAGGATGATTATGTTCTGGAGGTGAGACACTTTCAGTGCCCCAAATGGCCAAACCCGGACGCTCCTCTCAGCAGCACCTTTGAGCTCATCAGCGTCATCAAGGAAGAAGCCATGACCCGAGATGGCCCCACAATTGTGCACGATGAGTATGTGACCCTTCCTCCAAAAGTTAAGCAGTGGGGTTTTTAAGGCTAAATGATCATACAGACTATAGGTTGTAAATCAAACTACGGTGAAAAAGTCTTAGAGATGACTCATATTCATTTATTTTTTTCTTAATTATGGGGGTTTAGCACAAGTGGGATTATATTCAAAGCAATGCAGTTTAATGTTGAGTGCTTTGCATACCTCTGGGCTTTAAAGTCCTTAAGTGTAGATCAGTGCTGATAATTTATGGGCAACAGTATTACAAAAAAATATGCTCAGATTCCCAGCTGATGATCCTTCTACATGCATCAGTGTCTGCAGCATCTCAGCTGCCATTAATGGGATGCTTCTCCTAGTCTGCCTACAGTTTATTAAATTATTTCCTGAAGATATAATGGAATAACACAGCATCCTCCGCCTATTTGTGCAGGACTCTGGTGAAATAGAATTGAAGCCATAAAAAAGATTTTTTTAAAAACAGCACCCTGATTTAAATGAGCAGCGGTTTGTAACCTTGTGAAAAACACCTGACACCTGTTCAGAGCTCACAGCAAACGTCTCCTCTTAGGTGCGGAGCGGTGTCAGCGGGGATGCTCTGCGCCCTCACCACGCTGTCCCAGCAGCTGGAGAGCGAGGGAGTCGTCGACACCTATCAGGTGGCCAAGATGATCAATCTCATGAGGCCAGGGGTCTTCACTGATATAGTAAGTCTTCCATTGTTTCCTTTCCTTACCGACACATTTGATGATTAAGTAATAGGTCTTATTAAACCTTGCTCTACTGCCACCAAGTGGCCAGATAACTACTTTATATAGTTTGATAAAGTTTAAGACCAACCTTGAAAAATATTAGCAGATATTGCTTTTTACAAACTAAAAAATATGTCCAACTATTTTTTAAAGTATGAATTTTGTCTCCTATGGATCTTTTATACATAATTAAATACTGATTTGTCCAAAACATATTCAATTTCATACTTATTGAACTTTTATTATATTGTCAAAAACACAAATTTTATTTTCCTTTGATGGGATTTTCATAATAGACCAACAAGAATGTAAAATGAGAGAAAAATTATCAACTATAATCTGAGCAATTTAACATATGTTTGAATCCCTCATAATTCTAGTATGTGTAAATAAAACTACAGTCAGAGGACATCTAATCTGTCAGTAGTCACCCAGTGTTGAATTGAATCTTAACATAAACACAGCTGTTCTGTCAGGTTGGTTAGAGCTCTATGAGGGAAAGAACAGCTTTATAGAGACCAAGGAAGGCAGCAGATTGGTTCAAGATTTAAACTGGGATTTAAAGAAACACTTTTAAACTTCAGAGCATCTCACAGATGCAGCGACACAGCACTGCTCAGTTTGTCTCCTGAAAATGAAAAGAGTGTTCAGTGGAAAGCTACCACTTCTCAAGTGTGAAAATATTTAGACATGGCCACTATTAATCGTACCCTCAACGCCTCTATGACAGAGCAGCAAAGAGAAAACAGAACATACTAAGGAACCTTCTTCAGCATGTTTTACTGAAGAAAGTTTCTTAGCCAGGACCATGGATGGAAAGTTTTGGTCAACCTGCCCTGTGAATCCAGAACATCGTAGCGACAGTATCATGCTTTGGGATGCTATTCTGTAGAGGTATCTGATTGACAGCAAAATGCATGATGGTAAATTTAAGGCAGACAGAAAAACAAAAATACATAAAACTGTGGCAGAAGTTCAGCTTCCAGCGAGAAAGAATCTTCAAACATAAAGTGGGAGATGCAGAGGAAATGTTAAAGGTGGTAGCTACAAGTTAAGCTCCTCCTGACCAGTAAGTGGCGCACTCATCTGCTCTATTTCTGTACTGTTTGCAAGCCAGTTGTCAGGTCTGCTAAAGCTAATGGCAATGCTAATCTTAATAAAACCAAAGATGTAATCAGAAGTTTAGAAGAAAGGTGGCAACATTGATGTTGCTTTTTTGAACCTGATGTTCACGCTTTTTGTGTCTGTTTATTTATATATTAAAAGCTCTGAGAATAAAAGCAATTTCTCAGAGCTATTAAAGAGCTACTGGTATCACCTTCTAACCTTTAACCTTCTGTTTCTGTTGCTGCAGAATCATGTCATGTCAATCTTCACATCATAAACAGAAGGAAACATTTATATATTTTGTAAAGTAACACTTTTATCTGCATCACTCTAGATGTTCTGTGGATGTTTTTTTTTTTTTGTTTTTTTACTAATTGTTTAAATGAAAAGGTTGCACCTATGAGCTTTTAAGATCAAAGTTTATTCAGGTGTTAAAATCCTTTTTAACAATAATTTAGAAGAGAATGGGGCAGAGACAAACCTCATGCGAAGAATGTAACAGTTTATTTTTTAAAACCATGCCTTCTTTAGTTTGTTAACACTTTAGTTTTTCTTAACAATTATGCACTACTTGTTTTTCTTGTTGTGCATGTCACGTTAAAAAAGCAAAACTGTTTGCAGCATTTTCAGACTAGGCTGTAAATTATACTTGATGTTCTTTATCAGCACTGTGGGAGAAGTTCGATCAGTCTCGTTTACGCAGACCACCCGTTGATAGGAGCAGGAGACATGTCTAAAGGTCTTAGGAAAGAAAAAACCCTCAGCTGATCTTCAACATGAGAATCAATCAGGAAGTGAGGCTTCTCACCCTGGAGATCAGAGAGCTAAGAGAGCAAAAATTGAGGTTAGAGTGGGCTGTGTGGCCTGATTGGGGGCCTAACCTCTGCCTCCTTATGGTCAAAGAATGTTACTAAGAAGAAAGATGCCTTTTAGAATAAAAGTCCAGTTTAAATCAAACCCGAACATGTTTACTGTCTGGTCTTGTTAACTCCTTTAATATTTCTGTTTGTTGCACAGGAGCAGTACCAGTACCTTTACAAAGCCATGCTGAGCCTGGTCAGCAATAGAGAGTGCAGCCTGAGTCCCACTCACACGGACACTAACGGGGTGGTGGTGATTGCAGATGAGTCGGACCCTGCGGAGAGCATGGAGTCGCTCGTCTGAGGACGTCCCTGCAGGCACTTAATTTGTAAAAAAAAAAAAAAAAAAAATTAACAACCAATCCAAGAACTATACTGAGGCCTTTTTTGCCAGACTATTGATTAAACGAATAACCTTATTACTTTTTATACTGATAAAAAGGTTTTTTGATATTTATGTTTTTTTTTTCTTCAGTCTTTTATTTCTTGTCTTAAATGTTCTCCTGCTGAGCGTTTGCACCCGTTTCAGTTGACATAAGGAAAAAGCAGCTCTGTCCACTTTGCACTAAACTATCAGTGTTACTGCCTACACCCAGCGAGTGGAACCTAACCTCGGGCTGGAGACAAAACCTGACGCATGAAGACCAGGATGAGTTGAAGCGATCCACCTTCAGTCAAGTCTTAAACCACTTCATCACATGGTTACATAACCCAGCATGTATTATTTGACACTTTTTCACTCCTCTTTTGATCATGTGAACAGACTTTTCAGCTGCTTCTACATTAATGTTCCAAAATCTCACTGCTGTCCTGTAAAATGTACTTATGGCTTATTTTTGTTAAAAAAATGTGTTGCAATCTCTAATGTGAACATTTATTGCTTTTTACAGGGATTTATATTGTTGTATTGTTTTGTAATATATATATATATATACACACATATATATATTATCTTTAATAGCCCTGTTATGTTTATTTCTGTACTACTAGATTCCATATTCCTGGGGGAGGTTATGTAGCTTGTCCTGAACGGCCTGCACATTTCCAGCCTTTTTTTTTTTTTTTACTGTTTTTTTTATTTTTTCTGGCTTTTGTTGTTGCTTCTCTAACCTCAGCAAGTCACAGCCGTTAACACACGTATCTGTACCGACACAATGCAATGCCTACAAGAAAATGTACAAAAAAAAAAAAAATTCACTCTGCACAAAATTTTTCATGTTTTATTTTATAGCGTTTTGTCGCGGTGTGATTCGAGTTTGTTCCCGGCACTGATCAACCCGCAAAATGAATTTAAAAATCAAGGTGAAAACAAATTTCCTTGTGGTGGATCTTAGCTTAGGATTTCTAAATTGTTCCAATTTTCCTTGCCGTTTGATCAAAGAACCTTTGTGGGTGCTGCTGATTTATTTCCTGCCGAGCTGCTATGAGTAACACACGTTACCACATCGTTGTTCTGTTTTTAGGACATTCCTGCAAATATTTAAACGCAGTAACACTTGATATTTCACAGATTCATTAGACTTTACTTAAGACAAGCAATGTCACTTGATCCTCCTGTGAAGATTTAATTCAGTGCCTTGGAAGTCATTCCAGTACTTGACTGATCCATATATATTTTTTTTTTGGCAAAATTGTAACCTTAACTTTCTTTATTCTAACCAGTAATATAACATGTTAGTTGTGCTCGGATCTGGAGCTGCTCCATACCATTCCCATGCCAGTAGGGGGCCTCCATTTGAGTTCCTACATGCCCACAGTAGGTCACAAAACACATTATGTTGTTTGATGTTTGTAGTGAAAATGAGGAATAGTGAATTCAAAAGAACAAACCATTTTAATGAACCTAAAAATAGAGAAGTATAACCATTTAAGTCATTTTGTAATTAAATGAATAACCAAATGTATGTTTAAATATAGTACAAAAGTGCGGAATATTTGTCTGCTTACAGATTTTTTGGGATTATATGTCACCAAAATGTTTTAGGTCAACAAAGATGACCTAAGAAAGTTGTATTTATTAAAGGAAAAAAAACTCAAATCCACCTGGAGCTATATGTCAAAGTATTAGCTACCATATAAACAGTTGTGTCAACTAGCAATATGTTGTTTATATCCTTTGGTGAAAGTTTGGCTCGAGTGTTTTTGCAGAATTGAATTATTTAAAACTAATATAATGTGAATGAGGTCTGTAAGGTGACTCTAATCTTTTGGAGGAGTCATTGATGCACTCTTGGACTAATTTGGATATAACTGCTCTCACTGCAGCCCCTCTAGCTTAAAAAATGGCTTTTAGATCTTTCCAGACTAATGACATGAATTTTTTTAACCTATTTCATGTTGTCAGACAGCTTAGTTTAATGACTGATTCTTCAAGTCTGACATTAAATTCAATATATATAAAAAGGGTAGCGGGGGGTGCAGATGGGGGAATAAATGTTTGTGAAGATCTAAAACATGCAGGTAGAAAAAGTCTGTAAGGGTAAATAAACTTTTCATAGGATGTTCTTTACTGACTGGAAGGTTTCAAAATGAAATTCTTCCTGTGGCCCCACAGACCTCTAGTTAATCCTGCTTATATAGTAGCACATTTAAACACTTTTACACACAAAAATAATTAATTTTGCATCGTCATTCATCCAAATAATTACAATTGTTTGCCGTTATTTGACTTTCTATTAATTTTTAGAATTTATTTTCACCTTGACATGAGCGTCTGCTGATCAGTGTCTCATTTAAAAGAAACTCTGTGAATAAATAAAACATGAAAAAAAAAAGAAGTAATAATCCAAGGGAGGTGAAAACTTTTCTATAGACACTGTACTTTCCTTCTTGGTGGGTTGATGCTTTATTTGTAACCAAAGATGTGGTTCCAGTTTGCGACATGTTAAGTGGTTTTGTCCTAAGATCTATTTAACCGACGAACGTTTAAAATCAAATTGTTCCGTACAGATTTTCCAGTGTCTGAGGTGTGAATTTTATCCAGAGTTAAAGCATGTTTCTGTTTGAGCCTCAGGAACTTGCCTTCCGGAGAGATTTTACTTTTGTGATGCTTTCCTCACTCTAGTAAACAAGGTTACAAATTCCGACTGTACAATTGTATTTTATCCAGGCCGAAATTCCGTCTCTGCGTTATTTTGTGGCTATAATTATAATCCCTTTTCAACCCTGAACTCGAGTCTTTGATTTATTTGTGTATCTATTTACTTTCTGTATTCTCTTAACTAATGTCTTCATGTTGAAATTGGCGGTGAACCCCTCAGGAATGATGCTTCATTTCGATAAGCTTTCATTTCTTCTAGATTGTACAGTTTGTAAAAACCTTATCCTCTTAATATCTGCAATGAAATCCCTGTTCAGATTTTGACAGGATCTTCCTGACATTTACTTTGTGGTCCAGGGAGACAAGACTTGGCTCATTTTGGCCCAGGTCAGTGGTTAAATTTGTTTTGAGATTATAAACGTTCTCTTTCATCATATCATGTTTGTATTTCAGTATCTTCCTTTATTACTGGAGTGTGAAGCCTAGATGTTACATCAAAGGTTGATGCTTTGACTTTGAGTCAAAAATAATCCTGTATCTCCTGCCGCCCCCTGCTGACAGAACTGGGATCGCTTATGAGTAAAGGTGCAGAACTGCCATGAAATATGTAAGACTGGTGTGATGATGTGAATCTTGTTCTTTATTGTAAAAGGCAGATTAAACCTTTGGTGTTCATTTACTTGCAAATTTATTTAAATGTAGCGTGTTTTATTTAAAACATTGTCATAAAACAGAACCAAACTCATTGGATAAAATAACAGATATGCTGTTTTTGTAAGAGATAAAGGCTCTGTACTTCTTCAACTCTTAATGATCTTAAAATATTTCTTAGCTTTATATTCTTTTCAAAATGTAAAGGTCACTCTGCATCTCCATGTGAATGTCAGAAAATTGATTATCATCAACAAGTTTATTTATATCGGTCTAAAAAGTGAAATTAATACAAACTCATTATCCAAGGAAGACTAATACTGCAGAAGTGTTTTGTTTTACATCTGTTGGTGTCTGTTCTGTCATGAGGAGGACTGCTGACTGGGCAGTTTTCTAGCAGGCAGTCTTCAGGCATAAACCACAAAAAAATGAATTGCTAAAGAAGGTGCCTGCTCAGAGTCCTAACAGACCTTTAGTAAAGAAAATGGGTGTGGTAAAAAAAAACAACAACACAGGTTTGCAATCTACTGCAGCCTGGAGAGGATTAAGTAATGTGAACGTTTTCATGTAAAAGATGTATGTTTTTTTCTTCTCTTAGCAGCATTGAACCCTTCATACAGTACCAACCTAAATCGCACTGCAAAGACCATATAGAGATGAGTAAAAGGTTCTTAAAATAAGTGTATTTGCCCCTAATTTGAGTAGGTAAATGAGATGATCTTCCAAAAGAAGCTGTATTTTTACCCTTAAAATAAGATAAGTGGATATTCTAAAGTTGAAATGAGAGCAGTTTTTTTTTCTTATTTCAAATCTAAATTGTCTTATTCTATTAGCAAACTGTCTCATTTATCTGCTCAATTTAAGACAAAATGAGCTTATTTTCAGAAAATGTTGCTTTTATTTCATTTATTTGCAGGCGCACCTATTGTTTAAAGAGTGATACCAAACCTGTCAAATGCTATTTAAGCAACCAGACATATGTTAATTCCTTCATAGCCATGTTGAGGCAACGGGCACCCAAAATGGTTACCTGATTATAAAATGTTTTGCTTCTCTCTGGAAAATAGATTTTATGTTGTAGTTTACTGACAGATCTAAAATATGGAGTTTGTGCCATGGGTCCATGCAATTGGATCCAAGGAATAGAACTGCATTTGGAACAGTGAAAAATAATATGCACGTTAAAAATGTCTTCGGTCGCTTAACGACAGGAGCAGAACACGAGTCACTCCTTGAAGAAATCTTAGACTTTCCAGGTTTAAAGAATGGCTCCAACCTTTTCTGGAACTGACTGAAAGTTGCAGCATGTTTGAAAGTCATGAAAAATGGGTGTAGTTAATAAAATATGCACACTAAATGTAACGCCGGTTACATAATCATTCTCGGGGCCAAAAATGGGCCCCAGGCCATATTTGGACACCTCTTATAATATGAGCTTCAGTTTTAAAGCTGATTAACTTTAATAGATACATTTTTAAGCTTTACTAGTTTATGAAGATCCACCTATATGACTGCTTTAGTCTGTATGATAAAGCGGTTAAACAAGACTGCAGATGCACATGTACAGTTATTTTATTTGGAGGCCACAGCTCTTGCATATTACAACTGTTGGCTTTCATAAGGCAAAAAAGCAAGAATGAATCCATCAGCTAGTTCACACAGAAAACAGAAAGCGTTTGGGGGGGAAGGGGTAGGAACCCACGGGCATGCAGCGATGGCTCAGAATGCAATGTACAGCATTTTATATTTATATATATTTATATAGTATATACAAAACAACAGTGAGACCCAAACAAATGCCAGACATCTCAGTCTACACAATTACAGAACAAACACAGACCAACTTTTTTTTTTCCCCAATAAAAAAAATTATTTTTGCTCTTTTTGTCTGTAAAAGTGCAACTCAATTAAAATAGAACCTGTTTCTAGGCCTTTTTTTTAAAATGTTAAAATAAAAATAGAATCTTCCAAGATATCAAAATGGATCTATAGGGATATTGCATCTCCCGAACACCCACTCGAAATTCAAGATTCGTCTAATTTAGTCATCGAGATGAGACCATGTAGCGTTGACACATGATAGGAAATGCAGGTCTGGACTTACTGTCGGTGGTAGCAACAGTGAGTGGACGACAGCTCAGCTGGAACAGCCGTCAACAAATAGTTTCTTTTTTTTTTTTTTTTTCGTTTTTCATTATTTTCAGTTCCAAGCAGTTGGCATTCACTTAAAAACAGACGAGACAAAGAAAAGGGTCCACACACTCATCATCACGACAATGTACCATTAATGAATGTAGAATACGACAAAGAAGCGCCATATAGGTTTGCATTGGACAGGGACACACCGATTAATCGCACTCAACATTGTCAAACAAATGGTTCTCCATATTGCTTAGTTAACACATAGAAATGAATTTAGAAATGAATGACGACCAAGGTAGGTGCTATCTTTATTATGACACAGCTAAACTGCCAATTATGGTTATTTTTTAAACATTTTTTTTATTTAGACTTTTTTCAGTATAATTTCTATCTTTATAGTTAATAGTTCCTTCATAGGCATTTCGAGCTGACAAAGAGGTCCTAGAGTGGCTATCTGAGTTGGTACATGCATCAGTAACCAGGCTAAAGTCAAAAGTGTGAAAGGGGAGTTTGGGGGGAAATGGGCTGAAAGGGGGAGACGGGCGGTTTTGGACAAACAGACGACTGGGGAGTCAGTGCACAGACTCTAGTCCTCTTCATCCTCCTCATCGCTGTCCTTCATGGAGATGCCCTGCATGCCTCCTTCCCTCACTGAAGCAGTGGCCTCCTCCAGCGTCAGCCTGTTGCGCACTGTGTCGTACATCTTGCTGTTCAGGGTGGAGTCCAGGACACCCTGCAGGCGGAAGTCTCTGTACTTCTTCTGCAGGGCAACAAACAGATCCATCCGCTCGGCATTACGGGACGCATTGGTTTTTTCTGGACATTCTAATAAAACCACATGAGATGTTTTGGGTCTCACCTTTGTGATTCTGATGAGGATCTTGAGCTGATAGACATGGAGCTGCTGATCCATGCGTTCGGTAAGCCAAGTCCCCAGCAGGTTCATGGTGGCAGTGTACCATTGCTGAAACACATAAACACAACACTCTCCAGCAAAACACACACCCACACACATACTCAAGACACATATTGACGAAGACCTAACCTTTAACACACACGGAAACATCTACAACTATACACATACATTATACATTACAGAATTAATGTTTAAGCACCCAATACTCCCAAACTTTTAATATTCTTCCTTTTTTAACTTCTGCTCTGCTGGAAGCACAAACTAAAACCCCCTTTGTTTGAGTTTTATACATTTACCTACAGTTAAAACGAAGTTACTAAAAGGTGGAAGGTAGAGGAGATATAGTTGTTGCTTGTTATTGTATTCAGTGAACATGACATAAACTTTGTAAAACCACCTCTTTTCTGCAATTTTTTTCAAATAAAGTTTGCTCAACCCTCCCTTATCTTCCATTACAATTGCATCAAATGTTTTGCATCCTCTGACAGGTTTATCATTGGGGTTACCCTGCAATAAGCATATTAATCGTCCTTCAACTAAGAGCAGCTTCCCTGTTTCAGCTTAAGAAAAACGCCTCCATACCACAACGCTGCCGTTTTAAAGAGGAGAGGTTTTCAGAGCAAACTGATCTTCTCTGCAGATAATGTTACCAAAGAAATTTTTTTTTTTAAATTTAGGTTTCCTTTGACCAAAACAGTTAGGTGTCGCCATCTAAGACAAGGTATCCCTTATGAGGCTAAAAGCACTATGGGCTGTTTAGTGGTGGCTTCATCATGTTGTTTGTTTTCTTTCCGACCACTTAGAATCCCAATAAAGCCATTGGGTTAAACTGATAAATCTGAGTGAAACTAATTGTCTAAAACACAAATATCAATAAGTCTTCAAAATTAGAGATATAAACCTCTTTGAAAGGACAGAAATCTAACTGGAAGAAATGAGAAATTCATGGATCTATATACTGTAGGTTCGACGCTAACTACTGATAATGACTCCACTGGAAAAAACCCTCAGATCAACTTTAGTCCTCATTAAGTATTAACTTAAACAAGTCCTGAAATAGGTTCATATTTATAATCAACTACCATCACTTCTTTAATATTTGGTAGTTAAAGGAATAATTATTACAACTAAATGTTTAAAAATATATTAACTTTTAATTCAGTCCACCCTCACATCAAATGCTGGGTGCGATAATGTCCACTTAAAGCAGATAAAACATATTTGTCAATGAAACAGCTAAAAGTTCCCTGTCTTTGTTGTTAACTCCAAGTAAAGGATTTGCTATATTTCAAGAGATGGCATGTTTGGTCCATTTTGATGATTTAGGAGATGCTGAGGCTCTGATCCCAGGTGCTTTTCGGTGGCTTAGCTAGAGCCCAGCTCTGCCCAAAAAGTAACAAAATCCACCCAGCAGCTTGCAGTTTGTTTGATCCGCTTCAATCAGAAACGAAGCTCCAGATTGTTACTCAGAAATAGTTCAGCGCAGCAGTGATTACACCATGAGAGCTTATGGCCCAGTAGGAGGATTTGGTTATCGCTGGGTGGAGGCAGATTGGCCATTTTCCTTTTTATATATGTATGCTAAACTAAGCCTGTGTTTCCTGGATTTATATTCCTGCTCAGAAATATATGCATGTTCTAAGTTATTGAAGCCAGTCTGCAGGCACTGATGATGAACTAGAGGGGTCGCCTGTTAGAGGTGAACCTATTCAAACTTCACAAGGAAAATTATCCAACAATCCCTATAGTTATTAAGCCCTTGTAAAGAGGCGAATTGGAACTACTGTAATTGTATAATTCGTGCAGCAGAATGATTTTATACAGTTCTTGACTTGATGTAGGTTTTTGAAATCCTCAATTATCTTTAACTTTATTTTGGGCACCTAAATTACCCTGCTCTACCCCTGACCTGTGCTCCATGTCACGAGTTTGTCCTCCTGCCTCCTGTCAGGACTAACTGGTGTAGACAGAAACCTCAGCCTTCTCAAAGTAAGACATGTTTTTCAGTGTAACATAGAAGAAATAAAGCATTACCATTATGACGGAGTCATAGGGTCTCCAAAAATGTAAACTGAAAAATAACATTGGAATTTTTGGAAAACTTGTTCAGTGAGAGATTATGCAACTGCGATGAAAGATACAATTATTAGAAGGCTCCCGATTTTCCCATCTTTACCAATGTTTCCAACGCTCTACACTAACTGCAATCAAGAATAGAAATAAAAGACTGTCTGTCGCCTCCTTCCATAAATAGATACTGTCTATTCAAGGATATATATCCAGCAACAACAAGAACACTGACACACAATCACACCACAGAAGTTCATCTCAAAGGAGCCCAGTGATTCTACAGCTGCTGTAGGGAGTTAACAAAATAAAAGGAAGCCATAAAGGGCTAGAGGAATGATGTGTTTTAAACTGAAATTACCTTTTGAACTCCTAGAAAATGTTGAAATCAATATTTCGTAAAAATCTGCATGGCCCATCTATTACTTTAGGCAATTATTTAGACTTTATTTATAATTTATTCAAGTGGAAATGCTGAGCTGCGTCGAAAACACCCGACACTGCAGATAGGAAACAACTGCGGGGGAAGTGAAATTATATTTTTTGACACGAGTTCATTAGCGAAAAGAAAATAGGATGAGAGTGAGTAAATGGTTAGCAGGCAGAGGGGAGCAGAGTGCTGTTTTCTTGGAGCTTTTTCGGCGGTTTGCTTCGGCTCATTGCTTCCCAGAGAACAGCACACATCTCTGATAGAAACAGTAAATCATACCTTTAAAAAATAAAAATCAACTTTAAACTTGTGAGTAGGCAGGAATACAGGGAGGGAGCCCAAATTAGAAGCGTGGAGTTAACAGGTATAAGGTGAATATATTTCTTTTTTTTTTAGCTGAGGGTTTTGTTTAGATCAGGTGCAGATGCCTGTCCAATTCACAGTCGAGTTGAGCGTGCAGTGCATGCAGACCTCGCAGGGCGGCAAAATACGTGCTAAGGAAGACTGCTCTATGTGCAAATGAGGCAGAGCTCTGAGGAGGAGGGTCATGCTAGAAGATGTACACAGGAAGATTATTTGACTCTTAAAATCATGCCAACCAACATAATGTGTAAAACAACGCAACGTAACACTAGAGATAAGTGCCACTTTTTTTTTCCTTACAGAAGGAGGCAGCAAGATTGGTGTTAATCAGAAAAGAGGATTGAAATAAATCAGTGGAAGAAAGACAGTTAAAGTAGAGCCTTTGCAGCAACAAGGAGTGACGTTTTTGCATGCAGATGGATCAAGAGACATGCATCCAATTGAAAAGAAGAGCAATTTGACATGCAATTTTAAATTTGCCATAAGTGACATGTTCACAGCTCAGACAAATCTTTGATTCCATATGACAGTGCTCAGCAGGATTTTAGAGCACTCTGGGGCCACATAGAGGACAGAGGGGGTAAAACGCCACATTTAAAGGAAATATTGATGAAACACAGAGAGACAGGGTAACCCCGTGGCCATTTCAAAGACGAAAAACAGACCCACTTCACAACAGCTTTATGCCTTGCTTCAGGACGAGAAAAACAATTCAAAATAAAAAAACAAACGATGAAGTTTGTCTTGCACAGGACTCCTTCTTCTACAGCCAACACAGAAATAGGAAACCAAAGGGAGCCTTCTGAGCACCTGTCAGACACTAAACGTCCACGCCACTGCCTCACAGAGAAAAGTGTTGTCCCACAAAAACTGCCACACGCTGCTCTGTACAAACAGTCACTGAATGACATGAAGCACACACGTTACAGCGGTATGGGTCGACCCAAACCACACATGGAGGACACATTTCTGCCAATGCATCCCGTCAGGATTATGTTTGTTAAGACAGTGCTCTCTCTACATACTGGTTCCCAACTCATTCAGCTTGTGGGAGTCTGCATGTACAGTGCCTAGAAGAAGTTTTTATACCTACAGCTTTTTTTCACATTTTGTCACATAAAAAGTACATTTGATGCATTTTCTTTAGGGTTTTATGTGGTTAATCATTATAATATTTACAGTAAATAAGAATTTCTGCTGAATAAATCCCCCAATAATCCTTAACTGTAACAATCTTGGATCTGTTGGTTTTCTCTAAGTTTTCAGTTTTAAGTTCATCCAGGTTTTTCCTTGTTTTCTAGCTTTATTGGTGTGTTCTGGATTTATTTAAGTTTCTTAGGTTTTTCTTTGTCTGTCCTCTGTTGCCCTCTTGTGTTTTATTTTCCCTTGGCTTCCTCATCAGCTCTACTCACACCTGCTCCTTATCAGCTCGTTAGTCCTGCCCTGTTCAGTTAGCCATAAATACACCCCCTCTGCAGTCCCTCTGTGCTGGTTCCTCGTCTTACTTCCTCCTACCCTGGCTCCTCATGATTGCTTTTCTAATGTCTCCATGGTCCTGGTTTGTGTTTAATTATTGTGTTGGTTTTTTGGATTCCTGTTTTGATTTACATTTTTAAGTTGGATTTTTTGGATTACTGTTTGGCTGCCTGTCATCCTTGATTAAACCTTCAAAGATCTCACCCCTGCCTCTCGGCTTCTGCTTTTGAGTCCTCATAAAAACCTTAAAACCAAGTCCCGACATTAACACGATAGGTATTTTAAAATACGGTAACAAAAACGTATTACAGGAAAAAATATTGATACTTTCAAAACAGTTAAGTCATTTGCATCCTCTAGATTTTATTTCCTGTATTAAACTCTAACTACCAATAAATTCAGATGACCTTTTCTATCCATGCTGGAGAAAACGTATCCCCACAGCATGAAGCTATCAACACCATGTTTCTCACTGGGGATGTGGAGTGCCAGTTTTATTTCCCCATGTTTGTTTTGAACATGTGGCAAAAAAAGCCTGCTTTGAATTATCTGAATGGAGTTATGTTCTCTTTCGACTGGATCTGAATATTAGCTCTCTATCTACTCCCTGCTCTTCAAAAAGGGGCTAATTTGTTAAGTGCATGACATATAGTTAACAGATTGCTTCAGCTATAAATACATTCATGTTGGTCTATACATGAAATAGCCATAAACTATATAACCATGGTGGTTGTACTGTGACAAAATGTGCAATAAAATTCAAGGGAAATTAAAACATTTGCGAGGAACTGTAGATGGACCAAGGCTGTTCTGTTTAATAATATTTAATCTGAGTGTGGTTTCAATCTCAAATGGCTTTAGTTTAATCGTAAACCACAGCTCTGGGCCAGAAGCAGAAGTTTCCTCTTGTTCTCACTCAAAAAAAGTCATCTCTTTATATTTTGCTTCCAGGAAGCCTGGCATTCATGTAATCTTATAAATTGTTTAGGATCAATATTTCTTGCGGATTTTGAGGATTTTTCTACTTGTCTTACAAAGTCTGCTTTTACCAATTTAGTTTGGCACCTTTTCATAGTTAGTTGTAATTTATTGAGGCACTAAACTCTGACCTATGAAACATTCAGGCGTCAGAGGAAGAACCAGTTCTGTCTCCACAGACAACTTTACAAAGAACCAACATTAAATTGGATCATTCCGATAATTTTCAGCAGCAGCCTGTTACAATATAACCTTTTTTTTTATTTCTCTTGTTGATTGTACAGTAATCTGACAGGAATATTATTTTCACTAATATTAAAAAAATCCATTTAGCTCAAAAATGTTTCAAATAAATGAAGCATCTATTTTTGCCAGATATTTATCTAATATTTCCTAAAGAAAATTCCTCCTCATCTGCTTTAGTTTTCAGGCCTGGCATGTTTTCTTTTTGTTCTGTATTAATCGAATGTCCTTATCCGTTAAGCATAATATGCTATCGTATCCAACTGTGAATGAGAAAAAGAGCATCAAAATAAATAAACTCTAGAGAAAATAGTTCTTAGAAACCAAGTACCTTTTTTCTACAATATTGGGTCCTTTCTTTTTCTCAAAAAGCAAAAGTGTAACTTATAATCTCAAGCAATTTATACATGAATTGATTCTGATTGTGCTCACTGACGTCGAAGTGATTTTGTTTTACTCTATCTTTGGTAAACTGTAAAGCTACAGCTGCAGCTACTGTAATCAGAAGCGTGGTGGAGAAATACATACTGTTCTTCATCCTAATATTACAGTGTGTGTATAAGGACGCCAAAATGGCATCTATCAGTAATATGGACTTTAAACTCAAGGCTAGCAGTCATGCAATAGAACCTGGGAACAGACCAACTAATTACGGTACTATTGATGAATCAATGGCACAGAAGGGAGAATGACCTGCTCCTTATAGTCCAGTGAGCCTTATATATATATATATATATATATATATATATATATATTAGGGCTGCAACAACGAATCGATAAAATCGATAAAAATCGACTTTTAAAAGCGTTGGCAACGAATTTAATCATCGATTAGTTGTGTCGCGCGATTAATGCGTCATCCGCCGCCGCCGTCATCCCGGGGAAGAAAAAAAAATATGGCGGAGCGAGTCAGCGCTGCAGTTGCAGTGTTGCCAACTCAGCGACTTTTCAGACCCCTCCAGCGACTATTTTTTAAAAAGCTACTAGCGACAAATCTGGCGACTTTTTACGGTGTCACTGGCGGCTTTTGGAGACTCTTACGTGAAAGCATGTATCGTTCCTACTCTTCTCCTACAGCGGCAGCTGCTGCCATGGGGCGCCTCCCCCATCCCAACGCCTTTCTCCCTCTCCCACAGGAATCCCTCTCAGCGCTGCAGTCAGAGCCGCAGGATTTTAGTGAGGAGTTTACCCTCAGCGTCCAGACTGCAAGTGAAGCGTGCATGCCCCGGGATTGACGGCGCAAATTGATCACAATAATTAAAATAGCCTGCGCTTTGTAAAGTGAAAAAAGTCGTAACATGCAACTTTTGTAAAAACAAATGAATATGGCACGGAAGCACCACTGTTATGATGCAGCACCTGAAAAGAAAACACGTTGGAGCCTTCAATGGCAGTGAAGAGAGCTGATCAGCAGGATGAGTAACCATGTTTTTTTCATTTTAAAGTGGGGAAACGTAAGTTAGTTTCTCAGGTAGCTCATCTGATGCTTTCCTTAGCTTGTTAGTAGGTTACAGAAAGTGATAAGGTTGGCTTCTTATTTTACTTTTAATTTAATTTGTATTAGCTTAAGCAGCGTTTATATTTTCTTTATAAATAAATAAATTTGCAAATTATGAGGGCAAGGCTTTTAAAGTTTAAATCTTCTGGCAAAGATAAAGTAAAGAAGATCCTGCAATTTATGGAAGTAAAGCAGAATAAAATCCAGCAAGATCAGTAATATGTCAATTAATTATCTGCCACATTCCCATGTAAATATCTGTCTTTGGAGGATGTGTTTTTTAGCACCCCTAGTTCTCTCATTTTTATTCCAAATACAATTTATAATTTGAATCACAGGGCTATTTTTATCTCTATGGTTCAGTATTTTCTCAAGTAGCAACTTTAACTGCTATACTTTCCTGTCTTAAAAGGCAGAACTCTTCTAGTCTAAAAAAACCTCATTTGTTGAAATGGGGGGGCCTATTGTTTGAACCCCTTAGGGGCTTTAAAAAACAAAAATGTCTCTTTTTGCGCTTTATGAAACAAAATACCCTATATTTTGTGGATGTACAGCTACATTTCTCATGTAAGTTTGCGTAGTTTTAACACAAACATTTATTTTTCATATTGCACCAGTACAGTTAATGAGCAACCTGTACTTGTGTGCTTGTTTGTTCTGTCTAAAATGTTTATTTTGGAATGAAGAGGTTAATATAAAAAAAATATTTTGTGTCCGATTCATCGATTGATCGAAAAAATAATCGGCCGATTCATCGATTTTCAAAATAATCGTTAGTTGCAGCCCTAATATATATATATATATATATATATATATATATATATATATATATATATATATATATATATATATATATATATATATAAAAACTGTTGGAAAACAGATAATTCATTGACACTGCCCCCTATATTGCAGAAAAAAATGGTAAATTAATTGTAAAAGGTCTACAGTTTTTGCACAAAACTATACTAAGCAACTGCTTTTATTTTGTTTTTATTTATTTTGCACCATAAAGAGTTACGTGTTACCAATTAATGAGGCCATAGAGAAAAACATGTAATGACAGGCCACCTACCCTGCTGCTGGAAAATTGTTCAGTTAGAGAGCAGACTGAATTTACTCCACACTTACATTTTTTAGAGTACAGTTACTGATACTTAATTCTAGCTATTAATATAGCTGCCAGTTTAAGTGGACAGGTATATAATAGAAATATCTTTCAACACATCAGACTCGATTGATTGAAAACAAACAATCACATAAGCATGTGCTTTTTTTGTCTTTCTTCATGCATATAATTAATTGATATATCTGGTACCTGCAGGAAGCAAGAAGGCCAGAGGGCTGCTGCTCTAAATATGGAGGCCAGGTTTATTATTAAACAAAAAGTTCAGAATAAACCAGAGAATTTTGGAAACTATTTTTTTTTTAGTTTAAATTGTGTCAATACATCTTTACTTTAATCAAAGATGTGACAAAACTATAAAAAAGGATTAATAAATCTTTCCAGAGAACCACATACTTGATCAAGAGCCTCGGATTTGCTTTCTTAGGTATCTAGGATAATTATTATTTAATTGATTTAGGTTTTTTTTTTTCCAGCAGGTTTTTGCATATCATTATCTTGCCATTAGAATGAAGGCTGCTGCATCAGAAATGTTATTTCAGGTAGATTTAGAGACTACTAACCCTTGTAGTAGTCTCTAAATCTAGTACTGATAACCCTTTTAGTGCTTTTTTTTTACAGCAATAAAAGCTACCGAGTTTTCTTAAAAACATATTTCACACGGCACTGATTTTCATAAAGCATCAGACTGGGACTCCCTAGTTCCCTGCATTCCTTTCTTCTGTATTTTTCTTTTTTACTTTAATGACCTTTATGTTATATATTTGGCGCCTGAGGTTGGGAACCATCAAGCATGTTAGCCTCTGAGTTGGCCATCATTAAGTGAGACACCCTGCAGTGTCACCTAATATAATCTATGCCCTAATGTCTGAAACCTGGGAGTGTTTAAGTGAGGGAAAATTGTGTCTATTAGTATGTGTGCTGGCATTAGAGCATTAAAGGCAGTTCTGTTTTGTTTTTTTTTCCACAGAGAGCACTGCTTGAGATAATCCTTTTTTTAGACGATGCTTTTATGGACTCTTTGTTAGTGAAGTTGCTTGGTTTTTTTAATACACAAAGGCCCAAAAGCACTGTGGCATGTACATTAGAATGCAGAGGGCAGCTGTGATTTTACAGAGAAAAGAGTCAGAAAAAGAGAGAGAGGTAGAGATGAGAGGTAGAGAGGATCAGAAAAGCCTCTTCCACCAGGCTGAAGTACACTTCCTGGTCTCAAAATGGGACTTATCCCTCTCTGCCCTGTTGTTTTGCCACATTTTGGATGGCCCCTCCCTTTACTGAGAGGAGGAGACGGCATCTTACTTACATCAAATAACCTTTCTATATACACCTCCTCATTGACCTTTTCACGGAGCATGTCCTGAGAGTGGCGCATAAAGGTCACATAGCCATCTGCAACGTCCATCCCAGGTTTCTGTGAAAACAGAGGCACAGAGCTGTCAAGGTTTAGCAGAGAATTCAGCAGTGGAACAGAAGGGGTTCCAAAAACTGGTTTGAGAGACAACAACAGCATAAATTTATACATAAAACTGTGTCGCTACTGGACTTACAGGTACTTCCACATATTTTGAGGCAGCTTTCACCTGAAATAAAAAGATAATCTGTCAGACACAAGTTCATGGTGTTAATGTTACCATATGTGGTTTACTCTTAACAATCCTGCCCCTACAGGAAGTCTCTACAGAAGCATTAGGAAAACCGTCAGTTTCCTGACAGTTTTCTTATCGCTGTTATATTCTGCCAAATTTACATTATAATGATTTTGTAACAGTCATATGTGTCCTGAATATAGCCTGTGTATGAGATTTAAAGTTTCTCACTGCCTTTCTCCAACTCCTACATAATGTGTACTACAAATGCTGTTTAAAAAAAATTGTGCCCTTTATGATGTAATAAGGGGAAATACGCTGTATTGAGCGGTCTGTAGCTCTGGAGGGGGGGGGGGGGGGGGGGGGGGGGGGGGGGGTGAAGAAGAGGTCTCAATATGTAAATTTTACATCCCTGTATGCTTATGCATACAGGGCAAAAACAGGCTTTTCATGGTTAATATTCTTTAAATTTTTAAGGTAGCATAATATTGGACCTTTAGTGACAACATCATTGACATCTTTAGTTGTGTTTGTTCCTGGAAAGAGGGAAGAACCAAACTACTTTCCCCATTAACCTTGTACTCTCTTTGCGTTTGACCATAAAAACATACTTCTGGCCAGGCTCCGACTGGTAATCTGTGATACCGGTCGGTCTAATTTCCGCATGCAAGGGCCGGCTCTCCTTAAATCACACTAGCCCCAACACTAACTTTCCGGCCAAAGCACCTACCTTTGTGACAGTTAATAACTCAAGGAGCTCAAGAAGTAATACAATATTAACTATCTAATTGATGCATGCAGTATATAAAGCCCTTCCTTGTCATGCACATCCTTGTGATAGTTGGCATATGGTGTAATTTTCTATTTCTTCAAACTGTAAAATTCCATTTCTTCAAACTGTTAAATCCTTGCAACAAACAAAATTATAATAAAGCTAAAATGCTTTCTTTAAACCAAACTACGTTGTTCTACTTATATTTGGTGAATTTATGTGCCAATATTTTGCAAAAATATGTTGCAGTGCATGATGGGGTTTGGCATTTAAAGGGTAACCTTTCCCATCTATTGTGACCTGCAAGTGTGGATAATACGCAGCAGCAGTCACTGTGGCGTCCGTGTTAATAACCAAAGCCAGTAAAACCACATTATAGAATTCTTGGTGATGGTTGTTGTGTGATGCTTGAAGATAGATTGGTCAATATGCAATGTGTGTTTGTATTGTGTTTCACATTTGAAATGTGACTGTGCTTTCTATATATTTTTTTTTTTAGGGGGGGTCCATAAGTGGGCTGGTGTAGATGGAAAAATGCCAGGGCCGAAAATCGTTCCCAGTCCGAGCCTGCTTCTGGCTCAGTTTTTTTTTTTTTAGCAGTTCTCCTAGACTCAGTGTTTTTGGGGTTCAGGTGTGTCTCTAGCATGAACATATTCATTGACAGAGCTACTGCAGCAATTGTCTAGCATGGCTTTATGATCTGTCCCTTAAAAAAACACTCTTTTGCTCAGTGATTGGCTTAGCTGAGTTTATTTCCAGGAGGGACTAATTGACAGCACAGAAGAAAGCACCACTGAAGCCGTGCTTGTATTTTTGAAACTCCCACCTACCTGGCTCATTGTTTCAAAATGTCACTGAGCCACCTTTATTGGGAGCTTTCCTTCTGTTTAATGCTATCTACTGAACTTCCAGTGATGGTACATTTTACTCTGACGATTGTGACAAAGTCAACAACTCAATTCAACTGACATCTTTTAGCTTAAGACTATGGTTGTGTTAATTGTAAAACTATCTTTTGACTTGGTCCCTTGCTTGGTTATGTGCATTATGCTTAGTGTAGGAATTGAAGAACAATAAGATAAAAACATATTGTGTTTAACACTTCAGAGCAGGGGAAGGTTTGTTTAGCAAAATTAGGGGATCACTTTAAATAAACTCGGGCACCGATGCTTTTTAAAATTATATATCTTGTAATTAAAATACTGTAAAACAGTTTGAAGTGCTGAAGAAAAAGGTGCATCTCACCGTGAAAGACAGGAATGAAGAAAAGAGGGTCCCTTCATCATATCTGGAAATCTTAGCCAACACTCCCTCTAGAATAGTTACAAACTGATAAAGAAAGGAAAGAGTGGTTTTGAAGCACAGCTTTTGTATATTTTTCAATTGTTCTTATTTTCCTCATGTTTACATTGTTTACGAAACAATAAATGAATGCTGCACCTTTGCAACCAGAAGCTGGATCATGTCCTTCACACTCTCTTCAATCAGTTCATCTATCTGGGAGTGAAACTGTTTCTATGTGAAATAAAGCACAAAATTACCAAAGATATTAGTAAAAGTGGAATCAAAGAACGGAATATTCCTCTTCCACATCATATAAATGTATTAGTGGGTGTTTTTACCTCTTGGCCAAGCTCCATAGCACACAGTTTGGCTGATTGGTCCTTGGCATCCACCATCACATTAAACATGGTGCATAAGGATGGAGAAATGCGGAAATCCGTGGACTTACTGCTCTTTGTCAGCTTGGACTCAAATGCCATCCTGGTCCTAAAATGCAAGTAAAAGATAATTTACCTAAAAAATCTGCCTTTTTTTTTTTTTTTTTTTTTTTTTTTTTACATAACAACTGAAAACCCCAATTATTATTATTTTGATTCCATGTAAGCGAAAATACACAAGAAAAGGCAACAACAGAATCATTTGGACCAAACACATCCATGCCCCAGTCAAAGTCCAGACCTCAGTCCAACTGATAATCTATGGTACAGTTAGAAAATCTATTCACAGATCCTCTACAACCAATGCACCCCAGATGTTTTTTTTTTTTTTTGCACTTATGATCACAATTCATATTAAATTTTTTTTTACTTCCATCTGAATTTTTCTGCCTCAGCTATAATTTTAGAGATAGTTTAAGAGACTTGAAAGTAGAAAACTTGGGATATTTTGACTGATGATCAGTCCACATATGCTGTAGACCAGGGGTGCTCAAGTCCAGTCCTCAAGAGCTACTATCCTGCAACTTTTTGATGCACCCCACTTTTAACACACCTGAATCAAATGAATGTCTCGTTACCTTTCCTCTGCTGGGCTAAATGATGGATTGAGCCGTTCGATTCAGGTGTGTTAGAGAAGAGATGCATCTAAAAGTTACAGGATGGTAGCTCTTGAGGACTGGACTTGAGCACCCCTGCTGTAGACATACTGTGTGTAAGCCAACTAAAACTAACACAACTTGTTGGACTTTGGATGCTCTTTCAACCTGATCTGGATCAAACAATTTCTTAATAATCTTAGCATTGACTGAAATGTATCACGATTTCCCAATAAAGTGGAACTCTATTGGGAATATAAAGTGGAACTCCTGCAACAGACAGATGGCAGTAGATCGTTCAGCTGCCATCTATAAGGATTACATACAGCTAAAGTTGTTCCTAAAAATGTTTACACAGGACCATTGCAAATCAAACCATTGCAATTTTTTTTTTCTGTTCTACCAAATCTGCAGAACTCATTGTCATAACTCTGCACTTTCTGGTTCTGTTAATGTTTTCTTTTTGAATTTTCAGGTATAGTTTGATTTATGTCTTTCTGTGTTTTTTAGTTTATTGGTTTCATTTCCATTTTGTTATTCCAGTTGTTTTTGGTCATATTTTTGAGTTCTTATGTATTTCTTGTTTACCCTCTGTTGCCCTCTTGTGTCGGTCTCCTTCTCCCAGCACCCTTCTTGATTACTCTGTCCACAACTGCTCCCAATCTGCTGATTAGCCTAGTCTTTGTTTACTCTCCAATTTATACACCTCCTTTTGAGTCACTGTTTGCTGGTTCGTCGTTTCCTGGCACATCATGCATGTTTTCCCTGATGTCTCCTAGATTTTGTTTTTTTTGTATTTGTTGGATTTTTGCCACCTTTTTGAATTATTAAAACTGCAAGATACCACTTCAGTTTCAGTCTATGCATTTCAGTCATCGAAAACCTACACCTAACTTGACACTGTTGATACACATTAAACAGATCATTCTGTTTTTCTATGAAAAATCCCATTTTCATAAAGCACTTTAAGTCTTTCCCTATCCCATACCAAGCCCAGCTACTTACCTCTTGACACAGCTCTCTATCATGTTACTTGACATGAGCTTGATGCGGCTCTCAAGGTGTTTGGCGAACTCATCCTCCGGCCAGTGTAAGTCTCTGATGAAAGTCTGAAGGGCATCTAGCTTCCAAAAGAGATCCTCTGATGTTCCGGAGCCATTACTGCCATCAACCCAAACACACACACACACACACACACAAAGCAGTCAGAAAGCAAAGTTTGCGCTGTTACAGAAAGCTTCTGTTGAACTGACAAGCAAAAGGGGGGGGGGGTGCGTCAGGTGCAGAGAAAGATGCTGTTCCTCAACATCCAAGGGTTTAATCTCACCATACACCAACTGCTCCATCAAGATGTCTGTGTCACTCTCTGTGGCTCAGATTTCTTTGAACAGTCAGTCTATGTGTGAAAAGGTGTGGGGTAGGGTTTAGGCAAACAAATCAATAAACATGCTGCAAAGCATGATTATTGACTGATTTATGGAGAGGTAACATGCAGGTAAAATCACTGCAGATACAGCTGCTGTTTGCACTGGAAGACAGAGGAGGAGGAATGTAGATGCGAGAGAGAGGGCTTAAAAAATGTTCCAAGAACCTAAAGATGTACTCATCAGTGACCCTCTCTCAACATCCATGACCCTGGAGTGTTGATGCCCCTGAAACACACCATGCAGACCTTTCTGTTCTCGAGTAGAGCTGATTGGGAATCGGGAAACGTTTCGAGGTGAGAAGGAGATGTGATAAAATGGAGAGATTTGACCTCTTGGCTCAGAGCCTCTCTGCTTTATCATCTCCAATCGATGACCCAGTCGCTTCATCCCAATCAGACTACAAGCAGGTGGTAAAGGTCAGAGATGGACCTATGGCAATGTTGCTGAGCATTGCTATTATGCTCCTCTGCATCCCAGATGAGGTCCTACCTCTGCTATGACCCGTCTCAACTGGCTGCACTGGATAAAATCCAATTTGAGGAATGAGTCCTTATCAAAGTTTTTGCTTTGGGAATTTTATTATTCAATAAAACCTTCATTTTTAGAAAATATGCTCCATTTAGATTTGACACAGCAGCCCGTGAGCCAGGTCTCAGCAGACTTTGGAGAATATGTCTGCAGATGCTAATTTTGAGGAGATGTTATTTGTAAAGTGGATTTTTTGACTTGTCATCTTTTTTATTTTTCTCTGTACACTTATAGGCACATTGGTAAAGATCGGCAAAAAACAAAAACCTTGGAATAAATTAATCTATTATTGCAGCTAAGCAATTTCACACTGAAAACTGGAGGAATACCTTTGCGTTTGAGTTGGAGGGGTATTTTACTAAATATTAAATATTTAAAAATGAAACAAATATTTATGAAGTAACAAAACAATACTGAGTAATTAAATTAATTTTGGTTTAATGTATAGCCAAGAAGATTATAAGGGAGGTAAATACAAAAAAAATCAGCAGGACCTTGTTATCTGAATAACAAGAACACAACATGCCAGGAGAAAGGCTTTAGTCTCCTACAATGACAAACTATAATTTCTCAAACTCTCCTGGTATTAGACTTATGGTGTGTGCTTTAATTAATTAATCAAGCTAGTTTTTTGGAAATGAACACTCTAGGCTAAGCGTGTTGTATGGGAACCTGCTTAAAAACCCATTGCACGATGAAATACGTCTAGAATAAAAATCTGGTGGCTTCGGCCAGAAAGCTTCAAATTGTTGATCCTTGTGTCTTTCAACAGGAGAAGCTCAGTGAAGAGGATATAAAATAAAAATCTGTAAAGTTTGAGCTCAAGGATTGGTCAGTTATCAGTCTTTATCCTCCAGCTTCATGTTATACCTGGACCAGGCCTGCTCTCACCAGCAAAAAGCTGCAAAACATTATCAATTACTATGGAGTTGTGTGGCTTCAAATAAAGGATGTATCTCCTCATACAGGACTATAAGACATATATGAGATAATATGCCACTGCAATGATAGATTCATCTATTTTAAGGTCTTGCTAATCTCAACCACATGTGCTAATTATTGTGGGTAGTTCTTCACATCTAATTGTTTCCTATTCTACTTGTTGTTGTCTTCACCTCCACACCTCAGCTCAGCAGCATGCATGTTGGGATAAATGAAAGACTTGCAGCCTCTCATTTTAGAAAGCAGAATCTCATCTACTCTAACTCAGAGTGACCTTGGCATGAACATGAACTTCATCGCCAACAACTGATGTTGAGGGGGAAAAAAAGCCTAATTTTTAATCATGTGAATTTGATTTGTATTCAAATGCATTTAAGAAAAAAAAAAGCCATCTTCATACCAAGTTGTTCTCTGCTTGCTTTACAAAATCTAGAGTAAACTAGGTGAATACACACTCAGAGTCATATATAGCAGCCATCCATGACGGGGTTGAAAAGCTAGGCATTTGTGGAAGGTTAACTGATAGTCCTGCTACTGGCACTGGCAGATTTGGTACTTTGGGAATTTGGAGGTTCACATTTGGTAGATTCACATTGGGCAGATTACTTGTTAAACTCCTGCAGAAAAGACAGACAAAAAGAAACAAAAAAAGAATCCATAACAGTGGTGTGGGAGCTGCAGAAAGCCATGTAACATTCATCATAAAAGTAAAATCTGAAAATAGAAGAAGACACAAGCATACAGTAGCACACATTAACTAATATCAAAGGGACAATATAGAGAAATACCCATGAGTCCAGAGAGCTCAACAAAAACGTGATGTAGTAAAAGCCGTGAAACAGAAAAAAAGGGCAAAGTAAAACTATCTCATATATACAATATTGGCTGAAAACAATAAAATGCAACAAACATGTTTAAGCCTCAACAAACAAATCCTAACAAAGACAAAGCAGACTGGGAAAAATGTCAAAGCACATATTATGGTGATTATTTTACAGACAAAACACAAATATAACATGTTGCTCTGATCCCAATGTGTTTTTAAAAAAAAGGCTTATTGACTCATGCATTAATTGCAAAAAACTACCTCCAATAAAAAAACCTATTTCTTTCAGTGAAACAAATAGGTTTTTTTTCAGCCCACTCTTTGCTCATTCTCTAACAGTGAACCTAAAGGAAGTCAGAGGGAACGTTATCGCTGCTCTCTCAGATTCGTCAGCCTCCACACAGTCATTTTGTTATAAAAGCTTTGCATGTGCAAGCATCCACCAGCCTCGAAACAAAGACACAGGCTCCTTACTTAACAGGTTCCCAGGATTCCCTCTCAAAACCCTTGTGGATAGTCTGTGCGATGGAGGACTCCATCAGATCCACATATCTAACCACCAGAGGAGCATACAGATCCTGGAGGTGTTTGTGGAACTTTCCATTGCACAGATAATCTATTGTGGGGGGAAAAGGATGAAACATACACGTTTTAGAATCTTAGTTTAAGATCGATGTGTTTGGCGATATTTGAGTAACAGCTGGAGCTCACAGTCTGTCCGGAGGAAGTCATTGAGAAGCTGGAAAAGAGGGAAGCTATCCCAGCTCTCGGGTGACTGGATCTCTAGAGCAGCATCCATGTCAATGGCATAAAGGGCCAGGAAGTTTTCGGCGTGCTCCACCATAAGGTCTGTCCACCATGCAAAAGCCTGGAGACACAGCAGGAGGGTGAGAAACATGATGAACAGATCCTTCGAAAGGACTAAAGGAGTCGAAACAAGGATTCTTACATGAAAACCCCTGGAGTGTTTTAAAATGTGTGTGTAGTCTCTGATTAATTGTGACATTATTGGGTTATCATTTGCTAAAACTTCACACTTCTGTCATCTATACTTCAAATATGAGGCTAAACTCAGCTACTGCTTTGTTCAGCATAATGGGGTTGTTCACTGTCAGCTAAACTTTTCCAGTTAATCTCATGGACCCTGAGTGGGTTTAAGTTACATATTGAAGTTCTTCAATCTGAGGTGGAATTTAATTTCTTCTAAATCTTCCTCATGAAGTTACTGAGAAGAAGCCAACTAAAAATTTCTAGGCAATTTCTAACAATTAAAATTACGGTAGTATTAGAATCTAGTTCTTATGTAAAAAGCCCACAAGTTTCCTTGCTTAATGCTGTGTGGACTGTTAATAAGAGTTTGATACTCTACTGTACATATCAATTTACAAACACAATTTAAAAAAAAGTACAAAGAAAAAGCAGAAAATAGTTTGATAGCAAGTTTTAGGCTCTAAAGCTCTAAAGGGATGGAAACTTCCGTAAATAAGAAATGTTGACATCAGGAAAGATGCTAGGATCCTCGCTGTGTTATCAACAGTAAGCATGATCAGTGGTAGATATGTTAGGGAATAATGCTCCCTTCAGATAAATTCCAGTATTAACTACAAGGCAACTGAAAGAATGTAAGCAAGCAATATAATAAATTAAATGATACCCAAAGCTTATGCAATCATGAGCTAAAATGCTAACATTTGCTGAAATGTTTACTGTTACAGAGCAAAACCTAATATAAACACTGAAATAAAGCAATAAAGAGGCATTTGCTTCTTTGTTACCAAGATATTCTTGCAAAAAAAAAAAAAAAAAAAAAGAACTACACACATGATATTTACTTGGTAAATACTACAGTAAATTTGCTGCTTCAGGAGGTATAATCTAAAATTTACTATAAAGAGCGTCTTTTTTTTAAGCAACAAGCTTTTTTTTTTTCCGACATAATTTTTCCAGATTCTCTAAACTGCTATGACAGCTGTCTACTGGCAAAATCATAAACCCACAGTAAAATCCGTCCTTAAAGCAGAATATTTAAATTGACATAATGTCTGATTTCATGATTCAATGTTATTTCAGGAAGACTTGTCTAATTAAAACTCTTTCTTTTAGAATCAGTAGTTTAATGACAGGAGCCTTTACTGCATGCTAGTCATAACTACAGAAGTTTGGGTGTTTTAGTCTTAAATAAGTCCTCACAATTCAATATTTAATGTTCAGACAGAGATAGATTGGTGTTATTGATTTTACATGGTACATACTTTTTTGAACGTGATTGACCAGAATGAGGGTGTCAGTCTGTTGGTTTGTGTGTAATTGAGAGAGCTTTTCACATACATCATGAGTAACTTTATTGTAACTTGTTCAGATTGGCAAAGTTGTATTGCTAAAAAAATGTCATACAAAATTATTCCTATCGATTACCTTAAAGGAGCAATAAGCAATAATTCATTATTTTAGACAGAAAGAACTAAAGGTTGTTAGGTCAGGAACTAATGGTATCTTTTTAGCTGAAATAAGGGGTGACATCACACCCCATCTCTCCGTGTTGTTCTCCAGTTTCATGTTTATGAGCTTTGTTTCTCTGAAAGTTAATGCTGTTTTGCTTTCAGAGCAGGTTTATCCCTGGAGTGGAGGTAGAGAGAGGCGTTTGCACATTATGTTTTGGTCTACAGATAATGCTCAACAGCACCACTAAGAGGTGAAATTTTACTTATTGCTCCTTTAACATTTTGTCAAGTTACAAACTCCAAGTTTAGTGGATTTTTGTGTTTTTCCAACCTTTTATATTTGGAGTTTTGAATACATTTTTCTTTGTCATAATAGATAAAGAGCTTCATGCTTTGGTTAGAGTCTCTGAAACGTATCTACATCTATCCAGAAAAACTTTCAAATATCCAATAGATATAATTCCACTTAATTTTTCTGTCTTTCTTGATGTAGATTCTTCAAAAAAATTACAATGTGTCCGAAGCCTGAAATGTGTCAAAAGGTCAAAAAGTGCAAGGGGGTGGATACTTTTGTAAGGCACTGCAGCATGGTTAATAATCACTGGCTGATTCCTGTCTATTTCTCTTCTAATGGGCCTCAAGCCTGCTTTCCTATTTTATAGCTTTTTTCGCCCAGTCTTAGTTTAGATGGATGACTACTTATTCAAAGCTCTGCAGATATTCCATGCTTTGTTATTCTTAATTCTTGGATTAATTCATTTTAAGATGTTTAAAGTTCTGGCCTACTTTAAATTTAATTGCAGCTTTTTCTCTGACCTTCAAAAACCACCCATATATGAAATTATACATCCTGTAAATACACTCTTTTCAGGTGTATTCTATTGATCTGAATGCAACTTGTTGCTGGATTTTTCTAGATCCAGATTAAATAAGGCTGGATAGAGAAAAAACTATAACCATGTCTACTTTTCCTTTCACCTCATAGTCATGAGCTACTTTCTCCTGGTCTGTCACATAAAGTCACAGTAAAATAAGGTAAAGTTTGTAACGTGACAAAATGTGGAAACAGTTAAAAGTTGGAAACCTCTGCCATCTACTTTATGTTCCTTGGTGACATATTCTGTGCACAAAAGGCAAAGATGCTATTCTCATGCAAATGTGGATCTCCCTGCATGCTTTTTTTTCTGAAGCTTAGGAAACAAGGGGGTCCACCATTCACATCAGCAGCAATCCCCCTAGATGTGAATGTGACTCATGCACATATTTAAATATAGGCACACCAAAGACTGCAGCCCACAGCATGTCTTGACTCTCTTCCAATTAGTTAAGTAAAGTCTTTAAGTATCAGATAACAACTGTTTGGCACTGTCAGGACCTCCTCACTCATTAACAGTATTTGCTTAGCTGGCAGTCTTGGTTTATTTGTTTATCATTCAAGCTAACATGTTGCCAAATTCAATAACAGAAGCTTAATCCTTTGCATGCTTCAGTTTTATCCTCTTGTTATTTTACCACCTGGAATAATAATCAATGGCAAAACAGATTTACTTAAACACCAACTTACCTGCCCATTGCTAGAATAAAAAAAGCATGATAGCTCTAAAGTTAGAAGAACAAAACAGGCAGCAAACAAGTCCTTCACCACATTCAAGGAGAAATACTCTCATGAAAGGCAAATGAGAGGACGGTAGATTTTCCGTCAGGTTAACGCCCTAAGGTAGTGCAGCCTCCACCCTTTGATAGTAGCTGAGGGACCCAAACGTGACTTAAGGAGCTCTATGTCAGACTTAGTAAGGCACAAAGGCTGCAACGCTGTATCAGTAAAACTGTGCCAAATGACAAGGCCGGGCCAGGGAGGAGGGGGGAAGGAGGGGTTACTGATGCTGAAAGGGTAGGATATGTGGAATTGTGTGCTTTGACATGCACAGAGCATTATGGGGAGGGGTTCCCATTAAGCTGGCTACGTACCTCTTTTCCCTGCTTCCACAGTCACCAATCATTAGACAGTAAAAACACAGGAAGATGTACAGAACAACAATGTAGTTTGAGTTATTTGTTTGAAAAGGGTATTTATGCTAAAGACAGATAGCAGAAAGGGATGGAGGTGGATAAGCTGGAAAAGAAATTTTTGAACAAGTGTGGACTGTGAAATCAATTGTCAGATGGAGAGGGAACAAATGTTCATGGTGGATACGACTTCAAAGGTTTGTATGGAGCATACTTTGGGAAATTCTCTGGTTTGGCATGCTTGGATAAAAGGAAACCTCTTCATGGCCTGATGAACATGCTTAATGATCACAATCATGTTGTGAAAGCTAATGTGCGTCTTTTTTTTTCATTTCAGAATTTTATTACAAGCTTGCTTTTCAAATCTAGGCCTTTAAACTCACCCAAAAGCTACAGCAACTATGAGTTAAATCTTTGCCTGAAACGTGCCTCTTGCCATAGTGGCTCATGCCATACAAGGGAGTTGTGATGGGGACTGAAGAGGAGAAAGAAATATAAATACTGTACCGATTGATCTCCAGAACTTGTGACTGCCGCCTGTCAAGCATATTCAGAGAGATACAATAAATCTGTTTTATCGGCATTTTCTAAGACCATGCTGGATCATCTGCAGATCTACACATCTACACATGGTGAAGCTGTCCTCTAGCAGAACATTCTAGCAGCAAAGGTGATAAAGGGATGAAGCTCATTTGATGTTTTAAATCAACAAATGATGTTAATTTCTCTATGCTTAAAATGTATTATTGGAAATACTGTAATCTTTTATTAATGTCACTTATGTTTGTCAAATCCAAACTGCCATAAGTAAAAAGAGAAGTATGTCCTTTCATATTTTATTTTATTCATAGTACTATTCAGAGTTTATATAAAAATTGCACAAATTTTGAATGCACAAATTGTAAATACACCCCTTATATTTGTAAAGTTTTTCATGTATTTTTTTCATGAGCAAATCTTGAAGAAGTGACACTTGGATTTTGGTAAAACACTCTTTAGGTTACACTCTTATGTACAGTGTACATAAGAGTGTAAAAAAAACTCAACACACAAAAACGTTTACACTCCGTAGTAAAAGTGTTTAAATTTTCCCAAAGTTTCAGCTTTTGGTGTGGCCAACATTATTTTCCTGGAATGCATGAACTCTATTGTAAATAGGGATTGCTTCACAGATTGCCACTGGAAGGTGCTGCAGCTGGTGAAGATGCAACACACATGCAGCCCCAAACCATTACACTCCAACCAATGTTCTATTGCAGACAATATACACTTGTCATGTGGAGTCCTGCTGCCACATAGCGGGAACCGAATATGTTTCTCCTGGTAGCATCAGACCACAGAACAGCCTTGCCATTGCTAGCCAAAGAAATTATGTGCAAGTGGTCATATCTAGATTTTCTGTTAAAAAGAGACAGATATGTGCTGCAAGCACGCTGTGGAGGTTAAACCTATGAGGGGGGTCAGCCAGTCAGCATAAAGGCCATTGACAGCACTTGGCATTCAACTGGTCTTTACGGCTCTTCTGAAGCGAATGCACAAGACAGCCTGCAAACAGTTTGCGGAATAAAAAAAAAAGTAAGATTAAAATAGATAAATATAGCCATAGGGTCCCAGAGTGGAGAGCTTCCCCTTGGAATGACTCATGCCGTGGTTGCAGCACTGAGTCTGGCACAGGACGCACTCTAAGGCTAAGGAGCTCAATGACCCAGACAGAAAGTCAGAGGTTCAAACTTGCGATCTTTCAGTCTCTCCAGGAGGCAAACTCCCAGTGATCTAAGCAGTATGCCACCACTTCCCTAGAAGACACGCAGGGGAAGTGGTGGACAGGAATTACCAGAACCATGTCCTAAGTGGAACCAGTCCTGTTAACCCGCTGGGTGGCCACTGTTGCACCTCAGTTTCAGGGTGTTAGAAATCTTCCTACTGACAAAGGGCCTCACAATGTAGAGTACAAAGTCTTTGTTTATGACCCTCAAAGTTTTTTTTTACTATGAGGTGCCATGTTAAATCTACTTTGGCCTGTATGAGAGAGAGAGTTATATTGACAAACCTACCACCCATTCACACCTGAGATCTTGCAAAACCAATGAGTCACATGGCACCACGGAGGGAAAATTGTTTAATTGGGCAGATTTGGAGATTTGCACTGATGGATGTACTAAATGTACAGCAACCGTTTTATTTTACAGGGAAAGGAAAATTGCATTTATTCAATTCATTACTTTATACCCCTGTCATACCTTGACTTGCAAAAAAGCAGACATGCGTTGGAAAAGTTATGGGTAGGTTTTGTAGAAGTTATGTGCACGCTGAAACACGCTGGCACACGTCGACATACGGCAAGTTCAGTAAGTATGCCAGCGTATGCTCATACGTGGGGCATAAGTTAAAGATAAGTTACCTGATCACTGACATATGTTAAGTATAAGTTACCCATAAGTAGTGGCGTCTAGCTTATCCAAAACCTATGAGTAACTTGTGCATAACTTATCTGGAAATTATCAAGAACTTATCTCCAACGCATATCAGCGTATTTGACGTGTTCCAGATGACTGCTGAACGTGTTTCCAACGTACAGCTACCTTATAATGACGTAGTGGCAGCGTTTTGGTATGAAAGGGGTTCACAGGAGGAAAACCATCAGTACTGCCTCAGACTTCATCCCCATCATAGGGTGAGTGAGAAGGTGAGTGTGAGGGATCCTCCCTGCCTTTACGCCCACGACTAACTTCCTAGAAGATATCAAGCTGAATATGCTGTGACTGCAAACCTTTTTTCTTTTTATTTTTGGGGGGGGGCACTGACTTGTGACATTTAATAGGCATTACACTGCCTTGGTTATGCATGAGTAAGGCTGTCGTTGGACATATGCTCTGGACTCATTATGAATACCCTATATATAAGCCCAAAATTGAAAAAACACATTGAAAGTTCAGCATAGGTCAGCTTTTTAGAAGATTCTGGGACGTCAGGATATGCTGGCTAAATTGGCAAGGTGTGACATGGGCTTTAAATTGCTTCAAAGTGTCATATCTTCAGGATTGTTCTGTGAAAATATATCTTTCACATGAAAAATAAACATAAGCTGTGTATTCACATTTGTAAGATACTGTATCTGAAACTGCAATGCAGCAATTTCTTATTATTTATATTAAATAGTCACCGGTAGGTAAGATGGGTAAACAACTTTATTTCGTAGTGTATTTTTTTTCTATTAAAAAACATGAATCACATTTAATAAAAAAAACTCTTATTACACATTATCAGACTAAATCCACAATAAAAAAAATTCAAAATGAAGAAAAAAGGTTTTTACAAAATCCTGACCTTTCAGAGATTAAATATAAAAAGTTTCTACTTTAGAAAACGGGATAAAAGAGAGGCTAAATCAAAGGTCAGTGTAAATTAAATCTTCTAGCAGTAAGATAGTAAATAAATCACTATAATTGAAATAGTTTTCATGAATTTAGGCATAGCAGATGCTATTATAATAAAATGTAATTTTTTAAAAACTGAAACATATGGTAACACTGTGAACAAAATAAATACAGTACAATGTATTTTATGTTTTTTTTTACATAACTGGAACATAGATTAATTTAATGACATTCCCCAATCCAGGAGTTTCCTTTGTAGAATAATGAAACTCAACATATCAAATGGCATTAGGGTCATCAAAATATTTTTGCTATTATTATCTGTGAATTAACTTGCTTTATATTAAAGGGAAAGTCGGGTCATATTCAGAAATAAAACTTCTGAAAGTACTTTAAATATGAAATTATTACATACTGTTCAATAAACAATAAGTGTTTTTAATTAAGAGTAATTTTCGTTTGATTGCGCTTTACTGGAGAGATCCATGTTTGTCAAAGAACACTACTGCCACCTACTAGTTTGTGACCTCACAGTGCGGTATCGGCTGTTGAGCAAGTCCTAGTGCTGTATCCTTTGTCATAATGCGCTAATATCCAAGTCATCTTGAAAACATTCCTCTTCGAAATGTTGGCTACATATTATGCTCCCTCTTCAAGTTGGCAATCCGACGACAAACCCTTCCTTCGAGGATCATAAATCAGAGAGACAGTTTTTTTTTTTACTTTTACCTGATCTATTACAACATCAAACTACCATGAAGGTGGGCATTGTCAGTTTAATTATAGCTCTCACGAATTTCAATGCTGAAGTCCTCTCGAAATCTTAAATAATTGTTGTTGATAGCAGATGTGTCTAGTAGTTCCCACTGATTTTGCTTGTAAAGTGTGGGGAATGGCGCTCAGCGTACCGCACCGTGACGTCACTGCCGGAAGATGGCAGGCGTGAGGTGTTACTATTTTTGTTAATATATTTTATTGGTAGTTTGTTTTCTTGTTCGCAGCAGCCAAAAGTAGCCCACGCTCTGCTGTAGAACTGTTAATTTAAGTGAGTTTAATTGTTCAAACAAGGGAAAATGATAACAAGAAGCATGCTACAGTATTTCATATTAACAAAAAAAATCCATACTGCTGTAGTAAAAAGGAGGTTTAGTTTGCTGCATTGCTACAGTAGTTCAGTAATTCATTCATTTAAAAAGAAAATCTTAGACCACAATATTTGTCACATGCAGAGGCACAACCCTCCACACACACTTTGTTGTCTATTTTTATATGACATGCCGAAACTACAGAGTAACAAAATATTAAGTTTTTTTTTATTTTTTTTTTAAGTAAGAGCGACTACATCATAGCCTGTCCGACTCGGAAAATATATCTAAAGATAACAGTTCTGGTTCTTTGTAGTCTTATTCAGCTCAATGCTAATTAAAGCTTTCCAAAATTAAATTCATGCAGAATTTGTTTTACTGATAGATGAAAGCAGCTTTATTTATAGCTGCCTGATTATTATGACACTAACTCTCTGAAGTGGAACGAGTGGGATAAGAGTGAGGAGTAAAGAGGGGGAAGTGCTTTGAGGAGGAGAGGAGAGGAGAGGGTTCTCACTCACCTCCGCATGATGTTCCTGGTTCTGCTGGAGGACCTCTATGACTAACTCCGCCAGGCGAATTGTTTCCTCCAGCTTTTTGGCAGGCGTGACTAAGCGGCCTACGTTTTCTGAGAGAAAAGAATGAGGGTGAGGGATGAGCGGTTAGTCAAGCAAAGAGAAGCATTCCAGGGGGAGGGGGTATTTCTATATGGAATATTTATTTTCTTCTGTTTATTTTATTCAATTTATTTAAAAAATAAACACAGCACCTATACTGTGGTTGGCAAGTACTGTAAAGCATTTTTCTTTCCATTTCAAAGAACCCTTAACTTGAATTGTCTCCCCCGGTAAAGATGTTTGAAAACCCAAAGACTTTATTGTGATAACACAGAAACATCTTATTACACTAAGTTTGGAAAAATATGACTTTTATTTGCTGCTAAGGTATGTAACCTGTAAAAATTGTCTAAAGAAGACCTCTGTAGCAAGCATGGGCAACAACACTGCTTGTACAATTGATTTTTAAATCATAAAGTTAATCACTGTGTCTAAATACTTCCCCTTTTATTCCATTTCTTGTTTTTTTTTTGTTTTTTTTTTGCTTTTTCACTAAGCTACTACTCAACATGGGACTGATAATAGAGCATTTTATTCAGATTTTATTGTATAATCATGAAGAGTGTATAGCAGCCATTAACTGTGTTCTGCAATGTTTAGAGTTAAACTCTGCTGTGACTTTAAGTCTTACATTGTGCTTAAGTCGGAAAATATCCTCTAACGTCTTTATAATTACGGTGGAGAATCTGTTACACACAGGCCTTTTTCTGTTCTCAAAGCCTTGGAAACCTTGTGCTGCTATTTCTTAACACCAAATTACTCATAACATGTGGTCTGAACCAACAGAGAGATGGTCAACCAGATAAAGATGGAATAACGCTGAGTCTACAGCACCTGTGGATTGAGCGCAGAAAAGGGTGGGACTCAGATCACTGGGCGATTTTTAACTCTGTTAAAAGAGGGAAGGAATTCACAGGATTCAACATCGTGCAACGTTTTCAGAAAAGACTAACTCCTGACGTGAGAGCAGATAGGGGTTGTAGAAAAGGTGTAGAAAAGTGCAGAAGTACCAATAATTTTGTGGGACAGTGTTATCTATCTAGACCAGAGGTGTCAAAAGTATTCATGTTTATATATCAAGTAGAAATATAAATCCTACTGTCTTTTACTGTTACACTTTTGTCGAAGTTAAAGTATCAACTTAAGCTTTTTACTCAATTAAAAGTGTAAAAGTACCATTTTTTAAACTACTTAAAGTGTAAAAGTTAAATCTAACACCATTTACACGTACTTCTCAACTATAGCTGTCTATAATCTGTAAATCTTTTATCTGCTATTATCTGTCATTATTTATCATATATTTACCCCACTAATATATACATATAATCCATATCCTAACTTTCCTATATAATCTGTATATACTTTTTCATATTTAGTTGTTAAAGCCTCTTAGAATTATTCTATGTTTATATATAACATTAATATATATATATATATATATATATATATATATATATATATATATAATATATATATATATAATATATATATATATATAATATATAATATATATATATAATATATATATATATATATATACCGTCTCTGTGCACATTTATATCCTGTAAAGCACTGATGGATAAATGCAAACTACATTTCGTTGCTTTGTTCTTGTGACAGTGTAATGAAAAAATAGTTCAATTCTATTCTATTCTAAAATTAATGCATAAAAAAAAAAGTTAAGGACAGATGCTTTAAACCGTATACTGGTTACTGCACTACCCTATCAAAGAAACATGTTTCTACCATCCTGAATGATAATTTCCTAAGACTTCAGTTTTTTAGTTTCATAACTTAAGAGCAACAGTGTCAATTTTAACTTTGCATCATCTTGAAAAACTATTGTGGTATTTAGGGCACAACAGGTTGGTGCAGTCCAACCACAAAGAAATTAATTGTCAGGATGAAATAAACTATTTCAATGGTTTTTATATTTTTTTTAATACCAACACGCCATAACAAAAATAAGTTTAAATGAAACAAACTAGTCTTTTTTAATGTAAGAAGAAGGCAGAGATAGTTACCAAAAAAATGTAAGCAGTAGAAGTAAAAAGTTGTCTAAAAAAATAATAACTCAAGTAAAGCATAGAAAGCCAACATTTCTACATAAGTAATGTAACAAAGTATTTGTACTTTGTTATTTGACACCTCTGATTTAGACAGCCATTTTCTTTTGCTCCTGCACTGAATTAAATTCTTCAAACGAAACCACCATAATACATTTTAGACTTGTTGTCAGTGTATCAACCACCCAGACCTCTCAGGTCTTCTAGCTCAAGTCTACTCTGCAGACCAAGAACCAGAACCAAGCATGGAGGAACAGCTTTTAGTTCTTATGCTCCATAACTCTGGAGCACACACTCAGAAAACTGTAAAAGTGATAAAAACCCTACATCTAAATCTACTTAAAAACACTCTTTTATTTTAGAATGGCATTTGACTGTGCCATCTAAATTTAAATGATTAATTTTTAAGTTCAACTTAATTTTATTATTCATTTTCGTGTTTTTTTATCGTTTCATATACTTTTAGTTATTTTATGTGCAGCACATTGAATTGTGTTACTACTGAAAAGTGCTAAATAAATAAACTAATCCTCCCTTACCCGAAGGCTGGATTTGGGCTGACTTTTCGCTACTGTGATAATAACTTTTCAAACATCGTTACCAGGAGTAGCAACAAGCTGGGAGAGTGCTGTGTGGGCAGCATGATATGGAGCAACAAAGCTGATGTGTTTGAAGGGTAGTCAGAGGTATGTTGCAGTATCAGACAAAAGAATAGTGGCTCTGAAATGGAAGTGCAATGTAGCATAAAACATGCATATTGTGAACAGGTTTTAAATAAGCCATTTGTATAAGGAGCTGTCGCACGGCTTAGTTTATAAATACTCCATAAACACACTGTAAAAATGTTTTGCGCTCCTAGAACTTATCAATCAGGTAGAACAGATTTCTATGATTTATATGCTCACATATTTATTATATTGTAACTCTAAACTTTAAGGAAAGTATTTCTTACTAAAACTATTTAGTACGTTATTAGTTGATGCTCAAATTAAAATTTTATTAAGAATAGTTATGTTTTTTTGTTTTTTTTTATAAAATGAACCAATTTTGAATAATTATGCTGAATTATGTCAGATTTTAGGAAAAGCTACCAATTCCTTGGAGCTTGTTTCTCTTTAGTTTAGTGTTTGTGGATACTTTCATTATTTGGATAATTAATGATCTGCTATTCCTAATCGGTTATGTACTTCAGAGCTGTTTAATCTTTATTTTTACAGTGTGCTGGTGCTGGTTTTTGGGATTTAAATTTTCTGGTATCTCACTTTCACTGGCAGCCTCATCTAAACAGTCGGATGCACGTCATGAAATGGAATTAACAGCACAACAACGTTATATATAATGGGCACAATTTCAACATGGGACTGGATGGTAATGTAAATCTCAAATTAAAAGCACATAAATGTGTTACTCTACATAAAACAGAGAGCGATTTTAAAGGCAGTAACATGTTGAATGTTCTTAGTGTATTTGCTGGGTGAGTTATTGCATTTCCTGAGAAACAGTTATGATCCAACCTATTAATTCCTTTAGTGGATTTAGGTTTAAACAGATATTTTGTATTAACTAACATGCTACTTCTGAAAGGGGATAATATTAAGGTTTAGGAGCCAGGGTTTCAACTTGAATCTGAGCATAAATCAGTGAAAGAGGCAAGAGTTAGGGTGATGGCAAAGAGGCCCTCGAGCCTAAAAGACAAATGTTATATAATTCTGTGCTTATATACGTAAAGTGGTTGTTGAAAAAAGTTGTGAGGTTGACAAAGGTTGACAGAAAAAAAACTCAACATCAAATAACCTTGGATAGCAAATTTCAATTTTGAGATTAAATTCATTCAATTTAAAATACAGTATGGTAGATACGTATGACTAGTTTTTGATCCCTTTAAAGTGAATCTAAATGGATTGAGTTCAACTGTTCTTTAATGGAAACACTGCATAGAACAAAATTAACTCTTAATTAATTTAGATGAACTAAACTGGGTAATACATAGAATGACATTTAAATGAAATGCATTAAACTTCAATATATTTATCTGAATAAGAGACTGCACTAAAAAGGAATAAAAAGGCTAAACTGGCTTAAAATTAAGATGACTGAGTGCTAAACAAACTAAAACTGAGTTGTAATGGGACTTATTGAACAGAGCTGAGAGGAATATGACTGAATTAAACTTAAACTGAGTTAAACTGAAATAACTTAGTAACTGAACCAAGCTGCACTGAACTGACTTGAACAGAACATGACTGTAACTAACTACCCATTTAGCAATTAACTGAATCAAAAATAAATATAATTTATTTATTGTAAAGGTTGTAATTTATAAGTGAAATATTTTTACTCATAAAAACCAACAAACAGCATTTTTTCAGTAATGTTTGCAATGTTATGTTTTTGACATTGACCATGAAGGTTATTTTGCTTTGTCAAAACTTTATAGATATTATTAGAGTTACTATTACAAGTTGTTATATTTTGCATCTTTTATGTATGGCCATACTCAGCTTTTTGAAGCAGTGAGTCAAATTTAGACATTTGCCTACATGTTCCTCTGGCTCTTAGTTAATAGATGGAGAGCTTTTCTCTCTCCATTCCTCTCTCTTCCACATGCATACACCTACATATATAGAATTGTATGTATTTCTAAATTCCATAAATTGGCAGCACATTTTTCTCCCCACTGTTGAGTGTCTCTCCCCAGGGCATTTCAGCTTTTAGACTAGAAAAGCTGAAGCTCAAACAGCAGCCAATCGACTCACTCAGCCAAGGGTATTTAAGATGACAAATGTGATATCTGCAATATCTGCAAACCGTTGGATGTTTTCAGTGTTTACTGATTTTTAAATATAGGTCTCATTTGATCATGAAACAAATGACTGCAGAGAGGCAGACTGAGGTTTTGCTACAGTTAGGCCTGAATTTCAAAGTGTTATATTCTGTGGCTGATTTGTGCTTTGAGTTTTCTTTTTAAAGTCTTTGTTTACTGAGTATTTGATGTATTTCTTATTGTATTTTATTCTGACTTTATGCAGATTTCTTCCTGGTTTCTCCCTGTCTGTTCATTAATTGTTAGTCCCTGTGCCAAAGCCAACATGTGGCTAATTGATCCCCTTCATCTGTGTTTACTTATTTAGCTCATTATCTGCACCTGTACTCTGTTCTTTTTAAGCCTTTTGCCTTAGTTTGTTACTGGGTAATTTTGTGTTTGCCTCCTACCTCCATGCCCATTTTGTGCTTATCCATCTTTATTTTATTTCTTTTTCATTAAATCCCTCTTGTTACATGCTACTCCTAAATACCTAACCCACCTTTATGGCAGTAATGTTCTTTTAATTATATAGACAATAAACTAAATCTTCAACATCTAAGTCACCAGCACATTTGATCTTAAAAAAAATCCAGATACAAAGACTTTTATATGTGTACACAGTAAACTTAACTGTGGTAGTGTATTTGCTATTTAATTAGAATTTGTAAAAATAGGGTAAGACTTTTAGTGATAGGTTTTATTACTGTAGGAATATTGGTACTGTGGTTAGTAAAATATAAATCAGTAACAGAGATACAGTTTTAAAAGACATTTTAAACATTTTGGAAGGATGCAAATTTGAAAAGATAATTCAGTATCACACTCACCACTGTGCTTGCTTTTTTAGAAACCATACTGATTTAAACATGCCAACATTGATATAAGGTAAAGTACTGCTGCGATAATGTCCTGGCAGTAAATGTTTGATTTATAGATAAAGTGCTTTACTGTTGTACAACAAAACTGTTTCACAGTTATCACAATAAAAATAGATCATAGTTCTTGAACTGAATTAATTTTCGGATTTTGATTAGGTCTTTCTAACAACTGAAAATTCTGATATAATCTGTTTTTTATTTCGTTGGCAGTACGCCTATGATTGTTTCCACCCTAATTGTTAAAGAGAAACACATGTTCTACTCACCCATATGAGTTTTGTGTCATTTGGAGCTGTTCTGAAGATATTCCGTTATATCCAAGGTTATATCCAAGTAACGTCTACCTTTGGGCAATGACTTGAAGGGACAAACTGAACTGTTAATAATTTATTCTTTATGGTATGCCAGCATTCATAACATGTAGGCGACTCACTGTCCCTCAGCGTGCCAGCTACCGTTCATTCATCCTGTCCGCTGGATGAAGTAGTTTTATTCACATGCCTGGAAGATGTCTAGTGCTACTACCAGAGATGATCTCGTTCTCGAAATGGAATTGAACGATTCAGATTAGCTAGCCGAATGGATATAAGGTGTAGAGTGTAGCCGCCTGTGGCCCGGGCTGCCTGTCACAACTCCAGTCCTGGCGCGTGGATAACGTCATACACGCGCCGCTTTGTTTAAAAAAAAAATATAAATATAAAAAATATAACTGTGGATGTCTGGGGGACAGTGATTCGCCTACATGTTATGAATGCTGGCGTACCATAAAGAATACATTATGAACAGTTCGGTTTGTGCCTTCAACTCGTTTGCCCATAGAAAGACGTTACTTGGATATAACCTACTTACTTAGATCTAACCGAATATCTTCAGAACGGCTCCAAATGACACAAAACTTATATGGGTGAGTAGAACATGATGTTATAACGTAAAATCAAGGGCCCAATGTAAAAAAAACGTTGTTCCCCTTTAAGTTTTCTGAATTATTTTGTAGCCTCTTACAGTTTTTTTCTTTATTTGTTCCAGAACTCCTCTATATTTGGTTCCATCAACTTTGTGACAACTTTTTAATTTATTTAAGGAAAGCATCCCCACATCACGATGCTCTACTCAAGTTGGCTTAATGTGATGAAAGCACTTCCTTCCAAATGTTCATTACAACCCCTGCATGAATCGTGGCCAATTTTAAACAAGATATTAAGAGATTTTATTTTTGACAACAGCTATGACAAAGTTATAGCTGCCTTTCAAAACAACCGGCAGGTGGAGGGAATTGCTGATGTATGCAGTTCTGAAATACTCTTTTCAGTTTTTGGATGATGGTTTATGAAGTTTTTCGTGAGGTGTTGTAATTTGTTTTTATGACCAAATCCTGCTTTAAAATAATGCATATTCCTATCCCTTACCAGTTAGCCTGTGGAGTCACCAATTAGATGACTCTTAAAGCCGGGAATACACTGTGCGATTTTTTCAATCGTTGCACGCAGTTGCAGCTCACACTGTACGACAAAACTGCACGGTTTCATTGTACAGTGTGAGTTCACGGCTGATTCGATCTACCTGCTCACACTATACAGTACGTCTAAAAACAATGTCGGACTGAACTCCGCAGTGAGATGGCGCTACTCAGACTTTACTATCCGAAAGCAAAATGCGTAGAAAAGGAATATGAACCTCACTAGAGTGAAATGCGCTGCCTTGGAAATTTGTGCAATTTTTTGTACTGAAAACCCTAAGAAGAAAAGGCGACAACGTATTTGGACAAAGACATGGCTGAGCAAACATGGCTACTACAGTCTGTCAATTTTACAGAAAGAACTCCATGAACTCGCACCCCCACCATGCTTCTGTGTTTATATCTGAGAGGAAGAAGAGGAAGATTCCTTGTTTGCTCACTGGGTGATTTGCCCACGACAGTCGACTGAAAATCGAATATTTTTGTTTTTTCTCCTGACCGAACCATTCCTGATCGGGAGATGGTTGTGAGAGGCTGATCGCCCCTCCTTACCCCGTGTACACTACATGACTCACGACGCACGATCAGGCAGAAAATCAGGCCAATCGGAAAATTCTCGCACGACTGAAAAGTCGCCCTGAAAAGGGCAAAAAAATCGCAAAGTGTAAGCCCGGCTTAAGGCAACTGGCTGGATTTATTCTACTTTTGGGGTAACAAAGAAAGTGACATAAAATACAACTCAATGCGAGTCTTTTTTTATGTAACATTTTATGAGAAGGTACACAAAATTGTATTAACTAGGTAACGCCTAGAGAACTAACTAGAATCTAATGGGTAATTACTGGGTACTTACTGGAGAACACCTGGCCAAGCCTTACTATGTGACTGCTGCTCAAACAAGAGTACCTAATCAGGAACTATTGTGTAGTTACCAAGGAAAGAGAGTAATTAATCAGGAACTAATGTGTAGTTACCAAGGAAACAAAGAGTTAGTAAGCAACGACAGGGATGTTAAAAAGGAAATGAAAGAGAAACTAATCAGGTGATCAGGAACCAAAGGGTATTTAACCAGTACTTATAATGGGACTACTGATTTGTTGCTGCAAAATTAAAGTAGAAATACTTAATGCTGGTTCTGAAAAACCCTACAATTATCTAATGGTTTTATCTACCCTAAAGTAAAGTGAACCATCACATCAAGTACTTACTGTAGAATTATTCATTACCTAATCACTACCTGGCCACTATCTAATGTTTTTTTGTACCTTTAAGTAAAGTGCAACTACCCATTAATTTTTGCTTAGTTGCTTTTTGTTTCCCAGTTAACTAAGCAGTATTTCCATAACAAGGGTGGGCTGGGTTTTCCCATTAAGTACAGGTTAACTACCCATTAGTTCCTGATAAGTTCCCTAGGCGCTCTCTAGAAGTTAAATTTGGTGTACCTTATTGTAAAGTTTACCCTTTTTTAGATTTTCATTATAAAGGAAAAACATGTACCTTTGTGGTTACTTTGTGTTGTTCTACCACATAAAATCTCAGTAAAATATACGGAAAGTTTTGTTTTTAATGCGATAAAATGTAAAACAGTTAATGTGCTATAAAAAATAACACAGTCTCATTTCAAACTTGTGAAATATTGATGCTTGGTCAAGCCCCCTATGCTTCAGATACTGATGCTAAGGGGGTACACCTCTTGTCATTTATTGACATGCAGGGTTCATGACAGGTTGTGACAGGAACGTGCAAAGAATATCTAAGAACTGCAAAGTAGAAAACAAACACTGATCCATCTCTTACTGTAACCAAGACCCTACATAAACACTAGTATACATGTAACCATAGAAATCTACCAATAACCTGCGTGTTACATGATACACTGTCCACAACCTGTCATTTACCCTGGGTGTCATCAGTATGTGACACACAAGGAGCTTTGACCACACTCCAGTATCTGGGAGTGAAAAGTGTGTTGATAAAACATGTGTCTAGATGAAAAGAGTGTGCATGTGTGAATTTGTGTAGCTAAACCATGAGCTAAACGTAGCATCACCTGGATCCTTCTGATCCTTTTGACCTTTCTCAACTTCGGCAAGGAAAAGGAGAAGAAAGAAGATAAAAAAAACAGATGTTTAGAGTCAGCATGTATCTGTGATTAGTTTCACGGTACTTTGGGGCTCAGAGGTGTTGTTTGTTATCTGATGACCCATTCAGAGGATCTGCTGGGATGGTTTCAGCTGCAGGAAGCGAGATATTTGAGACAGACAGACATTACATTGTTAAAATTATAAATAAAGAAACAGAAACATAAAAAGCCTGTGAAAAACTGGAAATGGGAAAAAATGGTAAGATGTTTGTTAAACAGACAAAGCTTAGACTACTTTTAAAAGGACATGACAAAAGTACTGTGATTACAGACAGGACACAAAAAGTGACTTGATATGATTAAAGTAAAATTTAGATAAACGTGAAGCTCTTGAATCCGCACATTGTCTGTAATCCCCCTTCCAAAGCTCTGTCGACAGATGCTCCTTCACTATAGCTGGTGGCGCAGAGAGGAAATAAAAGAGAGGCCTACCTGTTTGGCAAAGCACTGACATGATCAGACCAAATGACTGCAGAGGATAACAATGTAAGCAGTCTAAAAATGCATTCAAGTCAAAAGAATGGGCGTACAACCAAAAGAAAGAAGCTTTACAGACCAGACTGCTCATTCATATCATCACAAACAGACGGTGCCTAAAAGAGGACCCCCGACCGGTCTAGTGTGGTACTTCATAGATCTCTGGGTTGGTGCGCTCCCCACTCACTCTAACACATAAAGGCACAGTTAAAAGCAAGCGTGGCGCCAGGAGCAGCATCTTTAAAGAAGGAGAGGAGGCCGTAGAGGGAGGAGAGAGCAGGGAGAGGATGATGAGGTTACTCACGGATGGTTAAATCCATCACTTGAGAGGCCAAGCAGAAGACAGGGTGCTAATACATTTCCCTCTTTTTCCCTACAAAAAAAAAGGATTGTAGCATGCAAGAGGCTGGGGTCAGACGTGGAAGGGCTGGAGTTTAGAAGCCAATGGAAAGAGGGCTGTCCAGGTAAACAAGACATTGTGCTGGATATGCATCCCCAGTGGTTAAGGAAACATTTGCTTTAGTTTGAGCCAGGCGTCTCACAAGGATATGAGGGGGAATCAATTCACACAGTGAGAAAAGATACTAAGGTGGAAATCCTTAGTATCTTTAGTAACATGGGGTTTTCTTTCATGGCACCAGCAAGTTTTACTCCGGTGAGAAGGTGAATGTTTGACACAGAAAAAGGTTGACAGACAGCCCTCTGCAAAAGTCTTCTATTGTCCCTCATACCTTTATACTTCATGTCCAAAAAGCAAAAATTTACCTTCATGTTTAAAAGTACGCTTGTTCGTTATTTCACCAGACTTTTTTTTTTTCACTTACTTTCTTTTACTTTGTTTTACTCATCTTTTAATCAGTGTAAGAAAGGAAAATTAACCTTTTTTTAATTTTAAACAACTGACTTTTTTCACTTTCGGTCACACTTAAATATTTCAGGTTATCAAACCAATTTTAATATTGAAAAGCATAACAAAGCATATACAAAGCTCAATCTTTAAAAGATGATTTTATTGATTTCGGGGAAAATCCAATCCTTTTACTTTTTACCAGACGTCCTTTAAAGGAAAAGTTCGGTCAGCAAGGAATAATCACTGGTTAATTATTTATACCTAAAACTGATACGTTTGCGGTGAATTCATGAATTTAACAGTAATTAGTAAAAAAATAACTGAGGCTGGGAGCGGCCATTTTTTCCCATATATAGTAACACATCTTTTGGTAATGACGTCACGGTGGGGTAACCCTAGCGCCATTCTCCCCGCTTTACAAGCAAAATCAATGGGAACTACAAGACACACCTGCAATCACCAATAATTATATAAGATTTCAAGACGACTTCCCCATTGAAATTCGCGAGAGCTATAGTTTAGACAATGCCCATGTGCATGGCAGTTGGATGTTGCAATACATCGGGTAAAAGTGAAAATAAAAATTTCATTTCACCTTTTCAATTCATGAACCACCACAGGTTCATGATTGGATTGCCAACTTGAAGAGGGAGGATTTGCAATTGAACTTCTGGCCAGATAAAAAGTAGTGTTCTTTGACAAACATTGATGTCTCCAGTAAAGCACATTCAAATGAAATTACTCTTAATTAAAAACAATCTCGTTTATTGAACAGTATGTAATAATTTCATACTTAAACTGCTTTCAGAAGTTTGATTTCTGAATATGACCGGACTTTTCCTTTAAATAGAACCTGTATCAAGCATGAGGTAGTTAAAAGATTTTAAACAGCAACACATCAAAGACATTGAAGTGGACTTTGAATGAAAGACAAATCATTGACACCAGTCAGCCTGGAAAGGGTTTCAGAGAGTTTCAAGAGATTCAGTCAAATATACTATTTACCTTGTTTTGTTTTACAGCAGAGAGTATGAGGATCAATTTAGAGAAAATTATATAAATGAATTGAAATCTGTCTTTATTACTGTCTAAAATGTACATAAATTAGATTGTCTTTTTTTTTTCATAGTTGTGTTATTTTATATATTTGTTTGGATTTTTTACTTTAAGAATAAATTAAAAATCAGTTGTTAGATTGCCATTTGCTATGATAAAGTTTTCTAAAAAAAAAAAAAACAAAAACAAAAAGAATGTTAATCTGTTAGAAAAGTACAGAATTAATTAAATTACATGTAGTTATACAAACAAATCAAAAGCGTGTTTTAAAGTAGTATTTTTAAGGGTGGCTTAATGGTAATAGGAAATTCAAAAATAACCTTTGATAAACCTCCAAAAAATCTTTAGAACTACTAATAAAAATTAACTATTACAAAAGACCTGGCTTTATTAAAAAGATATATAAAGACATGAGGGGTGATTTAGAGCTTTTTGCACAGCACTGAGATATAATGCCGTAATGTTTTCATTTTTCATAATCCATGCCATTAAACAAAGGTCATGTTGTCATATCTCATAGCACATGCAGGTGAAAGGTGCTGGTTTGGACAACGGGATTTAAAGTTTGTAAAGCCCTCATAAGTTTGTATTTTTTTCTGTATATCTGGTCTTAAACCTTCTTTCAAGTTTCTAAATCAAAGATGCTACAAAATATTCTAATAAAGAAATATTGTTTTACATGTCAAATATCAGAGAAAATGGAAATATTCAAGTATTTAATTAGTTCAGGTAGTCTCCTGCAGGGCTAACAAACTCTGAACCCAATATTTTCTCTGCAATCAGCATTTATTTAAAAATAAGCTTCATATTAGATGTTATAGAGGTTTAATTAAGCCATATCTGTGGAGGAAGAGAGAAAAGCATAGCGAACAGGGAAGGATAAAGAGCAAAAGATTGTGATCTTAAGCGGGATCATTATACAAAGGTGAAAGGAGGTGGGGGCACGCATAGTTAGCTGCAGAAGTCATAGACGTTAAGAGTTAAAGTGAGAAAGTAGGCGAAATAAGGAAAATGCATCGGGTGGGAACTGGGAGTCAGAGTGGCCACTGAGTCAAGCTGAGCTACTGGTCCAGTCATTTAATAATAAATTTAAATACTCAAGGCACAATGAGAGATCAGCACATAAACAGATTTCAGGGCTTTGGATTTGAATGCATTTTTACTCACACACCTCTACACAAAAGCCAACTTGACCTACTGAACTGCACAGTGCTAAAGCAGGCCTGAAACAAAGGAGAGAGTTATTGAACGGAGAGACAGAAACTGACGGCACACTGTTAAAAAAAATAACTGAAGGAAACCACAAATCATGGGCTCAAACTGGCCATGTACAAGGTGCATTTAACAAGAGTAAATAAAATAGTTCAAAGAGACAGATTTAAACAGGAGTGAGGAAAATGAACATAAAAGGGAATAAACAGTGTTCAATTTATTTTTCTACTTTCTACATAAACTGTTGGTATTAAAAAGTTTAATGGAAACATCAAAAGGCTACATACTCAAATATATATGCTAAAATATATATTTTTTAGGTTACCTTCAATTTTAGCATAATCTTTGATCCGCTGGTAGTTCAGCTGAGCAGCCTGCTCCAGACATTTGCGGATCACTCCTTTAACTTCTTCAGGAGGAACTGGAGTGACAATATCCTTCATCAGAACCTAAATGAGAAGCAAATATTTAACAAGGATCGGATCACAGGTTTCTATTTTCTTTGGTGTAATGTGGTTTTTTTTCTACAAACCCTCTCGAGCAAGGACAGTGTGGCTTTCAGTGCACCCTCTGGACGGCCGAATGGGAAAAAATATCTACGAGGCAAAACCCAATTTTTAATCAAAGCACAATAGGTATGTGCAGGTGTTGTTTTATTTCTGAGCGAGCAGTCACCTGAAATTTACAATGTGGTTCTCCAAAATGACCCGCAACTTTTCTTTAATGTCGTCAAAGCGCTCCTTCTCGTCCACTTTCACCGTGCTCAGTCCATCCGGCCTGCAAGGATCACACCCAAACACTTTTACCGAGCTGAAATTCTTCAGATGACCAACTAATTAAAATTTTTTTCATCTGATCAACAAAAATAAGATAAAGAAAAACTCTGGTTGACCACTAGCAGCTCCTTGGAAGCTGAGATCAAAGCCTGAAATGAGTTTTTTTCCCAATCTCACCTTTTTTCGCTCTGAAAGGACTTCTTTCTTTGTCTAAGCTTGAATATGCACACTCGCTTAGCAGCAGCCTGAGGATCTGGGCTTTGGGAGCTCTGTGGGGATACTAGGGCCTCGTAGCCCAGCGGTCCCCAATAGCTGCTGCCCTCTCTGACTTTTACGGACGCATGGGAGAATGAATAATATGGACAGTAAGAGACTATGGTAACAAAGGAAAGAAAGAAAAGAAAAACAAAAAAATATGGTAGAAAACAAGGATATATATAGAGAGAGAAACACAAAATTGATAAACACATAAAATACAGAAATAAACAAAATAACTTAAATATGAGCAAACTTAAAGAGGACAAAAATGGGATGATGGGCGGGGGCTAGTTTCAGCTCTTTGTGACTGAATAATATTTCATGTCCCATATTACTCCTCGGGTGCATCATTATTTTAATGATTTGTTAGAGACGGTAGAGGATTGTAATTGCTCATATGGAGTTTCACAAGGATCTCAAAAAATCAAATCTTTAATTTCGGTGAGTTATTTGTTTTCTTCTGATAATCTTTTTTTAAACCAATGAAAAATTTAAGAGGATGACTCAAACGCAGAGGATGACAAATCACTTGTTGATGAGATGTTGGTGAGATTAAACTCTCTCATATGAACTTTGTTCTGTTTATCCAAATAAATGAGAGTTGTCAGATAAGATGCGGACTGCAGTTAGAGAAATCCAACCCGTCCCTGTAGAACACAGCGTAATTCATTTACATAATCGAGTGCTATTTAAATAATGTGGTTTTAACATAGAAAGTATGGCTCATGGTCCAGGAATCTACAACTCTATTTGCTAATTAAAATGAAAAGCCGACACAAAGGTTGCATTTAGGGATGCAGCCACTAGAAGGACAAGCTTGGTAAATGTTGGTCGCAGGTCAAAAGAAGAGAGTGCACACCTGTTCCCATGGACATGGGATGCACAAAAAGCAAAGCTGTAGTGCAGAAGAGTGGGGTCGATAATGGCCCCATTTTCTGCCCGCTCCAGAAGATCACGTAGGTAACACAGATGTCTGTGACAGCCTCGGACTCCGTTTCTTGCACAGTATTCATCCAGGACAAACACTTGACCCGGGCTGAACCATCCCTGCACAACACAAAAGCATGTGAAGGCTTCAGTACTGCAGAGCAGTAAACAAAAACAGAATTTTCATGTCAATGAAATAGCCGGTAGAATCACTTACCAAGCAGCAGAAGGTGTCATTGAGCCTGTGGTCCAGTGTAAGCCGCTGCAACATCTCAAAAAGCGAGGCGTGGTCATAGCTACATGGGTTAGCGGAGATAAACTCATCCATGCCATGTTTCTGAGCTCTGTCAGCGTCTATCCAGCCAAACGGCACAAGGAAAAAGACACGTTTTAGAGGAGAGAATGTCAGTGGGGCATAGGAAGATAATGATGCTTCAGTACAACTCAACAGGACTTTTTAGCTACTTCTAAGGGCAAATTATAATAATTACATCTTACATTGTCAACTTGCATTATATTGGACAGCGTAAAGACTGCATAAATATCTATGATTTTTGTATTAGTGAATGAATCTGTCTGAAGCTAATCTCAAAGGTATGAGTTTTTCAACTGCATGAGCATGCATGCAGCTATGGTACATCACCTCATTTTATAAGAGACATCACTTAAGTGATAAAAGGTGTTAGAAGAAGAACATTGACCTAAAATACAATTTTTTTTCTGTATGCATTCAATAGATTCTGCCATTCTCAAAGATTGTCACTCAGGTCCTGACAAAATATGTGTGCTAGTGGGGGAAAAAATGCATGTTTTTTAAAATACTTAGATTTTCTTTAGAAAATAGAGATTTGTGGTTGGTCCTTCATAACAGAGCACCACATCTGAGCATATTAGGACTTTGGTTTTGCAGTTTTGCTTTGTTGTTTGCCTTAGAAAATATTTTTGGACTTTGGAAAACTTGCAGTACTTAATGTTTCCACATTTTCTAATATTACAACAACAACTGCAATGCATTATATTAAAATTTCATTTGATAATAACACAAAATAGGGCATAAATATGAAGTAGAGTTAACAATTAAAAGAGCATATGTTTTAAAGTTTTGACTGATAAAAATCTGAAAGTGGGATGTGCATTTACAATCAGTCTTTTTACTGTCATACCTCTTTATAAAATCCAGCTCAGCTAATCCTCATTAGGGGTCAACTGTCAATTTCTGGGTACATCATTTATATACAGATGTTCTGTGAAGTTGACTGAGATTCTCAGAGAGCATTAATAAAGACAAAGCATAATGGTCTCTATTCTCCCAATCTGCAGAATCTGCTAATTAAATCTCTAACATTATGCTCTCTACTTTTTCTCATAGTAGCTTTGCCTTGTCTGTTCCTGTTTGGCTGTGACACCATCCTGGAGAGAAATATCAGCTGTGCTGCTGTCATCAACACAGTTGTTTATAGATGTTGGAGATCGGCCTGTTTTCCAGTGTAGTCCTGTTTCTCTGACTGTGACTGACTGGATGTGCTCTTTTCATCCTCTGACATGGGAGCTGGCTCGGAGCTCGTCTGCCTGGCTGTGTGTTTCCTGGACGGGGTCACCTTTTACAGCTGCTTTTTGTAACTCTGCTTCTGTCTACTTGAACCCCAGTCGGCCTCAGCAGATGGCCGCTCACACTGAGCCTGGTTCGGCTGGATGTTTCATTCTGTTAAAAGGGAGTTTTTCCTCTCCACTGTCGCTACAAGCATGCTTAGTGTGAGGGATTGCATTCGAGTCAATGAGTCGATGCAATCAGCTGGTTTTCCTTAGATAGAAAACTTTGAATCAATTTGACTGTAGGATCTGGTGAACTGTAAAGTCCCTTGCGATGACTTGTGTTGGGAATTGGTGCTATATAAATAAACTGAATTGAATTGAGTCACAGCTGACAGGTCAGATATTCTGTGGAGAAATTTAAAGCAAGATGAGGGTATAAAACCTCTTTTAAGACTGTCTCTCTGAGCATTGGTCAAGCCATCCTCATTAACAGAAACAATGAAAACCAAGTACAGGCTACAAAGACTGGAGGCTGGGCAAGAATTTCAGTTTTAGCAGGACAACATAGGATAGGTTTAGAGTAAAACATGTCCATTTGTTAGAATTCTAAGACCAAGTCAAAATATATTTAAGAATACTTGGAAAATGTTATCCATTCATTTTGGTTGGGCTTCAGGTATTCTTCAAAGAAGAACATTAGAAAAAGAATCAGCTTCAGATTAACAAACCTTTGAGACAAACTTCAAAAGGCTGCATTAGGCAGTTTAAAATTGTATTGACCCAGTGAATCTCAATATGAATGCATGCTAAATATTTTATTTACATAAGAACAACTTGCCTTTTTTCTATAATTATGCCTTACTTTGTGTCAGTCCATCAAAAAAAAAATTTATGGACTATAGTTGCAATGTGACAAAATGTGAAAAAGGGTATAAATACCATTGTAAGGTACTGAAATTAGGTCAATTTGGATTAACTACCCATAGTTTAGTTTGTTTATAGATTGCATTTACAAAATTAGAAAATCTGTTTTGCAAATATTAAAACAGGCTGAGAGACAACGACACAGTGATGAAGACCAAAGGTATTGTCACGTCCCATAGAGGGACTGGGAGGGTTTACATTCAGGAGATGAGTGATGACTGTTCTGTGGTGGATGTGGTAATTGGAGACCTGATCTTGTCAGGTCAAGGCCGAGATACACAACGGGACACAAATGTCACCCTGTGGGTCAGCGAGAGGGTACCATCTTGACTGTGTATAAGAAAGGATCCTATAGAGTTACACTCATAAACATTTTCATTTTCACTTCAGTCTGAGAAGGAAAACATGAGACAACTAAGAGTAAGTGATGATGGCAGCAGGAGACGGGAATAAAAAAAGACAAAAAAGGACTGTGAGTCATCATGAAAAAGGAAATGTTTTGATAAAATTTGTTTGGAAACACTGAAAGGAAATGAATTGGAGATGAGAGAGAGAGAATTTGTTAGGTAGGAGAAGCAAGGGGTGGGAGAGGCATGACAGAGGTGAGTTGGAAGCAACAATCATATTTGGACAAGTGAACAAATTTTGTATTGGAGGATTGAAATGGTGAAAACATCCAAAGTTCGGAAAGTGTGTAAGGGGGTTGGAAATGTGAGACACATAACACAGGATTTATTTTCTTTTGTGGATTTAAATGGACACATTAATCGAGAAACAATTTTACATAACTCACATAAAGTGTTCATAATAACTTTAACCACAAAATGACAAAAAAAATAACCAAAGTGAAAGTGAGATTACTTTTGCATACATGTATATGTTCCAACATGCTGGAGATCAGACTTTATAATACGCTTGTAAATGTCATGCACATCTGCAGACCCCTTTTGAAAATTGTCATTTTATCTTCTTTACATTCTTTAAGATTGCATTCTCTTATTTTTCTCTTCTCTACGCATTTGCAAGTTGACAATACTTGAGTATGTTGCACTGTATTCATGATCTATAAGGAGCACACTAACAGGCATACGACTACCGGAGACCTCTAAAAGGGAAAAAGCATTACCATTTGGTGCAAATACATGGGTAATTATAGCATGAAGCCAACAGAGGCAGAACTGTTATCATTCTCTGGAAGATGGGGGGAGGGATGGATGAAGGGTTCTCAGTTTTTACAGAACTATGGACACATGAAGCGGTTGGTGTCCTTTTTCAAGCAAAACAAGAGCAGTCAAAAGAAATCATAGTGACACCCCTCCTTTTTGGGAGGCGTAAGACCAGTCTAGCCTCTATAACTACAGGCCCATCTACAGTAGGAGGGAGTAGGAAGGAAGGGATCTGGAGTATCTTTACTGTAAGAAGGGGCGGCATTGGCTACTCCTTGTCTTTGGCATTCAGAATACTCCGCATACATATTTGCCAACTCTCATCAGTTAAACTCAAATAAAGGTAATTACAATGGAGCCCTCAAAAATAAAGCATAGAAGTTAATACAGTTAATAAATGTTCAAATACTGCATGAACTCCTTTTGCATGGCTAAAATACCTGCAATAGTTTGGCAAGTATAATTTTAGGATCATCATCCCTCACATTTATTTAAACCGATTTTTCAAAAAACTATTCATGCACCTTTACATTGAGGGACAGCTTATAAACATGCATTGATGGAAAAAGCGGGTAAAGTGTAAGATCCATACACAGTGCAGGTGTTCAATATAACAGATAAGAAGTTTAAATGCAATTTGATTGTAAACATACAACAAAGGACTCTGTAGATGCAGTATTTGAGACTTATACATTTCATATGCTCTGTATTTTTGCTGACCTAAAAAAGACAGATCTTAGGTATTGAAATACCACAGCAAAGGGAGAATTTTAGAAAAAATTGTGAGGAAAATGTAGGTGTGGCACATTACAAACTTCCAGGATAAAATCTTAATTTCACATTCATAAATCTAATACCGCTTCACATTCCAGATCAGCAGTGGGATACTAATGGTCACTATCACATAACACCATTGGACTGATCCTACAAACGTACCCTCAGTTCCTCCATTATCTCAACCTCTAAAGATACTCTGTGATATTTCTGGTTTTATAGATGTTATCATATTTTCTGTCGTTGCTTAAAGGTACATCTGTTTTCTTATTCTTCATATTAAGTTTCACTGCTGGCATTTGTCCACTCTGCCTGCTTCAGGCTAGAACTACAGACTTAGAAGTAGAAATGTATTAAGGAAGATATTATACTATTGGGAAACTTCTGGGTTTAAAGTTCTTGGAATATTTTGATGACATTTTTTTACTCTGCATGTTTATTGTAAACAGCACATAGTATAGGCCTACAGTAGAAACAGAAACATCCATGTGTAGGGTTAGACAGCCAGGGCTTGTTTGTTTCATTTAGGTGCAGAAGACCACAGCGATTAACAACTGCATTTAAACTGTACTTGCAATATGCATGCCATTGTCATATATTACATCATCACACAATAAGACAATGCCTCCCTGTTTACCGCTCATTTCACTGTTTGTGATGTTGGCACTAGTTCAAATAGGCTCCATGGTGAAGGTCACCAAGGGTCACTTCTGTGATGTCACTCTGCAAACTTCTTTCTTGGATATTAACAGTCTCTGAAAGTTTCAAATGTTCTCACAGTTTTCTTTAGGCAAATGTGCAGGTACCAGTCTGAAAAAATGCTGGCCCCTAAAATGCTATTAATGTTTAATATAGTTTCTGCAATTATTTAACAGAAGAATAGATAATCATTTCGCAATTGAGTTAAAGCTCAAAAGCAGTGGTGAATACCTCTGGTAGAATATTAAATGGGATTGTAGGAAGCTGCCCTCAGGTTTGGGTCTATTGCTTATTCCATCGATGCATGAACCTTAAAAGCTGTATCTTCAGGTAAAGGTGACTAATCAGGCTTCACATTGATTGGCCTATGCAACATATTTAAACATTTTTTAAGTTTATATATAATTTTGTAGGTCTTTTATGTACAATTATATTCAATATAATTCATTTTCTATGCGAATAAATGAATCTGCTATCATTACCTTATGACAGAAAATTAGTCCACCACCTAATCTGTTATCACATATTGTTACAAGATTGCTTTACAGTGAGGGATCTGGACACCAATAAAAATAAAGAGAGAAGGCAATTATGCAGAAACAGCTTTTTATATAGACTTCAATCATTGCTGAGTCAAATAATAATTTCTTAGATATAAAATACATGCATCCTATACGGGCACGAATGGATGCTTCTACTTGGCTCTACAAGTTGAGGTTATTAAAATAAAAAAATTAATAAACTAATATCTAAGACATGAAGCGAGACGTGAAAAAAGAGAAGAGGAAGAAGAAGAGGGAGAGAAGAGATAAAGAACGTTGCATTTGTCAGATAATCGCCGGGGATTATCTGAGCAGTGCCGGCTACAAGGAAGCACTTACCCTTGAGTCCAGCTAGAAGACAGCAGGGTAAGAAGGGACAAACCAGAATAACATAAAGACTAGCAACAAGGCTGAAGGAGAGCAAATCACGAGAGACCCTGACCTAGTAGCTGCATTTTACTAAAGAAGGGTCCAGGCAAAGCATGAAGAAGATAAAAAACACAACTGAAAAAACAACAGCCTATAACTAGCACAAGAGTGTGTTGGGCGGTGGTGTGTGAGCACATGTGAGGATGTGTGAACAACAGATGTTGAAGTATATTAAAAGACAAAGAGGAGGACAGGTAGAGAGAGGAGAAGAAGAGAGACAAAGAGAAGTAGACAGAGTTTATCCTCATCACTCCATTGCAGATGGTTTCTCCTGGAAATAGACTTAAAGGAGCTGAGGGCTCAATTCTGGGTACTGTCACTCACTTTTATCAAAAACAAATATTCCTGTAAAAAGGGAAACTGGCAAAAAGTATAAAAAGTAACAATAATTATTAAATAATTAAAATAATATGCATTTTTTTAAAATAAAAAGTATTTGAGATAATAAATGGGCTGTCCCTCCTTCCTGTTAACATTGATGTTTGGATTGACACTTGTATTACATAAATATATGGGCTTTTGCACCATGTTTTTTTCTCCCACACTGTTTACATTTGATCACTGCTGCACTTCATTTCACTACTGAGCTGCGGCTCATTTACCGTCTGAAAGCTGTACAAAATAAAATGTCATTTTGTGTACACTGTGCATACAAACATCAACAAAAGTTGTCTAAGTCAACAAAGTTTGGTTTACATTTGATGTGTCCAAATTATCCACATATTAACACCATGCCAAATCTATCATCTGAATTTTGGACAGCTCCATGTTGAAAAACATGGGGGACAAGAAACAGATCCTACTGGCTGGGGATATAAATATGAATAAGTCTTATGATTTGGTCACCATGATCAACAGATTATGAATAACTTTTGTAAAAAGAAATCCCCATCACTCTTTGATGGCACAAGGATCCACTAAAAGCACTGGAAACAAATGTGTTTTCTACTTTTGCATCTAGTTTAGTGTTGAACAATTAGAGTATGTGCCAAGGCTGTCAATGTTTGTGGGCTCTCATTTCCATGCGAAATCTAGATGGGCCATGCAAAAAAGAACCTTTAGGACTTTATTGTCCCCCAAATGGATTGCTCCCTAAGAAGGCTGCAATTACCTCTATTCAGAATAAAAATAAAACTTGTTACTCAGTATATCCATATCCTACCTAACCTGTTGTCGGGATATACAAGCTTTTCCTGCTCTGGGGGCCTTTTTCATCATTACATCATTTGAACAGCTACAAAGTTACAATCTTTAAAAATAATGTCCCTAATACTTTCAAAATAACAAAAAAAGTAAAATGTTTGTTTCATTTTGAGGTGAATTATGTTTATAGTGTAGCATAGAACTCAGCAACCTTGAACAGACACTACTTCAGATGGTGGTATGTTAAGCAGTGTCTTGTCTCTTTACTTAAATCAGAGGAGCAGGGTTTGACTACTACTACTACTGACTACTACTGCAAAAAATGTGAAAAAAATATTTTCCTTGGCTGTTCTTTTTTATTTATTATTTACTTGCATTGTGGGAAAAAAAGCTTCTTGGTTAAAGCATTAGAGAGCTACTAGCTCATATAACACATACACTGGTTATTTTAATAAACTAACTACTTAAAGGAGCTCCAGAGGTAGTTATCTATTTGTTGAGTGCTTTGTAAAATGTGCTTTTGAGGCTGACCCTTAAGGCAGACACATGCCAAATGACTCAGACAAGTAGTCTTAATTAGGAAAACTTGAGTACTTACTGCTGAATTTAACAAAAGCACCTGGCATATGTCACTATTGGCAGTGTCTGGTGGAAAAATGGATCACCTCAGCCTCTGCAGGTCCAGTCAGTTTAGAGCACTCATGTAAATGATCTAACTAATATATCTGTGTTTTCATAGTGGATACGTTTTCCATCTCTCAATGCAGAACATCCATTAGAAATGTTACCACCACTCCCACATTTTCAGTTGGAATCTGATAAAACATCAAGAAGAGCAATAAACTGCTGAACTACTTGCTTAATCAATCTTTAAAAGTCGTTGATGATGCCCTCCCTGAGGAACTGTGAAAGCAAACCATGATCACGCTGTTAATAAGGAAATTTACAGGATTTACAGTTGCTGTCAAAAGCCTACATACTTCTGTTTTGGTGACAAATTAAATCAATAATAGATATCCACTAAAAAGGCAAATCCAAACCCAAATCAAATGAAACAGGCACTGTAACTTACCAGCAATAGCTGTGAATCTAGAACACCAGAAATAAAGTTAGCCTATCCAAATACGATTTTTCTGACATTTGCTAATTTACTGTATACTCTCTAACAAATACTAGTCTCTGCAGAGCTGACAAATAATTAATATGATTCCTTATTATAAATGTGCAATTTAGAAGAAGCTCCTAAGGTGTCAAGAGGCTGATAGTAACCCTGAATGAGCTGCATGACTTTTCAACAACTTATACTCATGATGCACATGAGACATGAGAATTTACTGAATTCTTCTTATCTCTTGATGAGGGAGCAGCCTTCAAAATCAAGAAGTATCATTTTCTGAGGAAAAAACATCCAGACAGGCCTAAATTCTCCAAAAAACCTTGCGGAACAATGTTTATCGGTCTGAAGGAACCATACTTGCTTATTTTTAATTCAGATTGATCCGTATTTTTTATTAAGAAAGAAAATATGAACATTTCACTTTTTACCATCAATATATAAGACAATGATGTGTTCCATTATTTAGGATTATTGTGAGTCCAAGAATACAACCCAATTTAATAAATGGCTTTACTACATAAAAAGTTACGCTTTTGTAGAGTCTCGCACTAAATCTATGAGAACATTCATTAGATTGATTAGTTTAGAATGAACAAGAGGTATCCTCATAATCTGAGAGGTTTTGATTGCCTTGTACACAATGGAAAAAATAAATAAATTAAAAGAAAATCAGATTTTAGGGCATTTATAGAGGACAAGTGAAATATCAAGAGTAGAAGGGTTTGGAAAATATCTATATAAGGTCTAACTTTTGAAGTCTTAAGAATCTGTAAATGTAACAGCTGCTATTGTAAATGATAGTGCAATATGAGCTGTTTCTATGCCAGTCAAACATAATGCCAGTGTTTGGTGGGAAGTGTCTCTTTTAATTTTTCTGAACAATGCAAGTGGAAACTACTTGCTCATAGGCTAAACGACATTGTATTATAGCATGGTGGTAATTTTAATTTTTATTTTAAGGCTAATTTAAATTTTAAAAGACAATGAGTTCAACCAAATAATGTTTCCCTTTTTTACAGAAAACTTGTAAGATGCAATTTTCTTCAAATTTCTTAAAACAAATGTGTAAAAAAATCTTAAAGCCTTCATAGGACTTTATGTTCTTTCTTTAGGTGACCACTGCAGCAGAGTAAGGAAGGTTGTGCATGTAATATGTTCCCTGTGCCATTCAAGACCACCAGGGGGTGAAACATGTAATCGTTGGGGTGTAGCCACAATGTTTCAGGAGGGGGGATCTGTGCCGCTGTGTAGATGTCTTTTGAATGGAGGACAGCTGGCAGCAGCGGAATCAACTAACCACAACAAGGATCACGTACTGGACAAAAAATAAACAATGGAGAAACAACAGAGAATCTTACGTGACAGAATTTTTGTGTAACTCAAATAATTAACTTTCATACATTCAACAAACAGTGGAAAAGGCATGTTTTTGGTTTGTTTGCATGTATAGTAGTTCAAGCTGAGCCAATTATTTCTCTACATCCCATCTAAATAAAACTGTATTGAGTACAGGTGAAAAGAAGGATGCACACAAAAAGTTTTGTTCTGAATAGCAGGATCTATTACTGGGGATGGTTAATTAGATGTATTAATAATTGTGCTTGGTACGAGGTCTTTTTAATTGAGGCTATGGACAAAGGTGTCCTGACTTTTAGGTTAGAATGATAAGAGAGCAATGAGCACAGGTGTCAAAACCAACCTGAGTAAGCTCTTACTGAGGGAAGGAAATTGTTGAGGGAGGGGGGCACAAACGACATTTAAAACAAAACCTGGTACAGATGGCACACTGTTTATACAGTCTTACCTGCCCTTTGCTACCTGACCTGGAGAATGCTTAGGAATACAAGTACAGTCACAGATTTATTAGAGGTTTTGTCACGTCTGGATAAAACCGGATTTAATCAGGCCACTGGTCTGAGTGTTTAAATCCTATCTGGGATGACTCTGCAGGTCATATCCTGCATACGGAGGCTGATTTCTCTTTCAGGTTGGTTGTTTCAATTGAACCGACTGATGGAGTAGCATGGAGGTGCATTGTTAAACACTGAGTGAGTGGTGAAAATGAGTGGAAGTCCATCAGATGCTGGAGGATAATCTGTGAGAGGTCAATGCATTTGTGCGCGTGCTTTTGAGTGTTAGCTCTACAGGCACATTTCGTAGCTGCAGGAGGGGTGGGGAGCGCATGGCGTGACACATTTATGGGTTAGAGCTTTTAAAACTGATTTCTGCCTAAGCGGATACTTTGTGCTTCAGGTTACTTACAGAACTGAGAAATGGGAGCATCCATTTGGGCTGAAGCACCCCCCTTGGAGTTTAGTTTCTGGACCTGAGTGGGTGGGACGGGCTTGTGGGACTGGCCAGTAGCACGATACATGGCTTGGACCCACAGTATTCGGTCCTGCTCGTCATCACTGGCAAAGATCACAGTGTCGCCCTCCTTCACTGCGTTGAAGAAAGCCCTTCCTCCATCCAAGCCTATAAGATGTCAAGAAACAAACATCAAAGATAAAAAAAAAAAATACATACATGCTTTCTTGAGTAGTTATACATTTCTTTCTTGTGCATACTTACCTGGCTGGGGGTCACTGTAGTCCACAGTATACCCATCTAGTTGCAGAAGTTCCTGTGGCTCTGATTTCTTCTCTCTGTAGCTGCACATTGCAAAGGTATACTGACTCACCTAAAAACAAAGTCAAAGAACTCACATTAACCAGCCACATAAAAAAATTGTTTACCCCCTGGGTAATAAAATCAAGATTAATGTTGAAAATAGTAAAAAAAAAAAAAACATAATATCTAGATGTGTTTGTTAAAGTGTCACAATCGAACATTGCCAAACTGGAGAACATAAGTTTCATGATATGACAATTTTGTTTTTGTTTTCTACCCATTGTCACAATCATTTTTATTCCACAAATTGCAATGAAATCTAACTGAATTTAAATGGGTCTGATACTTTAATTACATTCAGAGAAAAATAGTTTAGTTTTCTAAACACATTTTAGAAAGAGTCTACCTGGACAAGGACAAAGAAACGTTTCTTCCAGCGTTTCCAGACATTCTTCCCAAATGCCCATAGGTACCTATGGAAGCCATAAAAAACGGTAGTGTCATAAAGAATATTTCACAGTAAACATGAACACATTTCAAATACAATATTTATCACCATAATCTATTTCACGTTTCTTTTCACAGCACAACTGTCCTTCATCTAACTTAATTCAAAGGTTAAGTTATCGAGTAGTGATGAATTCGGACTTCAGCCTTTTCTAATATAGATGCAGACTAAATACCCACTAACATCCACCAGGGGGAGTTGTGTCCTACACAGTATTTTTCCACAGCATGTAAAAAGAAATGAGGCCAAGGAGCTGAGAGGTGTTGGAGTTATTTAGAAAAGGCACAAAAAATCCTCAAAAGAATATTCCAGTGTGTCCTCTTTAGCTGTGGACTTTCTCTTACCCACAGTGCTTCATATTCTGTGGTTTGTCCATGCGTATAGCCAGCTTTATTTTGAGATCTTGGTCAGGGCAGGCCTTGGTCACAGTCATCTTATGGAGCTCTGACTGTTTGGGGCTGTTAGGTGTCGGGTGGAGGACAACCTGCATACAAAGACACAATAAACCATAAAATATATAGTCATTTAGCATTTGCTCCGATTTCCTGCTACCGAGTTTATTTCATTTTCCTTTGCAGCACTGAGCTGCAACGGCTTGTCTTTGCAGTACTAATAACATAAATGCTGTCCCTTCCTTTTAGCACCTGCACACTGCTGATCAGCTGGTAAAATAAATGCACATTTTCCCTTCCAGTTCAGAAATATACATTGGGTGTTTTTAGATATTTCTGGCAGCAAAAACATGAACCTTTATGGTGTAATCAGTATTATTAATAATTAATTATTATTATTATTATTATCCGCTGTGGTTAAACTAAAATTGGTGATAAAAAAAACAGCACATCATCTAAGACTAAATTGCAGGTTTAGTTAAGCTTGTAGCTTGGCGTATTAAACATCTGATATTGTATTGCTGGGCTTGTGTTAATCCATTAGAAGTATTTTTTTTTTACCCTAAAAACATTAAAATACTGTTTACATTACCATGTAAAACAAAAAAATTTAACTATTTTTCATAAATCAAAAAGTCATTAAATATCAATTTAGCTTTGCAAATGACAGCTGTCTTTCAGTTTTAGATTAAGTCAACTATCTTATTGTCTGTTGTTGTCAGTTACTGGATAAATAGCCTGTTATTGCAAAACATCGGTAATTTTTACTTAAGGAAGGCTTACCCTGAGAATCAAAGCCCGAGACTAGACAGTAATTAATAAAAGGTTCTAATGTTAGCTTGTCTCTAAAACTGTTGGTTCAGTTTTAAATGTACTATTATGTATATATTCTCATGTTTGGTTATCATTGACATGATCCTTTACTTTATATAATTTATATAACCATGTGAAGGTGAGAGTGGGTATTAGTAGATTGAACTGTGAATAAATAAAGGTATTACCCTGCCCAGTTCCTTGTCTTCCAATGCCAGCACACCTGTACTCTCTGTAAACAGTTTCACCTTGACAGCTGGCAAAGGGTGTGTGGTGGTAAAGTCTCCCTGGGTTCCCCAGCTGAAAGACAAAACAGAAAACACTCAAGAGGTTAATTTCCATGACAGCATGTTGCGGTGATGTCATCTGTTGAACTGTTAATAAAAAGCTAATCTGCATTTTTTTTTTGCTCTTTATTTTTTTAAACAAACGTACAATAGCATAGATAGAGGTCTCTTAAAAAGTCTCTGCTATGTCAGTGAGTGAGGCCAGACTAGAACTGTAGCATTACAAACAGCACAATCTCAAGAGTGAAAAGACCCCCCAGAAAAAAAAAAAGTAATTTATATATACATACATATATATATATATATATATATATATATATATATATATATATATATATATATATATATATATATATATATATATATAAAATTTTTATTCTATATTTCTGTGGCAGGGGATCTTTTCACTTAGATACTGTGAAACATTAAGACCTAGATCAGTAGGTACACTTGCTGTCTTGGCACTGTAATAGAAATCGCTTCTACAGGAAGTTAGAAAAGAAAAGTGGCTTGGACAGCAGTGAATAAATTCTGCTCACATCCAGAGGAGCAATTTTAATGTAATCCCTAAACATATCTATTATGTCTAAATCCAGCTACTGAAGCCTGAGATAAACACTTTATAAACAAATAATGTCTTCTATTTCTCGCAATTGTATTAATTTCTGACCAGACAAATCATTTATACTAAAATAACTACCCCTCCTTGTGGATATATAACATTTGAAATGGAAACTAAAGAGACTTTTAACACTATAGTGTGTCCTGAAGGAAAAAAATGAACAAAGAACATTTGGGTCCATAGGGAGTTCTATGAAATCTGATAACCCGATTCCTATTATGTCTGAGTCAGTTGGACGAAACAGCTTTTTGAAAATGAAATGAGCAAACAAACAAACCAAAAAAAAAAACACAATACATAACACAATACCTGGGGAATATGGAATTGGAACAAATAAGTGTTAAACAGACCAGCTTCACAGATCCACTAAAGCCACATTAATACACAAGCAGTAAGTAGGAATCTGTATTACTGTAGCCTTTAGGGTTTAAGTGAGAGCACTTTTAAATATAAAAAAAACTCTGAGCGTATACAGTCTTCGCAGTTTGATTAAAAACCCTAAATTCTTGTCATGAAATTATACATTTAGAACAGTGTGTCAATTTCTGTTCATATAGGTTTTTCCTCCTTGTAAACTTTTATCAAGATTCAACATCATCTGCTGTAGTTCCTGAGCATAAGAGTAACAGCAGAGAGACTGCTGACATGTAGTCACTGCTGAATTGTGTTGATTTCACATGCTACTTTTGTTCAGGCATAAAGGTGACCTTGCTGCTCAATGGAGGGTTTAATAACGGACGTGACAGCGTTGAGTTCCTGCAGCTCTTCCTGCAAATTGGATCAAATCTCTGCATGTTTAATCTGCTTGTAGTTACACAATATATACCAAAAAACTTTATCTACTGTATCCATTAATCAAGTCGTCAAAGTTAACAGGAATATAGAAGTCAGCCTGAGCACATATGGGCTGAGCACGCTTAATTAATGTTTGGGAATAACTGGCAGCCATTTAAAGGGTAACATTCATCTCGTAAGACTTAATTTGTGTGCATGTACTGTATTTACATGTGAGCTCTTTACAAAGAAAAACCCTCAACTCATCGTACAGCCTGTCAGGTATCTGTCACTTAGAGTTTTTAACATTTACTTTCTAGAGGCTGAACCATAAATACAACCTGAACCATAATTCTTTTTATTGTTTAATTTTTTTATTTGATTATTGAAATTATACGTCAAGTGGTTGGGATAGTTTTCACTGTCTTTTTTTCTTCTAATTTAATTTCCTTTCTGTTACACCTTCTTCAAAATGGGTCTTTTTCTTTAGCAGGATCAGCAGTAGACATATGAGCCTTAAATAGCTCATAATACATGAATGTTTAATCGGTGGCTCTTTTATAACATAACCTGCATTATAATGGCTATCATGATGACTAGTGAAGATATTTTTAGTGAGGAAAAAGGATAAAAGTCTGAGGAAATGCAATAATATTAACAAACGGTGCTAGTAAAGGGGTTATCCTTAAATATTTATTAATTTGCCTACTAAGAGCACAAACCAAATTTGATTATTAGGATTATAAGAATAAATTGATGTGAAACAAATACTCGAATATCCTGCTGTGCATCAAAATATTGACATGTTTCAAAGGAAATGAATACAATTAAAGTTTTGCACAACTGAACAGTCCAATTTCCTTTATATTTAGTAATTTACATGCAAAGTGCCTCTGAGGAAAAATTAGTGCATCTGAGAGCCCCCGAAGAGTACTTAAGGCGGCAAACTGAGAAACCACTGAAAATTGGGATAGTTAGGCTTACTTTTAGTTCCAAGTTCATCTTAAAAGCAAATTCAGATCCTATTCCTCAAAGATCTTATCAAATAGTGTTTTGTTGACAGAAACAGTCAGTAATAAATTAAGTTTCATCTTCCATGCATATAGCGTTTGTTTTTAGTTCTAGTAAACATTTGTTACAGCTGTATTTTTTTTATACCTGCATAAACACCAGTGGTTAACAAACATCCATGTGTGCACACTCACGTTGGCTTAGATGCCTCAGCTTGGTCGGTCTGGAGTTTCTCTCCTCCCTCCACCTCCATGGTGCAGTAAACAATCCTGTTTGGGGCCAGAGACTTCAGCCCCACCACTTCCATGATCACCACCTGGGAAGCAGAAAAGCCTTAGAGAAGTACGAAAAGGAGAAGTGACTCATCTCTTAAGAGAGGCTGGAGAGCAAGAGGGTCAACAGCAAAAGAGCGGGCAGGAAAATCCACCCAGAAATACTATTAAAGCCACAGTGGGGTTTTACATTCACAGCTAGTGTCTTCACTGTACATGGATCCTGGTTGATTTTCCACTCAAATAGTCTGTAAAAATGGCAACTATTCTCGAAGGAGCCTGCAACTCCCAATCCTCAAAACGGCTAGCAGACATGATCTGCCACATAAAGTATTATAGTATTATATACTCTTTATGAGTTCAGTGTCTACATTTAGCTCTGCTATGGCCAACAGTAACCGTAAGACAGCAACCATGACATTCAGAGAGACAGCCAGAAGCGAAACATGTTCCATCAGGATTGGAGTGCTTTCAATAAAACATTCAGCTTATTCTATTGTTATTAGCCTGAGAGTTTATAAGCTTCTGCTATGCAATAATGTTTTTTTGATAAGTCGTTATACAGATACCTTTGTAGTCTAACAGTTTCTACTCATTCTGTTTGCTTAGACAAAAAAGTTTTATTATTATTTTTTGTAATTGTAGAGAAAACTTAAGTTTCTTTGGAAATCTGTGGAATCAGATATAAGAAGGATTAAATTAAAAGGTAAGCTGTCAGAAAGCTTTAAGATTTATTTACAAATGCAAAAAAGGTGTATGTTTTTTCTAGCTATTTAGAAATACATTAGTCAATTTCATGGAAACTGCATCAATTTGTGGCAATGTGTTTATTTTTTATACAGATTATTTACAAATGTATGGCGGTAACTTACCAATTATAACAGCAACCAGTGCATGTAAAATATCAGTATCTGCTGCATTCTTTTACTTTAATCAATGCTCTTCAACTGTTTAAATGTATCTGTTTAATATAGAATGCACATTATTCCAATGTAATTTAAAATAAGGTCCACTAAAATCACATAGAAACTATCTAATTTATGACCTAATTTATCCAAAAAATTTCTCATCAATTGAGTTTTTATAAATTCAAATAAGAAAAGGAAAAAGTATACCCTTTATCCATCTTTTTGATGACTTCATTTTATCTGTTTTGTCTGTGGTTTAAAGGGTTCATAGAATGGTTATATAGAATATTTGGTGCTGGTCTTTAAGGTCTCTGAATAGGATGTGTAACATTGGTTGGGCTGAAAATGGTATATTTGCTGTTTTATGAGCCCTCATGCAAGCCTGGTTAAAAGCCCTTAAATGAAATGTCAGGTCTTCTTCCTTTTATGGTATGCTCATGAATATTTAGATGAGCTGTGTGCTGATTGGTTGGTTTACAACGAGCAAAGCTGCTGAGCAAAGACGCATCATAGCAACAAGCACTCACTCAGTGAAAAATTAAAATTGTTGATATGGTAGGGTGATCTGATGTCCTCTTTTTTCCGAACATGTCCTACTTTTCCTACCTAAAAAAAATGTCCGGTACATCCATTCACCCACTGAACTATTGTTATTCAAATAAGGCAATATAAACTTGGTTTTGCATTCTATGACCCCTTTAAAAGAAGAGTATTTGGACCTGCTGCAAAACAGCTGCTAATTTGCTGGATTTTATGGTGTTTGCTCCTGCATCTATATAGTGTCATCTGCTTTGTGAATCCAATGCAGATTTAAAGAAAACAGCCTTGAGAGATCAATTAGAAAAAAATAGATTTCACTGCTAACTTAATTTCTATCACAGACCTACATGTTGGTGTTAAATTATGTGAACAGAATATGGACCCCCAATGCAGGCTGCTGCTAGGTGCATTAGTTGTTGCTAAAGGAGCCTTACTCAAATGTCTGAGTTGTGCAAGGTGTGGGCTGTAAACTGCCCATCTTGATTTAAAGGTTTTCAGATGTCTTGAGACTATATATTCTATGATTTTAAAATTTCTCTCACTTTCCTGCTTCTGAAAGAAATTATAGATGGACCTGGAAAGCTTTGTTACATTTCTTAAGTTGTAAATAAACAGGACATATCTAGAAAAACTGGTTTGGTTTTGGTTTAAAAACTGGTTTGGTTCGCCAAATGGTAATGCAATCCATGACACCGTTGCAAAGTTATCTGCAAAAATGAAACCTTTAACATGTATTGGACTTATTTTGCTAAAGGCAAGACAAATTCAAGAAATGAAATCTACCAGGTATAAGGTAGCAGTACTGTTTCAGGTTCCTCAATCAGAGAAGAAGATTTTTCTTTTTGGTACTATTTAAGTGCAAAAACAGTATAATGCCCTTACTTTACTATTTCACAGTAAGGGCATGATGTACTTTAGTTATATTGACTATTTCACAGTCAGGAATGCACCCATTGACTGCAAAATAGCACTGCATCATAAAGGAAGAGAGGTGTGATTGCTCTCTGTTCTGTGGTGATAGCTCATCTGAGACAAGCTGATAACAAGATGAGTCACATTTCCCATTACAGAGCAGGTAAATAGGTTTTTATGCACGCATGTGTACATCAGTCTGTTCTTCACACTGCGTCTGGCCAACCGTCTGAACAGGTGTGCTGTCTGCTTCTATTTTTAGTATTGAGCAGAGAAGTGTTTCTCATTAGCTTCGATTTTTTAAGTCTCGCTCAGGCAGGTGCAGCTTTGCACGGCACATAAGACATTTTATAAGGATCATAATAGTAGACATTGGTTAAAGTTGTGCAATCCAAATGATGCATTACCTCCAAAGTAAAGGAAAGAACCACATCAGACTTGGAGAGAGTGTTCTCATCCTCCTGGCCCATGTCAATGATGGAGGTGTTGTGGCCTCGCTTCAGCTTCTGGAGTTTAAACTCTCCACCTTTTGACACAGGCATACTCTCCAGGTTGGCCATCAGCTGATTCACTGAGGACTTGAGCTCCTCGATGTACATTGCCTCCATCTCTTTAGATACAAATTTGGGAAACTTTCCTCCCTGTTGGGGGGTACAGGAAAGAGACATATCCAAAAAAAGACTCAGAAACAAACGCTTGAGAATTTAAAGTGTTTCAAGGTCAGAGGATATGATCAGTGAAAATACAAAACAAAACAAAACAATATAAAGCTCTGTGATGATTTTTTTTCTCCTACGGAAGCTTCAGTATGGTCTTATTACTACTGGCACTATCTCTGAAATGTTAACTATATAACAAAGCATATTAAAAACAGTCTGAGGACACCCTGCAGAGTCTGACTCACCCTTGCAATCTGGTCTGCCATCTGAAGACGACCATCAAGCTCTCTTCTGATCTGTGCAGCCTGCTCATCCAGATTGTCCAGCTATTAAAAAAAGCAAAGAAAAGAAGGTCATTTTGGTCACCTAAAAAAATAATGAAATACTTTATCAATCTAAGGGTCAACAACAATGAGTGGTACTAGCTCAACATTTTATCTCAGCATCAAATCTTAAAAAAATAATCCTGAACAAAGCCTTTTAAAATTCATATGCATTATTCGTGATACAGAACCAAGACAGTGGAAAATCACAGATCTTTACATGAATGAGCTCCTAGAGGATGTGCCATATAATTGAACACATTTTTCACTCATCCATTATGAAAGGCCCTTTGTCCTAGCAGGCTTGTGGGGTGTTATTTCTCTTTCCAGCAGTCACCATGAAAGAGATGAAGCAGGTCACCAGACCATCACAGGACAGATTTAAGACAGATTTAAATATTCGCTTACAATAAACATAAAAATTAGGTAGGTAAGTAGGTTTGCACTTACAAGTAATTTGACTTGGTGTTGGTGATGCAAACAAATTAGATATATATATTCAAAATGCAGAATCTATAGTTATGTACAATATAAAACATACAATATACTATATACAATATATATTATATAGCTATATACGACATACACAGTAGACTGTGCATTAATGTAACGCAGAAGATCTGGAGATGCTTCATTTGTGTAGCTTCTATGTCCTGAACAGGGGAGGGAGAGAGGCAGTGGAAATGTCACAGGGGTCTCTGGGCCTTGTTGATGAGGCTGGTAGCGGATGTAAAGAAACTGTTCTTGTGGAGTGAGGTTTTGGTCCTGATGGACCGCAGCCTCCTGCCAGAGGGAAGTGACTCAAATAGTTTGTGGCTGGGGTGCGTGGGATCAGCCACAATCTTCCCTGCATGCCTCAGAGTGCTGGAGGTGTCCATTCAACCTTCGGAAATACTAACTAAGGGTAGTCATTGCAAACTTAGAACATTACATTATTTTCTGATGTCATAGATAAAAAATATATATATATATAATATCACCGTTTCAACTGCTGTATTTTAAATCTTTCACTATATACATATAGTAGAGCCACACAAAAAACTGTTTGTTTAAAAGATTGACTAGTTTAGTAGAATAATTAATGAGGTGATAGGGGATAGTATTATCTCTACCTGAGTTTATTTTCCAATTATGTTTTTCATTTTTTGTTCTGGTTATATAATTCTCAGTAAAACTGTGGCACACCTGTAGAATAGACAGTTACAGTACCATGTTGTTACATTGTTCTGTGTATTAATTTCTGGAAGATCTAGATTTTTTTCGTTCATTACGGTTAGCCTGGTTATAGAACAAAAAAATATGGAAATCCGAGTTGTTTCTCTGACTTCCAAAAACTATTATAATAGGCTTAAATATAAGTAATGACTACCAAATAAAATGGAAAATAGCATCTCACGCAAAAAGCCAAACCTGAAGTAGCCTGGAGGCTATGTACAATGGGGGTAATTTAAAGATCTATTAGGTGCATAGTTTCAGTTTGTAACTTTTTATCAATAGGACCTCAAACGACAAACGTTAATGCATCATGTTTCAAAACTGTTTCGAAATATGCACGGCAGAGGACAAGTTTCAGTTGAGATTTATGCAAATATGTTCAATAATTTACGGGTCAATCCAAGCATATGTCTATTTAGGTGTTGATAAATATTTTTACTGAAAACACTCTTTTTTTAATGTTAAAATGTTTTTTCGTTTATATTTTTCATACAGAATTTACAACAAAGATAACCAAATATGGCATTCACTGTTTAGTGGAAGAATTAGATGCTAAACTATGCATATATAAAATAAGATTTAGATTTTTTTTACACAACATAAACTGTAATGTATTCGTGATGATTCAAAGGATACTGCTTAAAGTTGTCGTAAATTTCCTTCCAAATTAAATCTGGCTTTTCTAGACGATACTGTGCAGAAATGCACAGGCAAGAATTGTCTCACACATTTCCTCAGGCTTTGACAGCAGATTTAAGGCAGACCCGTTTTCTCTTCTGTCTCTGTTAAGTACCACTTAAAAATAGACTGTACCTGTTAAAACTGGCAATGAAATAGGGTGTGTCCCGCCTATTTTCCAGACAGCTTTTTGTATTATAAATATCTGATCACACACAATCTGATCTAGAGGGAAATCCATACAAATGTTTCCCATAAACATAAAATGAGCATGCAGCTGTTTCTCTACTGTATGCACACTTGATAAATAAACAACATACAGTCCTGAATCCCTTTTATTTTGAAGTTGGAGAGCTTTCATTGCTAAGTTAAATTATCATTGCATATTTTCTTTAATAACAATTATGTTGAGAATTCTGAGGAGTATAGAATTGTGTTGGACCTTATAGCTGAATGAAAAAGAAGAGGATTTGCAGTTTCTTAGACTTAAAGGCGAAAGGCTTTGAGGACCAGTGAATCTCAGTGAATGTAGTTTAGTCTTGGAGCTTTTGAATGTTTAATTTCATAACCTTAATGTGGGCAATTTCTCCATAACTTCAGCTGCAGCTGCCGGCATAAAATTAAGACACGTTTGACTTGTGAAAGAGAAATAAGCCCTTCATCAAAAAAGCAATTAATCCATACAATAGTTTTTTCTTCGTCATTTTTAGCGTGTCGCCTTTTTCCTCCCAGCGGCTGTGCCAATGATTCTAAATCCCATATTCATGTAATAGTTATAATATTTTCTTTTTTTTTTATATTTGCAATTGCCAAATGTTTTTATATAAGGAAGAAAGGAGATGAAAATATCTGTCATGGATATTAATGATTTTGCTTACAGTCCTTTTAAGATTGACATTAGAGTATATCACTTTCTTATTCTTTTGACTTGTTATGACACAGCAAGCAGGACCTTGGGTGAATGATGTAATTTCGCTTTTTCAAGATGAAGATTAGACTTTAAGAAAAATAAGGAACTCAAACACAATAATCAGGACAAATATAAGTTTTTTTCTTTTAGAGTTTTTACAGCACTAGTTGCTTATTTTTCTGACAGTAGGCTGACAGGAAAGGGAGTATGAGAGACGGGGAGAGACATGCGGTAAAGGACCACAGGTCCGACTCGAACCCGGGTCAGCTGCGTCGAAGACTAAGGCCTCTGTACTGTATATGGGTCGTGCACGTTAACCACTTCACACTCGAGGACAAATATAGATTTTCACACTCTATTTTATTCTAGATTGAAAGTTTTGCGGACTCCTTTAACTTAAAAAAATGAAAATTTAACCTACACTAAATACAGTGTTTAATTTTTTATCAAAAATCAATTTCCACTTCACATATTTACTTTGGTAGATTCAGAGTATGAAAAGTAGTCTACAAACAAAGATACATTTTATTTTATTTGTTAATGGTTTCTGATGAATACATATAACAAGCAAAATATTAATAGAACTCTGTTTTTACAATCATCAAAATGTCTTTTGGACCCTTTTTCTTACTTTAAAATCAAACTTAACTTTTGAAAGTGTATGTCAAATCAGTGTTACTATAAGAGGGGGAAAAAACTAGCTGCAATTTTTTTTTTATATATTTAAATATCATCACACAGATTAGCTGCTATTTAAAATAACAGAGTATGGATATAAAAAGACCAATCAGCACCCTAGTTTCTTTCCAACTGAGTGCAATCATAGAAGCACCATGTGGCGTCATACATGAAAAGATCCAAATCAAAACCAACTTCTGCCTTGGTGCAAAAGAAAAGAAAGCAAATGGCCTCCTCATCGAAGGCACTTCTAATGGACTACAGAAGTTTTGACAACTGTCAAGAGGTTATGTTTTAGGTGAGTTTGTGTGTATGTCTGGGTAGAGGATAACTTGAATAGTTTTGAATGGATTTTTGACATTTTTACCAAAGGCCCAAGAAACAATCCATTAAATCTGGTGATGGTCCACATCATAATCCGGGTGGAGGAATGAAGGATTCATTATTTGGAGGAAAAAATTTGAATTTCTCCTTTTCTTTTTCATTTCAGTCAGCAAAATTAGAAGGAGCTCCAGAAAAGCCAAGCTGAAACAACCACTAAATTAAAGCAAATTTTATTAAAAAAAGTTACTGTAAAACTTTGATTTGGGTTTGATTTGCACTGAAGTCTGTAGCAATTAGATTTTCTGAGTCCTACTTGAAATGTTTTTTTTTTTTACTTTTCTTCAGAATGTCTTTTTTGAAATGAAAAAAAAAATTTATATGATGTATCAAATATAAGTAAAGGGTCAGGGTTATTATCTGAAACAGTGAAATAGTAGGGATGCCCATTGTCTGTGTTTTTCTCTATGCTTCTCATTCCTTCATTTATTCTCTCAGCCAAAATATCTAATTTCTGTCACATTTGATGCTGTGAGTCACCACTTAGCAACATGTTCTCAGTGAGCTGAAAAGGACAAATTTGCACTAAAGTTGGACTCAATAAGACATAAAACATTTAAACGAGCAACATGGTCTGAGTTTCCTCAAAAATATGGGTTGTCATTTAAAATATCTTATGTGATTATGGGTTAATTAACCAATTAGGTGCATTTGATTACATTTTCCCCAATGAGAGAAAATTTACAAAATATGTCAACCTATAGTCAATTATCACCTTCAAAGGATTGCAATTCTGCAAACCATAAAGAAAATCCATGAAATCTACAAGACCAACTTTACTGTCACATCTTAATTTAACAGAAAAAGTGAAGTGCATTTTTTGCATTCTATTTTAATAAGCTCTTAAAAGTCATAACTTTCCAGAAGAATCTCCAGAAATGCTGCACAAGTAGAGATCAAAGCATTCAGGGTCTTGCTAGTTTCCAGGTTCTTCCCTCAGAATTTTTTTAGCTAATTTTTCCCGATATATAATTTAAGCTTGGAATAAATATTAAACAACTCATATAAGTGCTTAGTAAAAGACAGGTTCATTGCTGTGGCCAGCTTCCACTTCAAAAATAATGGCCAAGCAACCCCTCTTGGGAATTTTTAGGTCACACAAACACACTGAATTACAGCAGTAATGCTGGCTTTGACATAA